CGTGCGATGAGGGGAGGGTGGGTGGATGTTTTGTATGGTCTTGTATCTTTTTTCCGACGCCTGGCAAACACTCTCACACCACTGACCGTTAACCTTACAGCAACATTATCATTACTTCATATTATAGTACTTTATCCCCATTACGTTTTCATTCCACCACCACCACCCACCCTCTCTCATTCGCCACCCTTCCCTCCTCTACCACTGCGCTGCATTCACACCATTCCACATCAGTCAATCCGACACCACCATCACCTTTTTTAAATGTGTAAATTTTTAGCCCGTTAACTTTTGCTCTGATGAAGCCCCGTATGCCGGGGCGTATAGCGTGAGCCTTAGATTATTCTTTAATTATTTATTCTTGAGCGACACGAGGTGCAAATTCGCCTTAAGATCAGAGAAAAAAATTAAAATCTTTGTTGATGTATTACGTCATCACAGACCAGAACAGAACAGAGTAATATGTACGTTGCCTGTGGTACTTATCCAAAATAACGATAATGTAGTTAGAATATGAATTGAGTATCAGAATGAAAATATAATTGTTCGATTGTTGAAAACACGACGTTTCGAGCATGTACAGAGCAATAAATATAGAATTACAATATAAAACTGAGACCACGTTTACACGGTAGCGGATCAAAAGTGTTTGTGGATCAAAATGTACTGGAGCACCCTCCCCTCTACATTGTAGCGCATTAAAAGTCTTGCGGATCATTCTCCCATCTACACGGTAGCGGATCGAATTTGATTTCTAATGTCTATTGCGCCTGCGCGCCAAAAGCCCGCCAAATCTCTGTCACGTCGTTTCCCATCACCAGCTAGGCTATCCAAGATTTTCTGAGATTCTTTATGGTTTCTTTCAACGTCAGTACTTCAAAATGCCACCAAAGAAGCAACCAGCCAACTCCAATGGTAAAGGTAAAAGCTTTTCATGGACAGACGAGGAAACTGCGCTCGTGATACGAATTGTCATTGACTACAAAGCCTTCAAAAGCCAGTTAGGCCTGGACTAGAAAACAGTCAAAAACAAGTATGAAGAAATCGCAATACGGTTCCAAGAAGCATACCCAAAAAGGAGAATTGATGCGGATCACTTGTGCCTACACGACGCGGTGCAGAAGTGATCCGATACAAAAGTTATCCGACATAAAACTAGTTCGCTTTCGTAGCAGGATCAAAATTGGTGCGGATAGCGGAGCAAATGTGTATTGGATCACTTGGAGCTCGTGTAGACCGATCCGCAACAGATCTTGTATCGGATCAAAAGTGATCCGCTACCTTGTAAACGGGGTCTGAATCTAATAGCACAATCTCAATTCCACTCCAATGTAGTCCTCGGTATCATCTGCAAAATCTTTATATTTAGCAACTGTTTTGTTAAGACCTCAGTTTTTCCTACAAACCACCCAATCTCATGGAATGCCTGGATTTGTTTTGCTTTCCAAAAAAACTCTCATATAAGCAAAAAAATAAGTCATGATGAAGCTCGAGTCTTGTATTATTCTAAAATTTCAGCAATTTTGAGCCACAATATTCCTATAGACTATATTCTTATAAAAAGAATGTGTAATTGGGTAAATATTGAAGTAATTGAATTCTCTTCACATTAAATTGTTCTAAGCTGCTTTTTTATTCGAAATCTTCTTATTTCATGCATTTTGTATCTTATTAAAGAAAGAATTCAGAGAAAAATACGATTCATACAATTTTTTTAACAAAAGCTCATGACTTTTTATGTTAGTGTACCTGCCAGGCCTGCCGAGTCTCGTGCATTATGAGTTTCATGCATGCAAGAAACAAGAAAATATTAGAAAGCACAGCAGAGTTCTCAAGTGTAACATCACAAAAAATTATTTTTAGAATTTTCGAATTTTGACCACATAAAAAAAACGCCATAAAAAACTCCCATAGATGCAAAATCAGTTAAATTTGTCGAAAATTCTGTTATTTTGGCTCAGTTCATAAAGTTATGAACTGAGATCAAATTACAGATTTGATGGGGCCAGAGCTTGTGCTCATCTGGTCATATCTCAGCCAATTCGTAATACCTTTAACTGATTTTGCAGATTTAGAGGTATTTCACGATGCTTTTTCAGATTATGGGAAAAAATTAAAAAAATTCTGAAAAAGATTTTTGTGACTTCATCACTTGAGAACTCTATAGAAGCAATATAACTTATTAGGTAGAACAATACATAGATCTCGCGCATCTGGGAACATCCAATTGACAGCTTTGCACTGCAGTATCAGGAACCTTGTACATATTTGACAAACACCCAGGGCCGTCGCTAACGGGGGGGGGGGGGCGGCACCCCCCTAGAAAATTCTTGTCGGCAAATTTTCTAAAAGTAGAGTTTTGTCGGGTTTTGCTTTCAAAGTTCCCAAAGCAATAGCTTTAGCGAACAGTAGGGATAAGATGAGGATGTGAACTTAAATGTATTGCCCAAAAGCCCTCAGCAATTCAAAACAGGAAATGATAGCGCTATGGGTGTCACGGAAGGGCAAATGTCCCCCAAAAACTTCAAATGACTCCCTTTCGGCAGCCCAAGTCTAGAATCTAATGTCCAATATCCAGGGCGACCTATTTCTACCTAAAGTTTGGGTTTAGGAAAGGGTCAAAGTTTATTGAAAAACTCTGAACGTTGATCCTGGAGGTACTGAAAGCCACTGTAAGCAGGGAAATGGGGCAAAGTGCCTCAGGGCCTTGAGGTCGAGGGGGCCTCAAGTAGTAATGAACTCCATTTTGAGAATGAAATCAATGAAACGTAGGTATGCCTAAAAATAGTTTACAGTTTTGAACGATTGCAAGAAATGACTGCAAGAAATATTCTGAAATGCATTTTAAGACAATCTAAAGGGCGTGGTCGCAAAAATTTCCCGCTCGCAGGGGGACCTCGTTTTTCGGTTTTCTTTCAAGGCCTTCGAAACCTAAGTACCCACAGTCACTCGAAAATTGAAGCGATGATTGACTAACAAAAACATCCTCTTTGATAAACAAAATCAATTGCCTCAAAATGCCACACCCCCACATTGAAATAACTTAGGCCACGCCCTATTTTGTCGGCAAATTGGTGACTGGCAACCCCCTAAGTGAAAGTGCTTAGCGACGGCCCTGCAAAAACCCTCTTTTATCAGAAGATTAATTAGATTGAGACGTCAAGAAACTGGAATTTAAAATTTCTTAATCGGTAGCAAGATTCAGTCCCTAGATCTCGTTGTCCAACACGGTCAGGGGCGAAACTACTGGGGGGGTATGGAGGGGTGCTGCACCCCCCCCCCAATCTTCAAAAAAGCAGATTTTGTCGGGCAAATTTATGGCTGCTAGTGTATCTGTCGGGCAAATCTGGAAATTTTCTTTAGGTCGCACTTTTATTGCTACTTTTTGCCCTAGGTTGGTTTTTTAATTCATGGTCTTTTCCCCCATCTTTTTTTCAATCTCCTCCCAGTTGGGAAAACAAAACAGAAACGAGGCAAGGAACAGCAACATATATACATTTCTGTCTTTCGTCCGACCACTGATCAGCGCTTTCGTCTGGAGCTCAACGCGCACATGTTTATCTTCGCCTCGAGATGAAGTCTGAAGTATTGATCGACACCAAAAGTATAGACAGAAAGTAAAGTGTGTTTGATGCGAGAAGGAAATGAACACTGTGTATACCCCTCCCCCCTACTTTTTGCAAAACAAGTGAGCTTTTTTCAAAATCTTTTGTTGTGATTTCTAAATTTTCTCTTGAAAAGCCCCCCCCCCCCTTAACGTTCCATCCTGCCTCGGAGCCCATAGAACACTGACAGTTTTAGAAGCATCATGAATCAAAGCATGAAGGATACACCATCTCGGAATACGTTGTTGAGAAAATCAATCAATATTTTCTTTTCCAAATGTATGAAACTTTCATTCATGAAATCAAACATGTTTTAGAAATTTAGGTCAGGACATTTGAAGAAGACATCATTTGGGTTTTTAAACATTTCATAACATCAACAGGAACATAATAAAACTATTTACAATAAACATGATCAAACGTGAACACCTTTTCATTACAACGTGGCGTGAACAACTGACTAATGCAACTTCGAGGTCTAGGAACGAGTGAAGGATTAACCGCGTGCTGCTCCTTCACAACAATACATCCATAAGGAGTTATGCCCCAAAATTCTCTTAAGGTTTTACACTTACGGTTCGAAAGTATTGCACCCTTCGCTAGAAAATGGTCATACAGACGCCAAAGTTTTTTAACTAAAAAAATTTGAATAACCATAACAAGTAACAGAAAGTTTTAATCAGTTCAAGCGGGAAGTAATATAAAATTTATCAAGAAATTGTAGTTAAGATATGAATTGCAAAAAATCTTTCGAGTTTATTCTATTTCTGAACAATATCCATGATTACGAAAACATGAAAATTGAGCTTTGATGATAGGTATACCTGTAAAATACCTCCAATAAAAAACTTTTCTTTGCTTGAGGGATTTTGTTATGGTGAATTTAGATATACGTACTTTGTGCTTGGGTGTCTAAAAATATCGAAATTGCTTCCGGAGCAACCGAAAATTGAAAATGAAACTCAGAGAATGCAACTGAAGCTCTTTTTTGTTGGAAAATTGTAATCTGCGTAGCTGTTTCTAACTTCCGAAATTTCCAAGCTGTGTTTTGGTGTTCCACTTTGATAAAATTGAGACCCTACTTCAATCTCTTTTTTGAATTGCTCTCTTAATAGCTAGGTGATTTAGAAAGTGAAGAGGCATATTTTTTGACTTAAAACAAACAGCCTGAGTCTAAAGACCCTCTCTCGGGCTTCCCGATGATTTCAGCCCTTGAGGCAATGTGCTCTAAAAATGAAGTTTATGTAGAACACGCCCTTTCATCAAGCATGCCACGCCCTTTCGTCGGGCAACTAAGCTTCATACCCCCCCAATGAAAATAGTGAAGTTTCGCCCCTGAACACGGTGTACAGTTCTCAAATATGGCTTAGGACCTTTTCAAACAAAATCTTCTAGCATGATAACCAGACCACGATTTCAAAGGAAATTTGTTACCGCGGATTGACACGCGAGGCAGCATGTGCATGCGCAGAAGTTGCAACTGCGACAGCCAGCACATGCGTTGTTGTCTACTGCGGTTCTGTTAGTAAGAAAGAAACAGCATTTGAAAGAAGAGAGTTCATCAAAGAAATAGAAATGGGCCGAAAGAAAAAGAAGGCGATGAAGCCATGGTGCTGGTATCTTTTTCGTTAATTCTATCAAGAGGATATGTTTATTTAATGTGAAATTGAAGCAAAAGCGCTGTTGACGAGGCTTCACGTTGTGCTGTTGCTTTCCCCATAGTCAAGTCACTCACAGTACCAGTAAATGCTGTGGAACTTGGCATTTGAGAATTATGATTGCAAAAATCCTAAAGAGGATGTTAGTGTGCATTGTATGAGATTCTAACCCGTGTAGCTATTTAGCAAAATAGCGTGTATCGAATAATTTATGTGTATCAAGTTTCTTAGGCCCAACGCTATGCTACTACTAATATAGATATGGATCTCCCAGTAACCAAGGAATATCTGTTGTCTTGAACTTTAACATCAACATGTTTATCCTTGACAGAGGTCTTACAGGTATTGTAATAGGGATTTTGATGAAGAAAAAGTTCTTATTTACCACCAAAAAGCAAAGCATTTCAAGTGTCATGTTTGTCATAAGAAATTATACACTGGGCCAGGCCTGGCAATTCACTGTTTGCAAGTGCACAAAGAGCCTATTTCCTCCATCCCAAATGCACTTCCAGAAAGAGGTGATCCAGAGATTGAAATTTATGGAATGGAAGGAATCCCTGAAAAAGATCTGAAGGAGAAAGAACAAATGCTGAAGAGAAAGAAAGGTATATTTAAAATCATAATATAATTGTCAGAAATTTATTTTGTATTCAGAATGCAAGCCTGAAATTAATTTAGTTTTCATTGGTTCTGAGTTCACAATTGACCTTTTTTGATGTTATGTATAGCTTCAAAAGAAGGGTACCTCACCTAAAGTTTGAGCTTTCTGGTATTTTTATCAATGACTTTCTCATTCAAAATGCGTCAGTGAGAATATTTCATCATTTCACTGTAAGTTACTTGTGTTGCTGTTCAAAAATTATTTAGGAATATTTGTAGGCTGAAACATAAAAAATTTGGAATAATACTGAAGTAAAAAAGAAAACATTTGATTATCAAATTATGAGATTACAAAAAGTGTTTACTCCAATGTATTTGTTGATATTTTGCCTTTTAACTATCATAATCTTTGTAGAATGCGATAAATTTTATTTTAGTCTTCAACTTTTAAGCAAAGTTGACATTAATAGACTATTCCAGCAGAAAATTGTCACTGTTAAAGGTGGTGTTAGAAAATGACATTTCTTGTTTAATTATTATATTCTCGTATCTTCAATTTTATTTTCTATCTTTTAGATGCTGGTGAAGATGATGACGATGATGATGAAGAGGATGCCAAAAAGAAGAAAACAGAAACTACCCCTGTCATGCCAATGGCAATACCAGGAATGCCAATGATACCTGGCATGATGCCGCCATTTCCTGGTATGCCTGGACTACCAGGGATGCCTCCAGTACATGTTCCTGGCATGCCTGTATTTCCAGGTATTTACACTCTTTTTTATTAGAACATGATCTTCAAAATAAGTCAAAGTTAAGGCCAAATTAAGAATAAGCCAAGTCTAAGGAGCATAGCAGAATAATCTTTTGAATGGCTGAAACGCTATCATTTTGAATTTATGCAAATTAGCCTCATGCTATAGAAATCAATAGGGGAGCTCTGACCAAGGGGTGCAGGGATTTAACCTCCCTGGCATGCACGAGGTGCACTTAGTGCAAAAATCAACAGTTGAAGTGAATCCAGCGAAGGCAAATCTATTACTTTGTCATTGGGATTTTTGTTCATCATCAAGGTCTCAAGGTATTTACCATTCACAGCGCATCAGTTTAGGCCTATTTAACAGCATGTGCTGCAGCCAAGCAGAGGGTCTGAGAAAAGTAATACTTACATTTTACTTCAACTCAAAGGACTTGTTTCTCATCAACAAGAGAAGAATAGTGCAATAAATCCTTTTATTGCTTAATTTCTCAAGGAATAGTTGAGGTCTATAGTTCCTCATAAATTAATGAATTCCATTTCAAGACTGGAATTAATCAGTCTTAAAAAAAGCAAACCTTGAAAGTATGTACCCCATAATGAGTGCCCCATCAAATCATTAGGCATGAATTATCGTGAAGCATTTTAGTGTGATTCTCAAAAGTTGGTTTTTTAGTCCAATAATGCTGTCAAGTTGAGCCCTCCCCCCACTTTGAATTTCTTGGTGCTGCCCTGATCAAAGGAACACAGAATGCATCTACAGGGCCTAAAGCAGGATCACACTCATTTCCAACGCAAGGAAGGATTTTTCCTCCACTGCAGCTTCCCCATTAATTTCTATTGCACAGGGCCAATTTGCATAAATTCAAAATGGTAGCGCTTCAACCAATTAAAAGGTTATTTCGCTATGCTAGTCTAAGGTACTGTTAAATCTAATTTTAAGCAAAGTTTGCTTGCATATTGTTTTTCAATTTTGGAATAATCTATCAAGTTCCCACCCAACAAATGAAAGAAGAAGTCCAGTGACCTAGGAAACCTTAAGTTAATCCATGATATATAGTCTGCCTTAGAAAATAATTTGTTCCTAAAATGATTTGGTTTTGAATTGGGCCCTAATTGCATTTAGTTTTCTGGTTTTTCATTACCAATATTAGAAAAATCTTATGTACATATCCCAAAAGGTAATTTTCTACTAATGTGAAGGAAAAAGAAAAAATGGCATGAAATAGTTAAGGTCCTTGGCTTATGTTCATGCAGAATCAAAATGGTTTATTCAAGCTTTGAGTTTATTAATGATATATATGCTGATTGTGTTTTCAGTTAATTTAAATATGTTTTTTGGCACAACTCTTTGCAGATCTCATGTTGTTTTATAGTAGATGAAATTTCTTCTTATTTTTAGGTATGCCTCCAATGATGCCACCAGGATCAATGTAAGTGTTTTATTTATGAGACGATATTTTTCACAAATGTGCATTTTTAGATTTTAGTTTCATGTACAAGCTGTCAGTTTAAGGCTGGTTTTCATATGACGTAATTCATCAGCGACCATCTTAGAACACTGTCTGCAAACATCACAGAAAAATTGCATCATATGAAAACAGCTAGATTTTCATTTTCTGCCATCATCGCAGACCATCGCCAGCCCTCTCAAGGAATCCAAAAACCTTGATTTTCCTGATTGTCACAGACTATCTGCAATGTAAAAAGTTAACGAAAACACCCCCATCGGCAACTGTCTGCGATGATATCGGGAGTTAATTGACAGTCTGTGACAGTCATCTGATTCTGTTTCTCTGCTTTGCTTGTACTCTGCTTTGTTATGCTACTCTGCATCTTTCTTATCAATAAATTACACCATATGAAAACTGGTTGCCTGTGATCAACGCTATTGCATATGAAATAAACTCATTTTTTCACCCAACAACAACTTTTACAATTGCATCTATACATACCGTAAATCCTCGAATTGGCCCCCCCTCGAAAAAGCCCCCCTCCCTCAAATAAGCCCCCACCCTAGAACTACAAATTGTCAATAAGCCCCCCCCTCAAATAAGCTCCCACTGCTACTGTAAATTCTCAAATTGGACCCCTCAATTTGATGATTTTTGCCATCTGAGGTCGCCTATGGCGTTTTATTGAATTACGACAACAAATTAATACTTTTGGTAATAATTGATTAAATGCTCATAAAGAAATTTCTACTAAAATAAATGAGGTCTTTTAATAATGTCTTCTTAATGTCAACAATGATTTTATAAGCCCCCCCTTGTATAAGCCCCCCCCCTTGAATAAGCCCCCATCCAAAATTATCAAAAATATATAAGCCCCCAGGGGGCTAATTTGAGGATTTACGGTATGATTTATTGAGTTTAGTATTTTATAGACCTAAACATTACAGCTGAATATTGATTTCGATATAGCTCTATCTAAATTCTCAAGTTATATGCATAGAGCCTCACCAATGATGCCAGGAGCAGTACTAGCTGCAGGAATTCCAGTATCCAGTTCTGTTGTTTCAACTGGCCAGTCAGTTTTTTCAGGTGTCCCTGCAACATCAGTTACATCAAAACCTCTGTTTCCTGCTGCAGCAGCTCAGGTAAAGACAGTTTTTATTCACTTTTCAAGTTGAATGGTTCTTTGGTATTTTAAAATCATTATTTTTTTGCTTCTACATTAACATATTCTCAGCTGTTTTAATTTGTCCAAGCAGTAAATTTTTAGAAAAGCATTGAATGGGGATTCCATTGTAGAAGCAAGAAATTGCATGTTTGTGTTTAGTTTGTCAGGTGGTAATTTGGGAAAAACTTGCTCACCATAACTCATCTATTGTGCCAGGTCTTCTTGTAAAGGAATTTTCACAGAGTTGCTAGACTTTCATTAAGCAAAAATACCTGCTTTATGCCAGTGTCTTCCATTTGAAATAATGGGAGAATTTATTCCAAGCAAAGTTGTGATGATGGTTGAGCATAACCATACTGTTAAGATTTTGCAGATATCTGTTGATTAGGTTGCCTATTCATTACACTGAAATTTGTTGAAGAAATACTTGCTATTATTGCTGAAGTTGGTTTGCAATACATATAGATATTTGAACATAATTTGCAAAAATTAAGCAAAAGCATACAAAATGGAAAAACATTAATATGTGGTAGTCCTGGTCAAATCACCTAGGTAACCAAAAATGTGATAGAAACTGAGAACACTCTTTGGTAGGAAAAGATACTGACTGTTTGACCAGCTCTGATTGAAACTGATTGAATTTGAAGCATACTAGATTGCGTGTGGTATAATGTAATGCTATAATAACGTAGAATGTAAGTAAATTGTTCCAGGAAAAAATTCCTGGTACAATTTACTTACATTAATTGTTAATTTGAAGTAGTCTATAAATGGTGTTTGTACCTCCAGGCAAGTGCAAACGCTGTGAGTTCAGCAGGACCAGTTGGTGCAGATTTCAAGCCACTTAATACTTCAAGTAGCACAGATTCTTTACAGTCATTATCAGGTATGTACAAGTTTGTTAACTCACTCTTCAGGATTATAAAAAAACTTAGGCAGGCAACTAGATAGTCTAAACTTCTTTGAATTCCTTTCAAATGTGTACAGTCTAGTCCAGTAGTTATTCATTGCATCCATGCAAAAAAGTGCAAAATTTTAAAATATTTACACAGAAGAAACCATGCTTCAAGGACTTCCTTGCTGGAGCTTTTGATTTTCTTTGTCAACTGCAGGCCATAAATTAATGCCATAAATTACTACTTGTTGGGGCTGCTCCACCAAATTGCTGTCAGCTAATAAATCAGAGAAATAGACAATAATAAAAAAAATTCAAAAACATATAAATGGGGAAAAGCTTTATTTGAAGATTTAAACTCACTTAATTGATTCAATCTTTTTCTTATGTTTTTGTTCTAAAATTTATTCAGTATCAAATCTTGAACATAACTCCTAGATTTAAATAGATAATAACAAAAGTCAATGTTTATTACAATGCCTTCAAGGTGAGCAAAGTCTCCCTATGTGAGGTATTTTCGCTGTGCAAGTTATTCAGCAGTTTTACGTTTTGGTTTTACAGCATCCAGCAGGAAACTTGGCTGAGAACTAAACTCTAAAGCATGTGACTACTTTTGTATCACATTCCAACCAGTGAGTCGATAGTTAATTTTGTGTTTTATGCTAACAAAACTTAGACTTAATCACTGTGATTTTAGAAACAGTTAAGGTCTTTTTGTTCAAGGATGCCATTTGCTTCCTAAAGCTAATTCAAATTTTGTTGGCATCAAACTGTTAGAGAGAGGGATTCTTTCTTCCTTTCATATTGGAGATCTGATTCATAAGAAAATGGTCTCCTTGGTTGTGAAAGAGGGGGTGATGCTGTAAATAAATCTCTTTGCCAACAAAGTTTGAATCAGTTTGAGGAGCATTGGAAAGCAACTTATCGTTCTGTTTCTAATTGATTTTTCGACCATGCTTCTTTCATCATTGCTGTTTCACATGGATGCTGCTAAACACGGTAGGTGCTAAATCAAGTTCATCAGCTGCTAACACACAGACAACTAGTTCAAAACCAGGTACAGTACCTTTAGTGTCTGCTACCAGCCGAATTATTCATCCAGAGGAGGACACATCGCTGGTGAGTTGTTGCCTCTTCAGTTGCCTCTTTGCTTTCCATTGTCATCTTTCAGGTGGGTTTTTCTTATTTCGAATAGGAAAATACAATCAGTTTGTGAACGTTTGGATGACAAATGCCATTGCCAGAGTCACCTTTATATAGGCAGTTTTAAATCTTTGTATAATCGGAAAAATAAAGGCAAAAGGAAGACATTGTGAATATATTGTTCTCAGAGATGTGTAGTTGCTTTTGAAATAAATATAGCTAGAAATGGTGTCAAAGCAGCCGAGAAAACATTTTTAGATCAGAAATGCAAGAATTTTTAGTACTTAAAATTTGATCCTTAATTTAGCTAGCCCTATTTGTTTTTTGTTTGATTTGTTTTAAATTTTTTGAGTTACATGCAAGAATGTTTTCTGTGGAGTAAATATGTACATGGTGTGACAATCTTGTGCCCTTATACTGTGCTTATGTTTTCTATTATTGGTCTGTGTGTTGAAGCATATAAAGCAAAAAATAAACAAAAAATATAATAAGTTAAAACATATAAGTTAATATATAAGTTAAAACTCAAAATGGAAAATTTTGAAAGAAGATAGGAAAGGAACTGTCACTACCACCTGGTTACAGCTTGCAGTCCAGGAAAATGTTGAAAATGAATTTTACCTGAATTTCTTTCTCTTCGACCAGGCATATTGGCAAAATTTTTGTTCCTTTAATTTTCTTCTACATTAATGCCATTCTAGTGCAGTTTTTGTTTTTGCAACCAGAACTGAATCATCATGTTTGTCTATATATCTCTTTAATATCGCAAGCTCAATGAATTTGCAGTTTGTTAATCTTATGAATTATCAGTAAGTGCATCATAAATATTTCTTTCAAACATTCACTGAACCTATTAATATGATGGAATTCCAAGTTTGGCAATTAAGCTAGACATAGATTTTTAGAATTTCCGCATGGCTTTGCTTTTTCATAATTGTTGTAAAAACAAATAACGAATTAATCTAACCTTCTTTCATTTTGAGATTGCTAGCATTCATATCAATGTATAGAAATTTCTGCTATAGTTTCTATAATGTTTGTAAAAGAAGCGAAATTTAAAAGTTAACTACTTTCTTTCGATGATAACTTAAGATATGCAGTTTGAAAATATTTACAGTAATATGACTTTATTTGATATTTTACTCGCATCATCTCGATGGTTCATTTTGTTAATAATCGTCCTATTTTATCCCACTATCGTCTTAATCTGCATGGCTTTAGACTTTGTTTTCATATTCATTTTGTAATGCGAATATGTTTTGTCCTTAAGTTTGCACAGTTTGCTAGATAAAGGGTTAGAAACGAGTCTTCAAAATAGGTATCAGGAAGTCTTTACCATGAAAAGGGAATTTCCCGTATCTTATATGAACATTTTCCTGCAGTCAAGAAAGACCAATGATGTTTTGAAGCCAATGTTGATTTTGATTAAGACATTTTCTATATCGTAAAATTTTCCCTAGAAAATATAAAATTCATTTTTTGTTATTACTTATTATTTCAGTAATGTTTTATAGCGTCTAATTATTTGCTTACTCAGGAGGAAATAAGAGCGCGGAATCCAAAGTATAACTTCAAGGCGATGAGCACAAAAGCGGAAGCAACCGCGTCTGACTCGGTTTCTGATTCTAAGAATGTACCGACTTCTGTCCTCAGTGCGATGCCACCCCAACCCATGATTGGGGCTCCCGGAATGATGCCCCCAGGTATGGAATTCGTATTTGTTGGGTATTTATGAATGCTTGTGTTTATGAAAGATTTTGTTTATGAATGATGGTGTTTATGATGGAATTGTATTGGTATCCAAATGGGTCCAAGACTGATTTGGAAATTGTTTCTGTTTTTCTTGACCACCAGTAAAGAACGCTGGACTATACGCATACATGTTTTTGGTGCCATTTTTAACCTTCCCCTACGTATTTAGCTTATTGTAATAAACTTTTTGACAAATCTCATGAATGATTTATAGTTAACTTCCTATTACGTCTGCCATTGTGCCTGAAATTGTCCTTCTTACAACAGGGATGCCAATACCTGGAATGCCAATGCCCGGAATGCCACTACCAGGAGCACAATTTCAGCCCCCTACCTCAGGACATTTTCAACAGCCATCTCCTGGTCCCTACCAACCTCCAACTTCGGCAGCAGGATTTGCACCGCCACATATTTCAAGACCCCCGTCTGGACCTTCTGGCCCTCTACCTCCCGGATCAGGGCCAAATAATTTCTCGCAAAGGATGACGTCGGGTGGACCACCACCGAGACCAGGATTTGGCATGCCACCCAATGGACCAAATATGCCCCCAGGTGGCCATGTAATGCATGGTATGGGCCCTGGGGGGCCAAGTGGACCTCCTATGCATGGTTTTGGCGGCCTGGGGCCTAGGAACCATGGAGGCCCTCCACGATTCTAGTCTAGTTTAGCCTGCATTTTGTCGCTACAATCAAGTAAACGATAAGGCGTCTTGTGACATTTTTCGTCTGCCTTGATTTTTCATTGATATTGTACGTAAATGAGAAACAAACGTTCTCGTAGACACTGCCAAAAGAACGTATTCACCGTTGATCAGAACCAAGAAATGCTTTGAAAAAAATAATCCATATGTAGCTCTGATTTGACTGAGTTCTCCCTGTGTTTCGGTCGGCTCTTTAGAGGATTTGTTTGCAGTAAACCACCTGCATAGATATTTAATCTGTTGCTTTCAAATTCTATAGTTGATCATCTATAGTGTTTTGTAAGGCAGCACGAATTGAATCATTTAGTTTTCATCTCGCTAACTATTGCAACAGACTGCTGTCCCATCTTTATCTGTAAGTTTGAACTGAATCTTATGGCGTTTTGTTATACACGAGCAGAAAAAGACTTTGCTCATAAAGGACTGATTCAGTTGTTTTTGAACATGTTTCGATTAACCGGAAAAACCGATTATCCGGCACCACTTCTGTATTGAATAAATCAGTCCTTGCTTTTAATAGAAAATCTACAAGGAGACTTACCTTCTTGAACTTTGCACATGGCTAAGATCGTTATCCACTCTTTAAATATTATTAATTAACTATCCTCGGCTTGCGTGTTTTCCAGCAATTTTGCTGCTTGATTTTTTAGCCTAAACGAAAAGCATGTTCTACTTTTGCCTATATTATTACCTGTATTGGACACTATATTCCGACTGAGAACAGATGCTTTATTTTAATGACTAGTTTTTCGTATCTTTTATGTTCGTAACTTTTTCATCTGATTTTATGATACGAGTTAACTGTTATCGTTCTAAAGCTTGTTATTGACACAAAGTTTAATTTCATTGCTCCAATATTGGTAATCCTGTTGTATTTTTGGCACCTTCTCTTTAAATAACGCGTTTGCTCGCACGACAACACAGAGATGTATTTCCATTTTATTTATCAAATAGCGGTAATGAAAGGCTGTACTTCAAGTTACATTTAAAGAGGTAGTTGTTCCTGTGATTTTTCTAAAATTTCGCAGTAAAAAATTATCATGTCATAGAGATGTAGAAATGGTTAACTATTGATTTTACATTGTTAACTATACAGAATATTCTAAAATAAAGAAGCAAAAAGTCTAGCTTAACAAAAATATGGAAGTGATATGTTGAATACTTTAGATGATGACGATGTTTAGGGCCTCGAATTTTCAAGTTGGGCAAGTTACGATTACAGATTTGCAAGTACCTATTACAGATGGTTGGAATTTCGTATGAAAGGCTTTCATACCATTTCGAGTTGCACGTCAAAATTCTGCACACTATAGAGCCTCTTTTTGAGGTTTATTATGGACCAGTTTACGTAAAAGTCAACTCAGGGTCGAATCAAACCTAAATTCAAACCAGTGCAAGTAAAATCGTCGAGGACAAACTTTCAGTTAGCTGAAAAACTTCATAATCGATTCTATAACAAAATAACAGTAGATTGAAGAATGGCTGAAGGGGAAAAGAATTGAAAGCAGTTACATGTTAGACAGCATATGAAATTCAAATATGCTAAATTGAAAGTTATAATTAGATACTGAAAATTCGCTTAATATAACAATAACAATGAGCATCAACATTTCAAAAGGTCACTTTCTCTACGACCAAAAAAGTCTAGGTAAGTCATTTGGATGATCCACGGTGCTGGAGTGTGCAATTAATTAAAATTAACCAAAAATTTAATTTGATCATCTTCAAATACCTGGTCTCGTTATAAAAGGGAAAAAGAAAAAGATTATACGAGTCTCGAAGGACATCAAATTTGCCATCTCCCCCTTTTGCGAAAAATTCTTCCTGAAATTCTTCTCTAAACTAATGTACGACTCGACTCTTCAACGTCACAGAACGGAACTCAGAAAAAGATCCGTGTATGTGCCTCGTTTCAGTGTTGACACCTGTAAACGTTGCAAACGACTTCGTGGCCATGGAGGTTGTGGATGGTACATTGATAAAGCAAAAAGAAGCAGGGACGGAAGATAAAATGTCAAGTAACAATGTAAGTTTTATGAAATGGCACGGAAAGCTCTGAATTTGTGTCTTTCAATTTCTCTTGCAAATAAGATACTTCTTTGCTACATGACACCAAGAATCTATGATGCACATTTGACTTAGGCCCATCCCACGTAGAGAGGGCCTTCAAGTCAAGTAGGTCTCCTCCTTTCTAGCATATGGACATGATTTGGCACTGAAGTAAGATTTTTCATTGCATGTCCTCAACAAATTTTCGTGAAAAATCCCTCAATTTATACACTTAGTTTTCAACTCTTTGCTAATATACAACTAACGTACACAATTTCTTTCTTTGTTTATGAAGAAATTTCTAGATCACGGCTGTTAAATTTTATTTTAAATATAGAAAAATAAACTGTTGTTCTAGATGATATAGCATGTGAATCATCTTGCTTATTTGTTGACAGAAACTTGATTTGAGTTTTGTTTGAAAGGAAACAGCTAAATTAATGCCCCTTGCCTTACTATTTTCATTTTCTTCAGACAATTACTCTTGAGTTTGAAATAGACAGGAGACAGTTCTTTTTTGACATGTTTACTAGGGGGCAATTGCCCCACCAGCCCCAGTGACTTTACGTTGTTTTGAACTAGTGATTATTGTCCTTCCCTTTTTGTGAACAAAGGCTTGTCCCTGCAGCTTATTTCCCTTGAATAACTATGACAGGAGTTCTGGAATAAAAGGGTGGATAGAAAATTCCCTGAAAAGAGGTAAACAGGGTGATTTGCTAGCAGTATCTCTAAATTGAAAATGGAGATGATATAAACTAGACACTGTTTTCTTAAAATAGGATGAAACATATTTACAATGTAATGATATAACAAAAATAGCCAGTTCCTAATCATGTTTTCACTCTTTCTTGTGATTCTTGATTCGTACATCAAGCTTTGTTTTATACACCTTGTGACTTTTGACACCAAAGACGCAAAAAAAGCAAGGTATCTGAAATTAAAATGCTATGTATGGTCTTTTTGAAAAATTTGAAAGCAAAGGGGGGGGGGGGCTTATTTCAGACTTGAGGATGGTAATGTTGAAGTGTGACATGATTACAATGGAGAATTTTCACTTGATAGTCCTGAAACAGGCATATTGTCCAGAGCTTCTTTAAATGTGTTGAGGATTATTAGAAAAGTTTTAATAAAACTTTTCTTTATTTCTGTGCATACCAGTCCTTATTAAATAATTATAGCTTGATAAAGATGCAAAACCTGAGCCTGAAATGTGTAGCATAAGGTTAGGGAAAAAATTCAATTTGTGTGAATTAAATGCCCACACAGCATGTACCATTTGCATTTTCATATTTTCCTGTACAACATTTATCACATTGGTGACCTCAGAAAAGATTCAAAAGATTATTTCAATAATTTAAAGAATTGATGGTACTGCTTCAGTTGTTTTTGCCTTGATATATTTCTATCAAACCTCTGAAAGTTATGTATTTTTGCTAATTTTTTTTTGTTTAAAGGTCTTTTTCTAGGTATTATTTCATTAAAAATTTTCTTTATACATTTTCTAAGATATAGCATTAAAGCCTCTAAAGATATAAGTGGATATATTTTTACTTACTTGTAAACATCTAAGAACAATTTACCACATGGCTGCAACTAGTTCCTGTTTCTGTTGTATTTTGTTTAGTTATTAGTGTCTAATGCATTTTGTATCTAAAATAAAACAATTCTGCCTCCCACTTCTGAAAAATTTGATTTTGTGTCATTTTTAGATCGAATTCAGTGGTCTTCATGATTTTGTGAACAGGATATTTTCAAAACATGGGTAAGTTCTAAATTTTTTTTTGAAGTATCCACTTGACTGGAAAATATGTTTAAAAATATTTTCAAAGTTTTCAAAGTATATTTTTGTATACATTTATGATAAATAAAAGTACAGGAGCTCTTCAATCAGTTTTGAATATTTCGATACCCTTTTTCTTATTTTCTTTTTTCTTATGTAGCAAGGAACATTCACAAAGTGATGACCCATTAACAACAAGTAAAGATCTAAATTCAAGGTATTTTTATACACCTTTTTCAACATTTATATTAACATTAGTAAAGCTAGAAGAATAAATTAATCTTTTGTCTTTTTTGTTTTCCCATCATCGTCTAGTGAGTATTTTAGATATAAGTTATGAGACACATACTGATTTACGTGGTTTTGCATGTTTGTTACTCATCATTTAGCTCAATCAAATTGAAACTTTGAATTTTTTACTTTGTAGTCTTCCTATGGATGAAATCTTGAATCAAATTAGCAACCTCGTCACATCTTCCAAGTCAAGGTAGGGTTTCCTTGGCCAGTCTCTAAAAGTTCTCAAAGGAACAGGGATTGGGTTGAAAAGCTAATCCTCTATCTGCATTTGTTTTCAAAATAATACCTTTCATTTGAAAATCATACTGTCATTTAATATAAAAGAAACTATTAACCAGATAAGAGTTAAAGAATTGGTATTTTCTAACTTTCCAGCAATCCTGTCATTTCAGCAACAAAATTTGTTCATTTGCTTGATAGAAAAAAGCGAGATACTGCATAAATATATTCTATAAAGTACCTCTTTTATTCTATGATTTAGTCTACACATGCCAATATTAACAAGTTATTCTTCCAGCTATTTGCACAAGCTATTTATCTCTAAATAGTGAGCCTGTCATAAGATTTTGAAGCTGGGCAGTCTCTGAAATTTTGTTGTTAAGACATCTGCTTCCATGGAAACCATTCATTGGAAGTAGAAATTTAACCTGCTGCCGCTAACAAAGCTAGTCTTTTTAGGTATTTGCAGTAGGTACCTTGTAATATTTTTGCATAATCTTGAATTGCTCAACTCATGTCAAGTTGCTAAAGGCTACTGGTGTATTTAAGAAAGCTATTCTTTCCTAGAAACCAATGGCAACTAACATTTTGTGTATGCATCTTGTTAATGAAAATGGTCCTTTTGAATAAAAAATTGCTTTTAGGTCAAGATATGTTCAAAAGGATTGCAGAAACAGTGGGGGGGGGGGGGGGGGGAAGGTGAGAGGGCTGTTTGTAAACCTATGGTACACAAGTACTGTGCTTAATGATGAAAGAGAATTCTGGACCCTTGTGACGATGAAAGGGGGAGGGGGGTTGGGCAAAGCAGTTAACTTTGTGAAGAAAGGGTGATGAAGAGTCCTTGTCTTGAAGTCAATAATGTACAATGACTTTATTGAATAAAATCAGTATCTTTCTATAAGGTTTATCTTTTTTACAGATACAAAAATACTCCCGATGACAAATATAACTCTGTGTCAATACTAGCGCATAACATTAGAGGATACCTTAGATTATTAAATGAAGACCAAACCACAAAGATTATTGAGACTGCACTTGCTGAAACAGGGCAGCTAATTTCAAGTTTGTTTGGGTAAGCAATCAATTGTTTCCACATTTTTTGATAAACATCCTCATTTTTGCACTAAGTGTTGATATTTTTGTTATTTTGCTGCAATGTAAAATCTTTAGCATGTGCATATACATATTTATGCCATATGTATTTTGAGTGGTTTAGCACCAGCCACGTAAATACAAGGGGGGGGGGGGGTTGAGGGAGTCATACCCCCAGTCTTTGAAATTCTTTGCATTAGTCGGAAATTTAAGAGTAATCAGGAAATATGAAGTCGCAGTTCCAATGTCTTTTTACCACTGAGAATAATACAACACAACTCTAAAGCGGAGAATTTTCTCAATTCAAGAAGAAAAAACTTTGCTTTTTAAGGTTAAAGTTCTGCAAGTAAAGGCTTGATACAATTCTCGTACAAAGGTGCAATCGACCTATTGTCAGTTGATAATTTCGTACACTTCATCCTCTCAAAAATCAATTGACGTCACTCTTGACATCTTGCTACTTTCTACCTATTTCGTAATTCAAAAAATGCTAATTCCCCAAGTAGAAAATTAAAATAAGTATTGCCCATATAAATTCTACCAGCTGTTAAAAGAAAGAATATAACAAAATCCACATAGATTACATCGCTTTTTGCTCAAACAATAAATGGACAACTTAAATACGGAAACGTAATAAGTCAACGGACAAATAGACAAGCTTAATAAAGATGTGCTTAGAAAGTTTTGCAGGTAAACAGCCAACATCAAAATATGAAATGGGATGTAAAAGAGCTGCAAAAAATAACAAGCATTAACAGTGGATTTCATTTTTATCTAAGATTATTATCAAGATTACAACATTCACTTACAAAGCATCTTTAACCTGTTTTGAAAGCTGTTAAAACGATTTTTTTTAAGCACAATTTCTACGTTTCTTCTTTCTAAGTAATATATTACGTTGCACCTTCTTAACGAATACTTGTGAGACAAATTGCACTATTGTTTGCAGTAAAATGCTGGAAGTTGTTTGGGGATTTCTTCTACTATTGTGTCCTGTTAAATCGTACCCAGATAAGTCGGGAAGTCAGACTTTTCCTTACAACAATAAAGGTCCGATTTAACGGGATTCAGCAGTCTGAACTTTTGAGTTTACACATAATTTCCACATTTTTTAGTGTTGAGAACGGATTTTTCCATTTCCATGAAGATCGATGCAATGGTTTGCTGCGAGGTAACATTTTAAGCTTTTGATTAATTGACGTAGCTTAGAATGAAAATTATTTTTACCGGTCTGTCATGAAGTGCTTGATACCTCATAGGCAGAGTTGAAACGGCACGTCTTTGATGTTTGGAACAGGACGGTTCTTAGTTGCTTCTCCGAGTTTGATACTGAAAGCGACCATCATGCAACTGTTGTTGCTAGCTATTTATAGTTATGTACAAATGCTTGTAGGGCTATGTTTACCAGGCAACATAGGTTTCAATTTGTTGTACCCGTTTGCCTTATAACTGAAGGAAAGTAGTATGAAATGAAACGCTTTTCAAGGTCTCGATAAAAGCCCATCAAACAAAGTTACTCCGCCATGAAGATTTGTTAAAATAATCATATCATAAGCATATAGATTCTTCTTGATTGAAGAACTCCTGAAATAAAATGTTTGTAGATATATAATGCTTAGACAGGTTGCAATAATTTGGATAGAGCCACAGTATGGTTGCTTAAAAATTACTCCACTGAATAGGAGGTTAGCCCGAATATTAAGTGCAATGGCCTGAATTTTTCGTGTCAACCTACTAGCATTTATAAAAGATGCTGAATTTTGCACCTGTCCCCCTGTTTAACATTGATATCCCTGCTATTAGACTGCACACAGACCAGATTTGAATTGGAGGCATTGGGTATGATGTTGCACTTTATATAAATGCTACCCGTCATGCATTTGGACTGTCATGCATCTCAACAGTGAGCTCTAGGGTTATTGGATACCTCTCAACTCTTAACCCATAAAAACTCTCCACTTTGTGCAAAGTTCACACAATATTGTCCAGATTTGAAAACCAGAAACATGACAGTTAATTACTTTTTCAGTTTGTAAGCTGGCACTTTACATGAAGTTTGCCAAATATGGCACAGATGGGTTTACGGCTTTGTATACAAGGTAAATACTAAACTTATATTTTAATTCATTGCCATACTCAAAATATTGCTTATCAGGTTTTTTATTTCATGTTTTATTTCAATACACAACAACCTGCTAAGGGGAAAGTTTGTTATCAAAAGCAGTGAAATTGGAAATTGATCATCAGGTAGACCCCGATTTCAAAGAAAATAGTTTAAAAGGCACTGTTTTCTTCGAAGCCGGAGTCTGGTTATCAGGCTAGAATATTGAAAAATACATTAAATTTCATAATCAGATATGTTTTCAAATCGTTTACAAATCTTTGTTGTTTTTTCTCAAGTGTGATTAAAATAGAATCGAATTACAATCTTAACCTTCGTTTCTATCTTGGATTTTTATCAGATGCTTAATACCTATATTTATTATGATAATTTTTTTCTCATGAAATGCTATTTAATCATTTCCTGTTGTACAAATCCGCGCGCACAGCTTTAAGTTTTCGTTTAGCGTTGACGTTTCACCAGCTCTTATTAATTCACTGATCCTTAATAAGATTTTCCTTTCTCTATCGTCAGACCACCAGTAATTTATGTCAGTGGGGCAGCGCCTGTCAATTTTGGAAAGGAGCTCAGAGTTCAGGTAAATACTTGAGTAACCTCATCATAACCAAGAAAGCACAAAAATCGAAACAATGTTTACCACGATGCTTCTCTAACGATTAAAGTTGGTGACGTCACAGTTTAAGTATTCTGAATGGTCAAATCATGTCTAATAAAGCCGCTGGTGTTCACGCGCTCGTTTTGACTGGGATTTGGCCATAAAGACTGCGAGATTTCATATTCTGAAGGCTGTCTGACATATTTTATTTTGCGCATTCATTTAACAGATTCATGACAAAGTTCGTTTTGTGATCTGAAACGAGATGAAAAATTATATTTACCATTGAGAGCTCAATAGGTGGCCTACGTCTTATCTAATTATATCTACAGCTCTCTTCATAAGACAGCTTTAATTAATTTGAAGTGATACTGTTTTGTCGTAGGTTTATTCAATTTACCAACCCTGTATCAAGAACATTAGATCATTTTCCTTCAATGCACAGAGTAATGTCGTAAAGGTTTACTCCGCCCGGCCATGTGGTCTCCATTTAATTTATCTAATTTCATCGACATTTTTTAGTTTTCGGCTCTAGATTGAAGAATTGTACTGTGAAAGTATAATAATCATTGACGTCAGCAAGTAGATCTAAAACAACCAACTAAATAAAACAACAGTCACATCAACCTAAAATTTGTTCTGAATATTTTGGCTGCGTGTCTGAAGTGGCAAAGAACATTGTAGCCTCCCAATCATACAACAGGCTAGCCTTTTTTACAACAGCCTCTTTTCAGTACGGAACATCTGCTGCTTGCGTCTGCTTGGGCTATACTCTGTACAGCGTGTTGCCTTAGGCTGTCATTAACCACTTCATCGATTTTCTGCCTTTTGACAGACGTTTGCAAGATATGTTTGGTATATCATTATCCAATATAACGATTTGTTTTCATTACATTTGTTCATCAGGCTAACGTTTCCATCAAGGTTTTTACCTTTCATTACTTTTCAATGATGTTATCAAGCTCCCACTTTTTATGGCAACCAGACAACTGCCATTTGATCTTCATTAATGTTCAATTTCAAATTGTAAACTGGATTAAATGTTTTCTAGCTTGGCCTGCCTCAGTCCAGCATTTGCAAAGGTAAGCTCTATTAACACAAACCTAGAAAAATGATATTGAGGGCGCATATTACTCATGTATTTTTTAAAATGATGCAATATCCCCCCCCCCCCATGCTACTATCAATACGTTTGAATTTTTTTTCTTATTACTCACACGCCAGGGACGGGTTGACCGGGGGGTTGTGAAGGGTACGACAATCCCGCAATGTTTTTGTTTCCCACGGTAAATTTTGCTTCGTAAAAAGCATTTTTTGATAGTCAGTAGAAATAAAAATTGATGCAAACAATTCTCAATTTATCTTATTATCTTCTTTTTCTTTAAGCTAAAACTGAGTTTTAAAAATGGGCTTTTCCATCAGTCTCTAGTCACCTGGAGGATGTGGTACCAAATCTAATCTTTATCGAACACCCTTCCCACCCAGTCCTTGCCCCCTAAATCCGTCCTTGCCTATCATATGTACGTGTTTTTTATTGTGTGTAAATCTTTCCTCTTTCTCACGAGAGGCATCAATTAGCCTGAAGGATAAATATATAACATTACAAAGAATAACAGTATTTTTGCATAATCAAATGACATGCACCACTCTAGTTACGTAGAAATTTACGATGAATTTTGAATTAGGTAATAATATGACGATGTAGTTGAAGTACTGAAGTTATGGCTTTTATTACTGCACGATAATAATCACAGCTGTTTTGTTACTACTTAGAATCGTTTAGAACAGAGAGCAACATCCCACCATCCCTCTTGCTCTCCCAGTACTACCCCTTCCCAAAAGAATTCTCCCACTCGGCTCCCAGTCGTTATTTACTATTGCTACACTAAATGATCCTGATAAATTAATTTTATTTCTGTCTAGTTCCATGCAATACAATGTTTGGTTCACCGTACACAATGGTAAGTTTGCATTTATCACGACATACTTCGCTCTTATAGATATGCATTGTGCCTTATTGCTGCCCTCCAGCTTGCCAGATTATCACGTGTTTTAATAAGATAGAATCTTAATCTGCAGATCATCCCTTTTGCCTTGAGCATGTTCCTATTGACTTGTCAATGAGGTGAACCTATTGTCTTAAACCCTACATTGCTCATTCCCTTATATCTTGAAAGAACAGGATATGTGCGTGTTGCGGTATGTCACGGCAGTGAAAAGGCAACTGTTAAGGGTTCCTACATATTGGTTTTATTAAAAATGGGCAATGTGTGCTGCTTTAGATTCAGGCAATAGAATTGAAAACATGTGGCAGTTTGCCTTTCGAATCTCTGTATTCTTTTAAGCACCTTATTGGGTCCTTAATTAAGGCCTAGTGCTATTATTCATTTGAAAGAGTTGCTTTTAGAAATAATCTAAAAGATCTGGCATATTTGCACCAACGCACTTATAAGCCATAACAGATGAAGGTAGAATTGGTCTTGCCAGAGGGAAAATACTCAAGTCAAGACAATTTCAAGTGCTTTTGCTAAAGCAGCTCAAAGCGATTTACGATTGACGATATTTAAGACTGGCGCTTACCATTTATATACCTGTGGTACATGGCTAGATGCCATTTAGCTTAACAACGCAGGTCAAATATCATTCACGGTTAGAAATTTATTTTCTTCCGGGCTCTGTCAAATCGGCTAATATCAGCCACGTATTGCTTTTAATTTTTTTTCATATTAAGTTTCAAAAATCATTTTCCAACCTCTTAAGTCTTTTACGCACCTTGCCTGACAGCTCAGCAGAGTTTTCATTCATAATTTGAACTCACCTTGCAGTATTACCCAATGCTCCAATTCTGGGAGGAAATTCTCGAAGGCAATTTTATGTCAGACACACTTAAGAATACTGTTTCATTACTGCATTTTAAAAATTAACAATCATGTATGTACTGTCTATATTTTCTTTCAGGATGTTGCTGCTTTTGAGAGACTCTTAACTGATGACGTGTCATGTGGAAAAACGCCCTTGTTACTAATAGCATTCGCAGGTGATCAATCTGCTTTTTGACCAACTTCCTTTTCTTCTTAAGGTGACGTCAGAGCTAGGGGCACCAGGGGAATATCATTCCTAGCGTTTGGAAATGCATTCAGATGTGTTACCAGGCGTGGTCTTTTCCGTTTTAAATGCCCCCCCCCTTCACATGCTTTACCCCCTGTCACCTGGCGTCGTGAATGTTTCTCACACATCAACTGACATTAAAAACAGATGCTATTGATGCCAAATATATTTCTGTTATTTCCGTACATCTCTAAAGCTGCATATCTAGGATTCTTTTTGTTAAACAATAACTGTAACTTAAATTGATACCTTTCTACCATTAATAAAATGAACCTTGCACTAGGTTGGCTCTGTAATATAGACTATACCTCTGTTTCAGTGAAAATACACATAAACACAAACATAGCAAACAAGTGTATTAAAAAGTCTCAAATGGGCCCAGACTGCTCAATGGTTTGGTCTTTTCCTGTAATTCCAATATGTTTTTATCCATCCTTTGAAGGCACTCCTGGCACAGGTCACACAGACAACTTGGCAAGGCTGCGGGAAATCTGCACGCAATCTGGGGTTTGGTTACACATCGAGGGGTATGTTTCCTTTCAGCTCCTTGCAGTATCAGCTCTGTGTCTCTAAAGGATCTGTTTTGTAGCTTTATAGCTTCGTAATGACCATCTGAACTACACAGTTCCCTTGAAATGGAAAAGGAAGATGTAGAGGCAAGGAGAAGAGAGGAGAAGACATTCTACTTTTTGATATCACTCTCCCTCTCTAGTCGGGTTTCTGGCATAAAAATACAATTTATAGGGGTAAAATGATGCTTTTGCAGCAATTTGAGGGCAAACTTTTATTTCAAAACTCCAGGGCTCCTGTGTTGAAGAAGGCCGCCGAATTTTCGAATTCTAGTAAGGGAACAATTTTAGACCAATGCTGATGATATTTTTATTCTTAAAATGGGAAATTTTATATTTTTATATCTGCATCTTGATATTTCCTTACTAATCCACTGATTGATTTTTTATCGGTGTCTAAGTTGATGAAACCCATTTATCACGAGTTTTCAAAGTTTGAACTAAATGTTGTTGAAGAATGGTTTACTTAGAGTTATATTCCCAATGTTGTAAAATATTTCTTTTCAATTTCTAGTGATTCCTTGGCTACTTTAGCATTGTCAAAAGTCCCTCCATCTATTTCGGTAAGTAAACTGATCTTTCCTACCTTGTCGCTTATCAATAGTAAAAATATTCCACATGCTTTCATTTGCCAAGATTATTATTTTATAAGGACGAATTTAGAGAATTTAGAGACGAAATTATAAGGACGTGTTTCATTTGTTCTTGGCCACGCAACAGTGTCTCTTGGTACCATTCGTATTTTCTTTTCGATAGTGATTCAGTGCATGGCTTAAGCTCAATTCGAACATGGAAGGGTTCGTCTGTCTAAAGATTTACCTTTTCAGCATCCCTTACAGTGTAGCCTTAATCAAAGTGTATTGCTGATGGTTTTGTTTGTAATGGTTGGTCAAGTCAGTAGGTACTGAGATTTTGGTACTGATCAGATTGACAACAGGCAAGCCACAATCGACCATATACGATGTGGACAAAGCCAGCCAGGCTCAGATACAGCAGTCTTATGGAGATTCGCTTGATTTTCTTTTTAATTTTTTTTCAATTTTCTTTATTTATCAGGCTGCAACTAGTTCAGACAGTTTCACATTGAATCTCCCGACCTGGTTTGGTACACCAAACATTCCTTATTGTGTATCCTTTCGCCACTTATGTATAGATTTATTGGAAATATGATTTGTTTTGAAAAAGTTTAACAGTTTTACAGCAAAAAGTAATTACAGCGATGACTGAATTCAATGTAATTGTACTTTGATCGTTTACGGGGGTTCTAATTCATTAATCCTTTTCTATTTCATTAAGGCTCTTTTGCTTCATCGTATCCCCAACAAAGGTGATCATTGTCACAGGATTTTCCAAAATTTAATTTTTCATGGTAGAAGCCCTCTGAAGTATATTGTATGGTAGAAGCCCTCTGAGATGTTCTAGAAATGATTTGTTTAATGATAGGCTTGTCTTAGGGGGCACAATTCGCAATATTGTTTTGGCCTCTTCTTACACTTTAAGCCTTGGGCCCCGACACTCTTAATACGACCCTTGTTAGACGAAATTTCGATGATGTATTTAGCTTAGGTAAACACTAAGCCCTTGGTTCTGTTGATGCCTTAATTTCACTAAAGACTACATACAAAACATCAAATCCAAGCTTGGTGAGTCAGTTACAAGTTCCTTTTTGTACTTTACGTTAATGTCTCAAATCTTATTGCATACATTAATGATCTCGAATATTGCATACATTTCTTTCGATGCCTCTTGTTTTATCGTGTACTAAATTGGAATTTGCAATATCTTCTTTGAACCTAAATATGTTCATGCATTGTTTGGCAAAGAGCGTATTGATATCAGTAGCTTGCTTACCAAAGACTGAATGCAAAAACCGCTGTCTTTGTTCCTTAGTTTTTAATGAGTTTCGATTGGTTTACCCCTTTTGATTAATACGTTCTTCGTTTATATTCATCGTGTAACTCTGATTACAGGCTGAGCAGAGTGGACTGGTTCCAACTAAAACTATCGAAAAACTAGCATGTTTTCCATTGTGGATGCTGTTAAAGTCAATTGGTGAGTCTCATCAACTGCAACGATTGACACCTCTTGGCAAAATCCACTGCATAGTTTATAAACGTCAACCTTTTATGTTTGTCCCACATTCGATATTCCTGGACGAAAGTAGCAAGCTTTAGTTACTAAGGACAGTATTTTTCGCTTAGAAGTAATTTTTTACGATGCTTCCCTGTCAAAGTTTCAAAAGGCTATGGGAAGGTGTGGCAATTATGTCTTCTGAATACATAAAGCAGTTAATTTCTTAAGTTAGTAGTGAGTTGCTAAGGTGACAATGTAACTGGAACGTTACTATTGGTGCAAATAAAGGAATCATAATTCAGTTGGTAAAGCGCTCGATTCAGAATCGAGTGATGCAGATATCGAACCCTCTCTGCATCTGAGCCAGTGGTTAGTGTCAGGAGGTGTGTCCGATGCAATTTCAAATACCCAACTGTTTCACAAAGATACCTCAACAGGGCCTGTCTGGCATTTTAGACATGAATACTGGAATAAAAGAATAGTGCAAGGTTTTTTCAAGATATTGCACCTGCTAATGCTCATTTTTGGACAGTTGCATAACCTATTCGACAAAACCAAAAGCTAACGTAAATTTTTTTTAAATAGACTGACAACTGGTTTTAAATAGAATGTTACTGTTGTATTTTGTAACATTTCTTTGAAATTTCTTTGTCTAAGACATATGGCTACGAAGAAAAAGAAGCGTGACAGTTGTGCTGAAGTTCCATGATTAAGATTGAGGGAGGGTGTAGCAATTTAGAACCGTTCTGCCCGATACACTTAATCATAAACTGGATCGTTACAAGATTTGTTTGTAATTATAGGCTGTGTTATCTTCCAGGACTAGACGAACTAAAAAGTTGCATCACCAAAGCTTCAGAATTAGTATGTTCAATCATATTCCCTTTTTTTTATTCAGATCTAGGATGGTATTTATATATTACCTAAATTTGAATTTTTGCGCATGATTTGGATTTTATATGCTGTGAAGAGTAACAGACGATAAGCTAAAGTATGTCTTTAACTGTTTACTTTTGACAGAGCCATTTTTATATTTAGATTAATCTGTATTTAGCCACAATTTCAGACATTGTTCGTTAGCAAATTGTACCTGACTGAGATCTGACATTTCCTGTTGACTAAATAAAAGCCGCCGCCATAAGTCATTGCAAATTGACTGGCTTTCCATTTAATTATTAAAGAAACCCAGATCACTGATATCTTTTGATATATCGTTGGCAGTTTTTCTAATTCACAACAAGACCTGTTTACATCATAAGTTCGTGGAATGAAATTAGGTCACCCATCATGTGCCCCATTTTTTGTTTGCTCATTTTGTTAGCTTCAAGAGCCATTCTCAATCACTGTTTAGCTTATCTGAGAAACTACGTTAATATGAATTATTTTTAATGATCTGGTCACTTATTTTTGCTACTACATCTCGTCAAATCATATGATATCATGGTTGCTTTTAATTTGCTTGCGGGAGACCACAACTTGTTCTCATAGTTACAATTCCTTGTTATCTTACTAGGCCCAGCAACTGTCCCATCGGATTGACATGGTGTCAGGTGCAAAGAGACTGGTCAGTGTTTTGATTTCCACCATGTTGCCTTCTTCTGTTAATTTATAATTCTATTTTTTTAATGCTCTTTTACCTTTTTAATATTTGACAAGCTTTTTGCTGTTACCCTTGTGTGTTACGGCCTTTTCCTCTGATCGCAAGAGCAATTTTTATCACAGGATATATATCTATAATCTCTTGATAAGTCGTTTGTGCTCGCCTAGGCCAAACCTCATACAGTGGCTTGGCCCAATCAATTTTCATCGTGCAAGATTGGCCAAATTTTTGTTTCCTTGCAAATGGTTTCATATACTTTTTACGTAAATCATTGAAGGTGATCAGCATATATACCTGTAGGGGTATTATTCTGGTGGCAGTTTTGTTAATAAAAATACATATAGTCGCTGTTTATTGTTAAAGTTGCATTCACTGACATGATTATGTTAACGGCTGCCGCGATTACTGTCACGACTACAATTGCGATTATGGGTGCGATTACGGTTGCGATTACGGTTGCGATTACGGTTGCGTTTAGTAGTACTCATAAAGTTTATTGTATACTTCATTCATATGGCACTGGGCAGCGGATAAGGAAAAATATGTGTCCTTTTTTGTTTATAGCTTTTCAGTTCTATTTGTAACTAACAGTTTATTGACCAAAGGTTTAAATTATTATGCCTTTTCTAACAAGTTCAATCTGCTTTTATAGGAACAGGCAAATGTGATCTCTCCCACCGTCGTCTTCAAATACAAGGCATCACCAGCTCTTTCATACACTTCTTCAAGTTCACTTGAAGATGAAGGTATGGTTCACTACACGTGATATTGGCGTTTTGAGACACTGTAGCTCTGCATTTGAAAATCTTTAACAGGCCTCAAGATAATCGCGTTTAATGTTTCCATTATTAAGTCCCAGAACTACAATAGCTTAATGTCACAACTAAGCCCTTTTCTTGTTAAAGAATGTTTAAATTTGTGCCAGTGCGAAAATGTACAGCTAATGAAATTATCAGGATCAGATGCCAGGGTTTTATTTAACCCAAAGATTTTCCTTTTTTACCAATACTTTTTTGAGTTTAGAGTCTCTCAGTTTCTAGACTGTTAATAGCTCTAAATTTGTTTTTTATTAGATATTCTTTAACATGTTAAGATTAGTTACAGCTTTTAGAGATCAAAGAAACCACTTAGTATATTAGATGCAAGGGGAGGAGGGAATGATGGAAGGATGGAAGGATGGAAGGAGGGAAGGAGGGAAGGAGGGGAAGGAGGGGAAGGAGGGGAAGGAGGGGAAGGAGGGAAGAATGGAGGAAGGGAAGGAGGGAAGGATGGAAGGATGGAAGGATGGAAAGATGGAAGGAGAGAAGAATGGAAGGAGGGAAGAAGTGGAGACGAAGGGAGAGAATGAAGGAGAGTGAGAGAGATTGAAAGGTGCTAAGCTTGATTCCCCTTACAGTTGTGTCGCTTTCCAAGAAAGCCTCCTGTTGTTATTATCAGCTGAAAGAGGGCAACTACATCCTGTTGCTCCTAATGTTCGCTTTTGCAAAAGTGAATCTCTCCAAAACCGGCCGAATTCATAAGAACATCTTTGTGTGTTAGAAAGTATTTCAAAATACCACAAAAACGTATTTATTGAAATGCTTACCCGAAATACGATTTCATGGTCTCTTTTGACAACCAAGGCTCCTTCGTGTATAATTCTGTCTCGGTAAATACTTTTCTCATCGTTTTGTTAATATTTTGTTTAACAAGTCGTTTCTACGTTACGAGGCAAAATTTGATTCATAGAAAACGTGATTCGGAGAGCTCAAGTTTTAAGTAGGGAAATCCAATTTGTTGTCATTCATTCGCCGCTTTAATACTGTTACCTAAAAATGGAAGAGACCAAGAGAGTAATCGCCTTGGAATATGCTTTTCGAAGCCATCCACTGCCGAATGTTTGCCATGTTCTGGATTGTTGGTTGCTAGTAGAAACTTCAATTCTTTGATTAGTTTTCTGGATTGTTGATACTTGCGCTTTCTGTAAATAACCTCGTGAAATTAACCTTGCAACAGAGTGTCCTCGTTTTAAATGATTCTCGTCGTTGAATGCTAATGTTGATTGCTACGGGTGTCAAAATAGTATTGATTATCATAAAAATCAACCCCTTGGTGTTCAATATGTCTTAGAATTGCTATCTTCAAAAAGCCAGACCTATGATGGATTGAATGTCTGCTGCACTCTGTTTATGAATAAGTTTTAGCCAAGCCATAAAAAACTAGTTCCCCCATTTTTCCACGTCCATTTCCAAATTCTACAACTCATCCATGCTTGCAAAGGAGACAGTAATTGCAAACAAGAAGAGGGGGGGGGGGGGATAAATGTAGTCCGGAGTTCATCTGAGCACAAAGCTAGCCGCAAAATTTCAACTTTGATTCCTCATAAGTCAATATTTATGCTTGTAGCTAGTTTTCTTAATTTTCTTAATGCTGAGAATGTAAAAGAATCTAAAACTTTTCCTGTCAGTCTGAGCGGGCTCTTATATTATGGGAATTAAACAGAAATGGAGGTCTTAAGGTTTTAAAAATAGCTCTCATTTTGTTCCAATAATTGTTTTGTTAACTGAAGATTAGCACAACCAAGATTTTTATCGACGACCTTCAGATTATCATCTATGAAAAAAAGGAATGTGTTTGATTTATGGTTTAGATATATTCAGCGCTTAATAGTTTAAAATTTTGAGAAATGTAATAACGAATCGCTTCTTATTGGAAGAAATTCTAATTTCAAAAACTCCAAAAACAAAAACTTTATTAAGCCTGCAGGTTTAATAATTGCTAAGTTTTTTATGCGGCTTTTTATTCTAATTTTTAAATTCGTTACGACCTCGCTTTTTAAGGTAGTTTTTACTGCAATGAGGAGCTATGCTTATCAAGCAGTATTCTGGTCTTCTTCTCGATATTACCACACATTGTTGTTCCTATGCCTGGTGAGCTAGCACCTCTTCACATTATGAGTGAATTTCTGGTCATAGCAAGGCTTATAGTGTATCATTTTGAGAAATCTATATGACAGTTAACATTGCTATTTGTTTGCAATTATATCTCTTGTATAAGATGCAACTAACTTCTTGAGATATCCTGATAGAAAATGCTACCCTCTATTGCAGATGACGATGAAAACGTGAAGTCGGCTAAATCTACAATTGATGTATCACCAAAGCTGTGTGATTCGCTCAATGAAATTGTGAGTAATTTATTCTGAAAATGATGAAAACATGTCGGACGAAAACTGCTTTTGTTCCATCTTGCCATCTTCCCGTGCTATTTTTATAGCTAGCTATGCTGTTTTCCAGTTCCCTGACCAACAGTCAAAACCAACAGACAAAACCAAAGCAATAATGTAGTGTGTTATTTTTAAGTTGTCATCCTTGTTTTGTCCGGTTCCGTAAAAGCGTAAAAGGATCTTGTGTCTTAGCAACGTTAAGAGGACTCATCTGGTGAATCCAAATTTAGCAACGTACTTTTATCTACAAGATTTCATCTTATATTGTATGTTCAGACTATTAATTAAGACTAAACGAATGAAAATCCATTTTTAATTTCCACTTGGGGCTAACCGTCAGGTGAATATTGTCAAAAGTCAATCTGATTTTGACGGACTTTGCTTGTAATCTGCTTTCGTTTAGGTGATTATAAGCCTACAGAGACAAACCAAACCCTCATTAGATTTGACTAGGAGAGTACATCATCATTATTAATGGAAATTAAACCATAGAAATATTATTTGACCTAAATATACACTGTTGTCGGGCAATCATTAAGCGGTTGTTCCACCTCGATATGGCTACAAACAGAAGTCTTCGATTCATTCAGATAGGCTCTTCTTTTCGAAGGTCTTCAGACAGCATTGAAATATCCTCCTTCATTCTATATAGAAAAATTATTATATGACGCCACAACATCAGACGTTTTACAGCGAGTTGAAAATTGCAGTTAACTGACTGCGTTTTGCCACCCGTGGCTTCTTCTGATGTTTATCACTTTACTGTTGAGCCTTACATAATATTATGTTCATAGACACACCCCATCTCATGGTGACGTTTTTCCCCTTTCGGTCCTTTCTTACTTTACGCTTATTAAATTTGCCTAAATTTCACACCTGCAAAAGCTCTTTATAAGAGAAAATAATCATTTTTAAGAAGAAGAGGGGTTAAGTACAGTAACCTGGCTATTTTTATGAAAATCATTTATCACTTCTGTTTTCTATTGCCACACTCTTCCCTTCGAGGGAATTACCCATTTTGCATGGGTCATATTCGTTTTGACCAGTATTTTAGTATACTTTTCTCATGTTCAAAGTTCTGTTTATTTTGATGCAGTGCCAATATGTTACCTTGGTTTGTGTTCAGATACAGAACTGGCTTCAGTCAGTGCCACTTCCCTTCTACATTAGCTTAGCAAAAAATGCCTACTTAAATAGATTTCAAACTATCTTCAGTATACCTGTTTCTTTATTTTCTTGTCATATCAGATGCTTCTTTTCTTTTGTGATGTTTAATTTCCGGAAAACTATTATTCTTCAGCTCGCAGACCATCTTCAACAATTATGTGGAAAGGTTGCAATCAAGCTGACTCAGATTTCTCGAGAGGGTTCGTGTATTGCTTTCAACCCACTGCAGTCATCGCGAGGTAGGATTGCATTTGTATTTGTATTTGTTGCTACCTAGCATGCGAAGGTAGTTTCTAGGACACTGCGAAGCTATGCTTATCGAGTAGTGTCCTGGTCCTTTCTCTCAATGTGACCACACCTCATGATTCCTACGCCTGGAATTACAGAGAGCTGGCGACTCTCCCCACTCTTGGTGTAAATTTGGTGATGCCAGGGACTCGAACCACAGACCCTTGGGTCTGTAGTCAGCGCCTCTAGCAACTGAGCCATCCTTGCACCTCATTTTCCATTCTCAAACACAAAGAAATGATAAGATGGCCACCATTGTTTTAATCGTTGCTTTGTTTATGTTTGCTTTTTTGAGCCAAGTCAATACCTCATCAGCAGTTATTTCTTAAGGCAGGCTGCTTTTCGTAGCTTCAGTGATGCTTGATAAATACATTTAAAAACATGCATAAATTTCAAATAATTTTATTATGCTAAAGGAGCTAGCACTAGAGGCTGTTGCAGAAAAGAGAGAGGGCTAGTATCCACTTCTAGCCATAACGGGGGGGGGGAGTACGCTCCCTTAAATTGGCTGTTTGCTCCATTTTCGTATTGTATTGCTCCTTTCATTGATGTTACGCCCCACCCCTTTGCAGTTATTGTGTGCAGGTGTCCTTCCGTGAGCATCTTGGTGAACATAATTGTTGACGATAGAGAAATGAAATTTTAAAAGTCCTGTAGCTAAACAAACGCTGTATTTTAGCTCTTCCTGTGTTTTAAAACAGCTCCATAGCTTTTGATTTTACATGTTTGTTCACTGTCATAAGGCCGTTTTTCTCAGGAATTCGATCAGATGAGAAAAGATAAAGAATTTCTTTATCACCAACGTTTGATAGTAATCTCCACGATCTTGCATCAAACTTTGAAAGCAATGACCTAGTTCATAATTTCTCTAACAACATTTAATACTCTCTAAAGGAAGTCGGTTGAGATAGGCTGACGTGAAATGATCCTAAGGCTAAAATGGTTTGGTTTTTACTCGACAGATTCATTATCTTTAGATCACAATCATAAAAACCTGACAGCAGTTTTTAAATTCGTGATGTTAAGTCTTGTTCTGTAATTTTTTTATTAAAACGTAATATTGATGCTCGTCAATGAATGCTAAACCTGAAATCAGAGATTACGTAATCACGACACATTTTTTAAGATAAAAGCTTCAGTGTTGTTAAAGCTTACAAGTCGCCAAAGGAAAGATTGCTAATGTACATATTTGTAATGTTCATATTTTTGCTTGTCTTCTGATTCAATTATTTGTTTCACTGTTTAGAAAATCTATGCGACTCTGCTGTAGTCGACAGAGGACCAGAGCTAGTTTTCCTTCGCAATACCACCAAATTTCCCCAAATACCATTTTTCTTTTAATTATCAACTACTGTGTAATATTGTGTTTTTTCCTAGGTAGACCCATGGCCAACGATTAGGATTTTTCTTTATTTAATTTGTTTTTTCGTTTGAAGCCTTAGGAACAGACAACAGTGACATTGACCAGTTTGTAGAAGAGCTGGAACAAGAAATCGTGAGTGATTCTTTCTATCAAACCATCCTATTCTAGATCGTAACAAACAGAATTTCCTCATTGAAGGAAGAAAATTTTCTGGCATTAAGCAGAAAGAACTTTAGTCACGTTGTGGTTGAAACGTTCACGTTCCCAGCTTTCCAGATTGTATAATCTTAGGACACCTGTAGTTCTTGAGGTCAGTGACGAAACAGAAGTATATCGGGCCCTTATTAAGAAGAAACTGAGTCGGGGCCCTTATTTGCAGATGGCAATACGGTTCCATCCCATCAAAAATAACATGGGCTCCCCCTTTTGGTCAAGGGCCTTTAGTTATTGAACTTAGATGCCCTAAACTGCGTTGCTCTATGGCTTGTGGTTGAAAATTAATATTTATATGCTTCTAAATTGATATTTATTGTTTGTTTACAAAACTTGTTGTTAGGAACACTTTCGCAGCACAGTGACTATTGTTTTTAGATGAACTGCTGACTGAGTTATGTTGAATGCCATTGAACAACGGTGTTTTATTTACGATAATGTTTGATCATGAAGGCTTGCTTTACAACAATGCTGTCATATATGTACCCAAACTGAGACATGAGATGCGATGTAGGAAAGTTTGATCGCTTTGATTTCATCCTAATCGCGTTATATCATGAAAGGATGTTGGTTTTGTGTCCAGATTTTTTTCAACTTGGAGACTGATTATTTGTGGGCATAGTTATAAATGACGGCGGCTTTAGCCTAAGTGGATCTTAAGGAAGACTAAATTATGCCCAAGGCATAACATACAACAAGGAGATGTGATTGTGATAAAAGGGGAGAGTTTTCAGTGGAATGAGATTGGGGAAGGGGATAAGTACAACGTTGAAACTGGAATGCACTGCATGTACTTTAAGAAGTTTTCATTATAAGAGAAGGAACTGCTTGTTAAGGTAATAATTATCAGTAATGATCTTTTCTAAGCTGATGCAAAAAACAGTAAAAAAAGTCTCGATCGATTAGAGTTGAATTTCTGAATGGTTATTTGAATGTATGGTTTGTCATGGTGGCTAGATAAAAACAGCATTGCGCCAGATTCATCAATCAATAGATTCATTGATGCTATTTCAAAGGTTTTATCGTTATTGAGATTCGCCATTCGTTGCTGAGGTCTTTTTAGCTTAGCAAAACTGTTTGTTATTTGAAATGCCATGCCCTTGAAAAGAAATTAATTGTCATTCACTAAGAGTAGCCCCTATCTTTATGTTTGGTAAGGTTACCACACGAAAGTTTGATTATGCAGACTATTTTCAGTGGCCTGGGGAATTGCTTACAAAGAGATACACTGCTTGAAACGATAATTAAATGTAATCAACGGTCAAGAGAAGAAATAGGCAAGGAAAAGTGGTTAAGGAAGATTTTATGAAATAAATAAAGCTGAAAAAAATTGCTATTGTGATAAAACCGGAAATCCCTTGAAAGCATTTTGCGATTAAGGAAGATGGCGATCCGATCAATCAATGAACGTAATCAATCACTGGTTTTATAACAAATAAACTTATCATTTTCGTATAGAACGAATCAGTGATATACAATGAAGCACGAAATCGTCTATTCACTAGGAAGTTTTGAAATCACTGTTGAATGATCAAACGTTTGTTGTGGGGGTGAGATCCTCACGTAGATTTGAAGTTGTCCGTGATTCTAAAACTTCCCGTTTTTGTCTGGGATTTTAGAATTTCCCGTCAGTTACTATGGCATTTATCTGATGTACTGTATACCTGAGGTCTGTGGCAGATGATATGTTTATGTTAGGTGATAACGAGTTAACAGATGCGAAAAATCCATTGCTACAATACCTATTGCACTGCTGCTTGATACTGGACAGGTATGACACACGTCGTATCATGATACACCGTTGATTACATTCAATAATCGTTGCAACAAGTGTATATCAGGTGTGTCATGGTTCTTGTGTTGATCGAATAATGGTGATCTGCTTTGATTCTCGTGAGTCGAAGAACGAATTGGAGAAAGGTTGAATGAAGAAAACGCCCCCCCTAAATGAAGCAGTAAACAAGTTTATCTGTTTGTCATAAGCATTCCTAACAGAGGGAGTGTTGTTGCAAGCAAATAATTCTATTCCTTTAACAGGCATTTCATCAGGCATGTTTTTTAGAATCCCTTTTTTGATTTCAGATAAGGCTGGATTCCACTTTAATATCGCGAAGTTTCTTTCAAGAAGCTTTCCAAACAGTACCAGACGTCCTCTTAATTGACAGCTCAGACAATCCGGTTGTCGGTGCCTTTCAGTAAGTGCCTTTCAGTAAGTTTTAGATTTTAACTCGCACAACTTCTGATCATCTTCTGTTATTGTCAAAAACTTTAATTCTGCTTTCTTCTCAACTCCATGACAGGACGTGGTGTAACATGAGCTACAAACTTATGTTAACTTTAATTATTTGTCACTTGCTTTTGTTTATTTTATTCAATTCTTTATGAAAAGTCGACATACTCTGTCTAGCAAATATGTCAGGACAAATTAAAATGGACCAGGGGCTTAAACAAAGTTGTCAGCTTCCTGCATTTAGAGCTCATGTTTAGGTCAGATACGTGCAAAGCAGATCTGATAAGAAGAGGCACTTCACTTGGGGCGGACCCGTTTTTTATCTGCATGAGCAAGAAAGGATGAACACTTTTACACACTGAAAAAGGTTTTATTAGATTTCTTAGAACTGCTGCAAACAGGATGACGTCAGGCAATCGCAGTAATTTTGTATTTGAGTTTCTAGTAAAAAAGACCGACACTGATCCACTTACCCCAATATTACCCCCACTCACCCCAATATTGGTTGTAAATTTGAATACCATTGTTATCCGCAATGAATCCATTAGACCACAAAGAACCACTCACCTTTGCGTAAAGCAACATTGGTAAAATGTACCAATACTTTTTGCAAGCATTGTAGGTAGCTTTCTTAAGGGAACACCCTGAATATGCAACTGCTTTATCATCCACAATTCCTACCAATGGTCGTGGTACACTACATTTGATTTTTGCACATTTCTATTGCATCCCCCTCCTCCTCCGAACAATATTTTTTCGAATAATTTTTAGAGGCTCGGTGTTTTTAGTTTATTCTTTTCAGATGATATTAACTCTACAACCAACATTGTTTTGGGGGAGCGTAGTGCGATATGGGTCTTTTCTATCGGAAACAGTTAAACTTTCGAAAAAACACTTTAGTAACTGGGCTTTCTAAGTATTTTTGGCAAGGACTTTAGTTTATTGCTAGCGAGGCAGATGAAAAGCGTTCGGGTGCTTTCCTTTCTGCTTTTTGTGTTTGGAGCAAATTTCAGCTAATTATTCTAAAAGTTCCAACTATTCGGAAATAGTACTTAGCAACTACACTCTCCACTCAATATTTTTAGTCGACTGCTTTCGAATCTTACAGGATTTGATAAGATAAGCAAATTATCTCCACCTCCCCAAATTGTCCAAAAGCCATTTTCGTAGAAGCTTCTTTGTACCCTTTTTAATTACAAGATCTTTCGTATGATTAATGGAGGAAATTTCGACAACTCGATATGGGTGGTTTTCAGTTCGTGCTAGCATTTGTTGAAGATTGATAATGGAGTATTGCTTCTTCTCGTAATTCTCAACAGCAGCAAATTGAATTGGTTACTTCAGTATTTTTATCAAAATACAAGATGAGAGTGCAAGTTGCCACTAAGTGGTTATTTCAAAATCGTCTACACTTTGCTTAAACAGGTGCTGTTAATATTTTTATAACCCAGGCTATGATTAGCGTCATCGATTCATTGTTTATAAAATCCTCAGTGAACTGAAACTCAGAGATCACTTTAATGACATATTTTGTCTCGTTTAACTTTTTTGAAAATTGGAAAAAGGCAGCCGTTTCTAATTCATTTTTCAAGCCACCCATGCTGTTCGCGATCAAACTCAGGTTCTTAAAAAAATACTAACAATGGGCGGACAACTTTATCCGGACGGCGTAAGCTGAATTTAGGGCCCTTTCAAATAATCTGCCGAAGAACTTTCGCTCCTCAAGAATTAAAATTGAATAAACATCGAAACTATAAACGTAGTTATATTAGAAAATACCGCGCCACCAGAGACTATAACGCAATAAAAACCGCTCTGTATAGAGGTAGACCATCCTCACTAACTACCGCGCTTATTTTTCGTTGAAAGATCACTAGAAATCATACAACTTGTTGAGATTTCTCAAGAATTTAATGCATTTTGAAAGCCTTGACGGAACAATATTTAACGGAACTTCTGCATTATCGAAGTTTAATTTTTCACACAGGAGGGAGTTATGTTCTCCCTCTATAATCTATCTTCGAGTCGATGTTTGGTAGCTAGTGAGCCATGATGCTTAAAACCTCTTGCTCTGACACTCGCAAAGCATTTGAGCTGATTTTTCTATCGAAGCATTTTTTACATTTTTTTGGTTACATTGCAGGTGCATCCCAAAGTACTGGAAAGTTAAAGCGACATCAAATTTAAGCGACAGCAAGAAAAGGGAGGCTAACGAACTTAATCGTAACATGTTACTGAAACTTTCCCAGGATTTCAACTGTCTCAGCGAAGGAAAAACTCCCGATGGTCAGATATACGTTCGGGTTGGAGTGGTAAGTATTAACGATTTCCTTTCTGTCTCAGGTTGTTGCTGCCGCATAATAAGCATTTGTCGTATATCATCTCCTGAACGCCTGACCTGAATTAAACGCCTCTACGAAACGCCTCTATGAAACGCTTCTACTTTCCACCCTAAAATGAAATTAACCCTTTGGATTTGTCAAACACACTGCGAAATATTCTAGTCGATGTGAATGGGTTTATCTGTAAGTTAACATTGTTATGTTTTTGAAAATAATTAATAAAGAGACTGCAATATGAAACGATAACAGGGTAACATTACGTGTGTCCGTGTTTGTTTTGTCGAAAAGCGCTATATCGATGTAGGTCCTGATTTCTTCCAACTCGAAAGTTATTTCTTATTTGCAAGTCGGCATTAGAAACTCTCCATCCCCACCCCTCCCCCATTGTTATTGTATATTCTGTATACACGGTGCACTTTGAGGGTTTGATAGCCTGCACCCATGTTTTTTATAAACATCTTTCCGAAATGGCTCTCCCCTGCATTTTTGACGTGGTAAAATATGCGATATGGGTTTTCTAAAATTGCTAAATTAATGCACACTGCACAAATTGACTTGTGAATCGCATCTTGCCTTTAAAATATGTCAAAAACCGAACAGTTTCCGAGACTACGTCATTGCAACGATATAATTGGTTTTCGAAGTCTATGTAAAAATGATTAATAAAACTATTCGGCTTTCCATGCTTCCACAAGCCGTGAATTCCTCACTGATGACGTTCAAAGCACTTTGTTAATACATCATTGTGTTTGCCTGTAATTCTTATCATCTGGCCACATTCTAGCAGTGTTTAGTAATTCTGCACGTTACTGTTGACTTTTATCGCCCATTATGAATTAGCCTCGAGCGATCATTCGTCCTTGACTTCACATTTGGTAATCCGCAATCTCTGTTAATTCCACACCAAGCTTTGCGTTATACCATTTGTATCCTGTGTAATTTTTCTGCGAATCGGTTTAATTCTTTGTAGATTCTAAGGTACTCTGCCAGAATAAATGCCTTTCACCCACTAACATAAATAAAGTACTGTGTGATAATTTGTTAACACACTATTCTTAAGGCAATATCCTGCTTTATAGATCGATGAAGCCTTTGATATTAATACCTTGGCAGAGACGGTCAAACACGTTGCGGAAGAATTAGAGGACAACACTAAGGTATTGTGGGTTTGTCTTTAAAGAGAATTTAATTTAACCCTGTTTAAGAACTGGACAACTAAAACCCACATTTGCAGCAAGTGAATATATAAGAATACATGCGCAAAATAGTTGTGATTGCAAGATATGCCAAGATATAAATCTCACTTGGAACGGCATATTGACACGAGCACAGGGAGACTGAAGAGAAAGGGAAGAAATTTCCATTGAGATGTGTGTAATCTAGTTGACTTTTTGACGAAGTATCATCAAATTAAATTTTCGTCAAAAATCTTTGTATAAAAGAGAGACCATTATGAAATCTGTAATCTTTGATGATTGCTATAGGATTGATAATTTCTATGCTTGAAAAGGTCAGAAGATCGTGGAACCTAGTTATCAAGACCAAAGTCTGATTGATTGATTTATTGATTGATTCATTGATTCATTGATTGATCAAAACAATACTATTTTGGTGGTTTGGATAGTCAACAGTACATCAGCGTCCACCTTCCTTCGTTGCAACAAGTGCTAAGCGACTAGTCCGAATGATTCTGCACTTAGTCGTAATTCCATGTTGATTTGCTTTCAGTTTTTGGAGACCATGAGTGATGCCATACAGAAAAGTATCCATGAGGCTGAAGCCGTTTTGCAAAAAGAATCTGAAGAAAAATTCTTTGAAGAGGTGATCTATCATTGGATTTATAGTATTTATGAACACTTACAGTTTCATTTAAATGAATTAATGACATGGCACGACAGGAAGTATATAAGTCATCGTAGCCCTCTGATTCATCTCAACGAGCAGTCGTTTCTACAAAAGGTAGATCTAGCACGTTTTGTAGACATGTTTCGATTTGGGTAGAGAGCAAACCAAAAACTGAGGTTTCAAAGCAGTTTTTAAATTTGGGGTAACAAAAATGCTTCTTTTGTTATGGGTAAACAACGGGCAACAGCATCTATATGAATCTGCTTTTTTATCAGTTATGCCAGACAGTTTATGCCGGAAATTACTAGAAAAATCGATTTACAAATCGATATTTCTATGAATTTGTTTATCGAGTCATGTGCTAAACAATTGTTGCCACGAATGTTGACTTGCATTAAAACCAACTTGTCATGAAGCTTTGTAACAGTTTTTTGCAGAATTGAAAACTTTATGTATGGTGACATTCGCTAACATCATTAGGGAAGGCTTCTTTCAAATGTTATCTCTCTGTCTTAAAATGTTGCAGTATCCCTAAAATCATGTTTTAAGTAATTATTTTTAGCATTAGTAAGGTCATTATGAGCAGTCATAATGGGTAACAATTTCAAATAACTGTCTTAACGTTTTCTCACGGTAAACTCTCTCTTGAGATCAGAATGGTGTCTTTGGTAATTAATTGATGATTCCATAGAAGAGATTGTTTCATTTCTGAACCTACAATGCCTGCCAAAGTCTTTATAACACTATCGTCACTTTTCAAAAGAAAATTCAGCAATCCACCTTCCCCAACTCTGAATTATATTTATTTTGGTCCCTGGAAGTTGTGTGATATTTGTCAAAACTGTTAACATTGTTCCAGAGGGAAGGGGATAGAAGTAGTAGTATTCAGGAAAAGAAGTGAAAAACTGAACAGAAATTGCTGGATGTTCCACGTACTTTTGGCAGGCATTGTAGTATTTCTTTACTTCTGGGCTTCCAAGTCCACCTTCTCACCTTTCATTCTTGTACTTCCCTTTTCCCTTTGCAAGTTTTTCAAGTATGGGTAAATTACTTAGAAAGCTTCTAAGGGTCATTACAGATCATTACAAATATGCAACAGGCTTTAATATTATAGCTCATGAAGGGGGAGATCTGGTCTTAGACTCCGGCTAAGTTATACTTGGCTCTCCTTCGTATCTCATAGTTGTTGTGACAGTCTTGTAGAGATGTCGGGTTTTCAAAGTTCCGAAGTGTTATCAGCAATTCCTTTTTGTTTTTCATTTTTATAACTTCGGTGTTCACGGGCCTTTCTTAAGATGAACGTAAACGTAATACTTAATTATAATGAAGTAAGTAGGAAAGTTCTTTTATGGAAATATTTAAAAATAAAATTTTGTCTAAAAATTGCCTGCCAAAAGTCTTGGAACACTGACATCAATTTCCAAGGTCAAAATCAATCACCCCCCTCTCCCCTACAGAACAATGTTGGTTTACTATCAAGCGGGTGAGGATTTTAGGAAGCACATTCTTTTGCCCTTCTTTTATGATATTTCTCTAAATTATCAACATTGTTTTGAGGGAAGGTGGCGGAAGTAGTAATTTTTTTCGGAAAGGAATAAAAGATATCAAATGCATCGCAAATTGCTGGGTGTTCCAAGTACTTTTGGCAGGCGTTGTGAGTCTAAATTAGAAGTTGGATCAACTTTTAGACACTTTCAAGTTCAGCCTTTTCCCTGATTTCTTTTTTCATTTGACGACGGCATAAGAAACTTCAATAGGAAACTTTCAATGGAAATAGTCAAACTTTAAACCTGTACTTACGAAACCTCGGAGTAGAATGCTCTTGTATTGACTGTTATGTAATATCAATTTTATTTCACCCTTTTTCCTTTCAGGGCGTTCTAAGGCACGTGCCTCTAATTGGCTCTGTTTTCAGTTGGCTATCACCCCCGTCTAAAGAATCACATGGTGTGACTGGTAGAGCTTTCAACCTGGCTTCTGGTTAGTTGCAATGAAATTTTCCATCTTATTGACAGCACGAAAACGCGGACCGTAATTGCTGCGTACTGAAGTGATATGTCCGTCCGACACTTCTCAGTGTATGCAACGTCGGATAGTGAACTTGTCAATTACTTGCCAAGATTGATGCCCCTTTTATTGGTCGCTTAATTGCAGTATGAAAGGGTTATATTGATATGGCATTATCATAACTTATCTTATTTTTTGCATGATAAACAAAACGGAACAATCTTTTTGTGATACAAAAACTTTTTGTGAACCCGAGTTTAAAAATGGCTTCGAAAAAGACAAACATTTTGAACCGTGTAACTAAAGATTTTCGTCTGACACTCTTCAGAGTATTAAACGTGAGAACATAGATCGAAAACTCTACGCTAGGAAATATACCAGTTGTGGATTGAAATAGGCCAATCAGAAATGCGAGCACATGACTGTTTAGGTTGCCCAATCAGTGCCGCTTGCCTATTGAAAATGTTACCATTAAACGAACTCTTTCTGTCTACACAATAGTGACTTTTTCATGAGCAGCTGAAGGAAAGCTGCGTGACGTAACCCAGAGTTACAATTTTCTGCTAATATTTTCACCCAGCACTCAGAACTATGAAAGTGTATACACAGTAAAACTCTTCTTAAAATGGCAAAAATGGCCTATTTTTTAACGATCATAGGGTAAGTATAGGTGTTGCACTGTGACTTAATGTTTCTTTCATAATGTTTATTTATCATTTGAATGCTTATTTATCATCTGTTTTGTTTATCTTGCCTTTGGAAAACCATTAGTAAATTCGAAAATGATGGATTAATAAGCCTTTATATCAATATTGCTAAATTTTTCATTTAGGCAAACTGCAGTCTACTGAAAAAACGTACAGATATAAAATGCAACTGCAAGGGGAAGAGGATGCTGGTGACAATACGAAAGCGACTTCATCGCAGGCTGCACCCACAACATCAGAAACCGACGTGGATCTCTTGGAAAAAGATACGGTAACCCCAGATGCCAAAGAGAGTGAAGATGAGTCACGCGAAACAGGCAGTTCCGTTAATGATGAGGCGGAAATATCAGTTGAAGAGACAGCTGGGGAAGCAAGTAGCAAGGAGCATGAAAACGAGATTAATACCGAGCCGTCAAAAGAAAGCGAGGCTGAGGATGGCGATACGACCCAGCAGAATGACGAGGAATCAGAGACTACTGAAAATGGCGAGGAGGTTAAGGAATCTGACGTTTAGATTAATGAATAGCCTGGAAAGTGTGTTTGTACAATTAACTTATGATTTATTATCTAGACCGAGATAGTTAGCTATCAGGTACGAATTTTAGACTAAGTGGTAACCGAAGTATCAGAATACAAAATGGTTTGGTGATAAATGCAACTCGAACTACAACAGTTAATTGTCAATATGACGTAAGTATTCATAAATTCCAAGAAAATTTAAATCGCTAATATGATCTCATTACGTAGGATGGATATCCAAATGGAGTTGGCACAATATATTGTTTTAGGAACATTCGCTCTCTCAGACTCAGACAAATCGAGACACATAGAGAAACAAGTAGAAAATAATGCCAAAGAATTGTATAGAAATTTAGCGGTATATTTTGAAAACACTTATTATCTTTAGACAACTCAGCATTTTGTTATTACTGGTGAAGGTTTTTTGCTTTCAATATTGATAGTCTTAGTGAAGGCCCTTAAATCACAAAATAGACCTATCAATCAGATTGTGACATAAGCATCAACCTTCGTAAGTCTGTCCAATTTGACACTTTTAAAATAACAGAAATCAGACCCTGTCTTAATTCTGCCGATGAATGCTTTTTCTAAAACCCTTTGGTAAACAACAGCCCTAGTTGTGTCAGTCTTCAAGGCCGAGTTCCAAGTAAACCACAAAATGAACGAATATAAGAGCCGGATTTCGTCCATAGAATTTCACGAAAGAATCAAGCCGGGGTCGGATCCTGGCTCAGTACAGTGTTTCAAATTCGGTGCATCATCATATTTTATACTGTTGTCACAATCTGTTTGACTGATGTGATGTGGTATGGGCCTCATTCTTGGACTAGTATCTCGTCTCTTGGAAATTAATAACCTCGTGACGTCATTTTCGGTATTTTGAAAATAAAGGCTGGGTTTTAAAGTCCGGTTTATATTGCATCTAAAGCATGATATTGCAGTTTCAGTTCAAATGTGAATCACCGGGAAAATGTGAGTCATCAAATAGCACACTTTGTTTTTGTCTGTTCTCTATTGGATTTCAAACAAATCGTGGTAAACTACCTAGAGATGCTCTTGGGAATCGTTTCAGGCACTTAATAGCCAATTTTCGTTTTTGTTTTGTGCGGCCTAGTCAATCACTAAAGACTGTTGAGAATTCCTGATACTGCCACATGATACCTTCTTGGAAAGAAAAAGGACACCTGGCAAAAGCTACATTTAAGTGGATTATCTATTTAAAGCTTTACTGACGACTTGTAAAGAAGGCCTGTGGACAGAAGTTGAGGAGCATACTTTCTTGAGTGTGTGTGAATCGTACAGCAATTGAAAACTTCCTTAAAATAATTGAACTGATGACGTCAAACGCAAAATAGGAAGCTCCATCATAAGACAGGTTTTTTCTTGAAGAAGACTCCTGATTCCAGTGAAAATTTTAATTTGCTTTGTTAAGATGCGAACCCTACCGTTTCTGACTAAGGAAGGCTCACATTAGAAAGTAGGGCACTTTTGCCTGAGATTTCGGGCATTTATTCGAAAATTTTAGGTGTGCAGTGTTGAAGACACAAAAGTGTGCGAGAGGTCCATTCTGTTCGAGACACTAATTTGTACCACTTTAGGTAGCGACTTGTATTACACCCTCTCCTTTTCAGATAGGCCTTTGAAGTTCACAATTTCATCTTTTAAAGTACCGTGCAGACTTTACCTAAATAACTCCACTTGGCAATGATTTTCATTCCACATTTTTTGCCACTGTTATGCCATGTGATTTATGTCACTGTTGCGTTGCCTCTGTCCGGGCATGTCCGGTGGTACAATGACCTGAAGGCAGAATAACGAAACCTTCGATTTGCCTTGCTGAGTGCACTGACCTGCTGTCCCCGACACTGAATCAATATAAATAACATTAAAACTAAAGTAAATCGGAATTTGATGTTGAAAAGACACAAGAAGCAGAGCGCAATCGGTGAGTTTAGCTAAGATATTTTTCATACTAGTATCATTATCTTTAGGCCATTCCCTTTAGCTTTGCTGTCGCAGTAGGCTTGACAGTAAGTGGCATTTACGCGAATGGGCATTCACTCTCGCACAATGCGTACGAGATCTTCGAAAAACAAAAGGATTTCCAAGGATTTTCAAATAAAAGTGTGTGAGTTTTCCATAGAGCGATTTGCCCCTTGGCTTTACGTATTTTCGTATTTAAAGTTACTAAAGTGTACTAGCCTTCGATCTAAAACTGTTAAGACCGATAAGAACATACTGTCAGTGCACTAATTTGAGTGCAGTGTGCATTTCTTCCCAGAAATCGTTATTCTGGACCTGAAAATGTGAGGTTGCTGCTATCTTATTTATATTATGATACAACTACTATTCAATATTACAAGCAATACATTTGGTCCTAAGGTCTATGCCGATTGAACTTCAAAGGAGAGTTAATTTACCGTAATCTATTTTTTCCATTTATCATGGTATCTAGTGATATTTTTTGTGTTCTTTTCTTTTGACATTTAAAGTCAATTTAAACATTTTTGCAATAGTTGTTAAGCCTTCCAAGTAACTTCTTTCATTGCATAGCATTCCGAGTGTTGAACTGGAATTGGGCGAATCAATTATCACTCTTTTTTTATTGCCAACTTTTCTCGCGTTCAGTAACTGTTTCAATGTGGTGTTTCACTGGTTCTTTATTTTGTGCAAACACAAAAACAGACCGTTTTAGCCGGTTTTAGCTACTCGATGGATGCCAAGAAAGTAAGAATTTTAGTCAATCGCCCTCATAGAAAAAACGAAAATATAAATTTTCCATGAAAGTAGTAACAGAAAGAAACAAATATGCCAGATAGTTGCTCCTCATTTGCTAAGATAAGTCGAAAAAGGAGAAATGAAATCGTGTCTAGTATGCATGAAATCGAGTCTAGCATAATTGAAATCGAGAAATTTCAAGCCTTGATCTGATTTATCCTAGAAAAAGACGCTGCGTTTAAATTCTGTGCAAAATATCATTATTTCACAAATTATTTCCCTTAGATAGCATTTAAATTTATAACGTTTGTTGTAGTCCGAAAAAAAATTTGCATTTTGGCCAAATTTCGAGTGCTAAATACAATTATTGGAACTGAAGTTATAAGCATTTAAAACCTTACAATGTCAAGAAAATGACTATCTGTTGAACTTGCATACATACATACATACATACATATTTTACATACATGTCTATCTTATAAGAAGGATTGATTCACTGGCAGCTAAGGAAGCTGATGTGGACCTGTGGGCATTTACCAGTTGATGAAGATTATTCTTAACGGAGGTTTCGTCGACTTTGCTTCATTCTTGATTACATTCTTAATGCCTTAAAATGTCACTGTTCCTAAATGTTGTGATCGTTTTAATATGTTTGCGAAAATACAAAGCGTCAACTTCAGGGTCTTTATTGAGAGAGGGCAGTTTGCAACTGCGAAAGGAATAAAAATTTAAATCAATTGTTTTTTGACAGAGAGAAAAAGGAGAGGAATATTTTTTTAAATAGAATGACTAATGTCATGAAGAGACATGGAGAGTCATAGTGATCATTTTTGTCTTTGTCCTTTATTAAGAGAAGTACAACAAGTTGGTGATTTTTGATAGGAATTTATCGTATATTTTTGTCGTAGGACCCGGAGAAAGTAGAGTTAGAAGGTTTTCCCTACCAAATTAAAGTACGTAGACATTACGAATTGTAATTTTATACTGCAAACATCATAAAGTTACCCTTTCTGATTCTAAATGTAAACAATAAAGACAAAAAATTTTTAAAATAAAAAGCACTATGCTGATTTTGAAGAAGCTAAGCGCCCTTGTTTTCTTTCGAGGACACTATTCTGCAAGGGTGCCTATAAAAATTAACTTGACTAGGGGGCGCTCATTCGAATAGAGGCGCTATTAAAAAAGGGGCCTATTATTTGCCCGTTAACTGTACTAAACGCATTTGTGGATAAATACTACAATTGATAACAACAAATTGGTAGCATCAAGCAACATACCAGGCTTAGTTCAAAACAGATAAAGTAAACAATAGCTAAATAATAATAGCATTTTTTGCTAACTGTTAATAAACCACTTCTTGATTTAAAAATTGTATGAAGTCATGCATAAGTAATATCAAGATAAAATAAGTTATTTTATCTTGGTAATATTACAGAAAAAAGAGAAATACGAGATGCATGGTTGTGGATGAAGCCTCGGATGAAGCTATATGTATGATTGAACTGCAGTAATACACTGAGGTTAGGGACATCATGGTCATCATAACAATCATAATTAACATCCATATGGAAATTTTTCATTTTAAATTCAATTAAAACTACAATTACAAATTTCACTATTACAAAGGTAATTTACAATTTGTTAGCTTGGGTTTAGAAAGAAAAAGACTATTACAAGCACAAACAAACTAAAATAAGAAATCGATTGATCATCATAATCATCATTAACCATATAACATTAACCATCATTATCGTATCATCATCAAGAAACATTTGATGAACGATGCATTCATTGATCCAAATCAACCATTGAAAAGGCGCTTCTCTATCAAGTGATCTCGTCAGGTCATCATTCGTTGCTTCCGTTGAATGAGGATGCAGAAGACAAAAGATTATTAATCATGTTAGAATTTCCTTGTTGATAAACAACTTGTATTTTATTGCTAGGTCTGTTATTTCTTTGATTGGAAGCTCTGTCTTGGATTTAATTTGCCCTTAACAAAACACAAGGCGGAAACGATAGTGGCCGGGAACATAGCGTGCAAAGACCTAAGGAAACCACATCAACTCTCGGAAGGGTCGTTGGACGACGTCTCCATCTTATCTTGAGGAAAAAACTCTGTCCAGTGTGTTATTCTTCTTTTGTCAAGGCAGTTGAAAGCAGTAGCTTTGTTTTTTGAGACACTCTTCGGCAAGTTGATTCAAAGAACAATTGAAAAGGTTAAATAAGGCGTGTAATCCTCTTCTGTCCATGCGTTTGGCTCGCGTTAATGAATTCAAACGTACATAAAACCAACTTGCGGATAATAACCAGCCTTTATTTCAGATAAATTTGAAGGCAGAGGGCCAATGATGGTAAGGACAGGAATTGGAAACAAGACTAACTAAAGAGAAGATATCGGCGTTGTATGTAGAGAATTTTTTCGTAAATAAAGCAGTTATCATATACAGTCATGAATATCAGGCAGAAGTTACAAGTTTTTCTTGCTTGTGTGATCATTATGGAGGCAATCCACACCGTATATTGTGCAAAAGACAAAGAGAGGAAAAAGAGAAAAAGATGTCCGAGAGTGTGTCTGAGAGAAACATCGCGAGAAAACGAAAAGCTGAGGGTGAGTTTTCTTATTATATCGTTTGAACCTTTCCTGTGTGGTACTGTGCTATTATCTTTTTACACATCTTAATCTTTTGATGACAGTTTCCCATCATTTTAACTAAAAAATTTTCGCCTTTGAAAACAACAAAGTGGAGGTGCTTCTCTCGTCGATGTTATTTCTTGTCAAAATCTTTCTGAAATTTCATTATAGATTATAATGACCAAAATAACAGATTTTTACGTAGATAGCCCCCTTATACACAAAGGCCAAGGTATATATCTTGTTTGTTTATAATATCATGTGGCACGAGAACAGGTACGATTTCTGCTAGAGGTGTTGTTACCCAATGACAAACCGATATACTTCTGCTTCGTGTGATAGTGTAAACCACACCGTAGACTCGTTCGCATGCATTCGCATTCAGACTTCATGAAACTCCCTTAGATGTCAACTAACTTGAAACTCCCTTAGACTTCATGATATCAACTAAATCTTGTAATTTGATAGTCAAAGGAATTCGGGGAACAGGGCCTTAAATCGTTGATTCATTTGTAAATGTTGCAATATGTAAGATTTAGCGAAAAGTAGATTAGATAAACAAAATACCAAGCAACAACTTTGGTTTTATAATTTTTGTTGTTGCCACCGGCCCAAGAGCTATGCTTTTTCACGTTTTGAAAATACTGCATTTTTAAATTCGCCCAAGCTGCCACGATAACGCCCCATCCTGGAATTTATCACAGTTTCGACATTTCTCTGCGAAGATAGGTAGAGAAAACAGTTAAATTATTTGCCTATTTGCCCCCTGAGAAATGACATGGTGTTTTCTGAAGATATCGTCTAATTTCGATTTCTGGATTTATCTGTACAAATGACGCACCAATTTGTACTATGCATGCATTTGATGAGAAAATCTATCCCTTATCGACGAAGAGAAGTAAAATATACTAATATGATATCTATCGTTTGTTTTACATATATATCTCGTTAATTGCTTTTGCATATTGTAACTTGGTATGTCCGCTAAGTGTAATGTGTTGTTATACAGTTTACCAAAAGACGATGCCCTTTTTTATAAGAGCTTATAATTCTATCATATTTAGTCTAAATGCATTTCATGAAAGACAATGTATCTTAGCTTCGTTTCGTAAAGCCCAGCAACTACACGACTGAACTTTAAGATGGTTAAACATATAGACAAATTACCTGTGTCACTTTGCAGCGACCAGGGTACCTATCACATTTTATAAAAACTACAAATGAAAAGGATGACTTTTAAAATATTTGAAAAAGCTTCGTCGAATAAAAATTGTGCTTTACCGCAGAAATAGAGCTGAGGTTGCCTGATGATCGTATTAAGCGTGAATTTCGGGGACGCTACTTGAACAGTCTTGTTCTACTCCATGCTACAGAAATTTTGAAGCCCAGCTTTGTGGTTCTCAGTCAGTGGAAGTCCTTGGTAGCAATCTAATCGTTGTGGCGAAAAGTCCTTGGTAGCAATCTAATAGTTCTGGCGGAACGTTTATTTGCCCTTTAGGTGCATTACTTTTTACAATACTTAAGACTCAGACGATGATGAAAAGATTGCTCGCAAACTACTTAACGGGCATTTGATAATACAAACTTTGTAAGAACGCTGTCATGTCGTTCTGTCACGTCGTTTAGCCTAGGAACCTCAATACCCATGAAATAATTAATTTAGATTATCATTTGTAAGTTTATGTAGACCTGGAGTAGTGTTGTTTATTTGAAGCGATATGTCCAAATCCTCAGCTATTTTACAAAGCACCCTTTTAGACTCCCCTGATCGATGGGGTGCCCCTTCCTCGCGATTTCACGGTCATAACGATTAAAATAAAAGTAGGGGGTGGGCCAAATAGCTAAGTGTATACAGTATTTGTTTTCAAAAGCCTATTCTGTCGATAAAAATCCAGACAGCAGGAGATCGTTATTGTGCTCAGAAATTTCATCTCCAATGAATTTAGATAAAAGATTTACTTTACGATAACAATCCAAAGACACGTCGCCCTCCAGTTTGAGGTTGTTTTTTAGAGGCGATAGCTGAAATAGTTGGAAATTTTTAGTTGCAATCCATTAGAGATCCCATAGAAACAAATTTCTTGTGCTATGCTTCTGTATATCAAAGGGAGAAATCGTGGCTTAGCTTTTCTATTTTCCAAAGGGGCAATGTCTAGTCGGCTGAATAATTAATTTTTCACACTTGATTATAATCGCCAGCATTTTGTGGTGAAGACAATCTAATTGCTTTTAATATACATTGGAGTTCGTTAAAAAGCCAATAAACATACGAATCAATTGAACATGATTGGAAAAGGGGGCATGCAATATGATAATTGTCAAAAATATAAACAACAATCAGAGCAATGGTGTCGATACTTTGGAAAGTTGAAAATTGTAATCATGAAAATGATAATCACTAATCATAAAATGATCATCACCGATCATGATAATGATTATCACCGATCATGATAATAAATCACCATCAGCATCACGACCATCAACAATCAATTGATCATTGCTCATCATCAATTGATTATTTTCATCATTCAGCATCACTATCATCAACAATCAATTGATCACTGATCATCGTCAATTGAGTATTTCCATCACCACCAATTGATCGTCGACATCACCTACCGATCACCATGTCAATTGTTGTTGTCATTATTATAACCATCATTTTAGAAATACTGAATCGCTACTGAGATAGATTACTGTAAACTCCGGATATATGGAAGCTCTACAGGACCAATGGAATCATTCGAGATCGTGAATGTTTGAGTTATCGGGGAAATTTTTCATAACATTTTATTGGGCAAATGGAAAGCAAAATTTGTTCGATTTAGCGAATGTTCGAGTGATTGGGGGCTCGAGTTATCGGGAGTTTACTGTATTGATTCAGACTGGAACATTTGGCTTGATATCAAAAGACGTTTGACTTCACATCAAAAGATGTTCACCTTGATATTGTTGAGTGTTTACAAGAAACGACCTATTTTGAAAGCGTGATTTGAAAAAGGGATTTTTTCTCAAGTGATTATTTTCATCAATCACCAGTTTTAACCAGTTGTCATTTCATATTTTCTTGCTCATTGTATGTCTTAATGCTTTACCTTTGAGAAAACAAGATTAATTCGTAGTAAGTCGATGTTTGCTTTGATCAAAACATTGCATTGAAACATCTTGTTAGGAAGACTGTAATGCTGTGACGTAATGACCACAATGGCGGTATCATGCTTCGTGATGTTGCCAAACCCTTATTATGAAGGGATAAAAACAACAATTGTGCAGACATTTGAGATCTTCGATTTCCTCTCCTCGAACTTCAAAACAGATAATCATGTGTTTGTGTCGATATGACTTAATTTATTTTTTTGTACGAAGTTTATATTAATATTTTGAGTCGTATGAAGACAGAAAGGTTTTTTCAAGCTAACGAATTGGTCTAATTAGAGAGATGGAGTGGCTTTTATTTCAATCAACCATTGCAGGAGGAGTATATGTCATGTAGATGATGGCCACCATATCTCCAGAAATTTCTATGCAAACTAGAAGTTGATGTTCGTTATGTATCCTTTGGAACTTTGTGACCAGCACCTCAAGCGATAGGCCCATGCGTCTTGTCAGAAGAGAGCCATTGGGTGCGTAAGAACAACTACGGATTCAAAAATCCATCCATTTAGCGATATCTAAGCAAAGACACCGTCATGTAGTACAAGAGACTTTAACCAAAGAGATTGCTCTTACTTCAGCTTGTTCCTCACTAGCAGGCACACGCCTTTGTCAGGCTCTTTTTTAAAGGGGGATTGTTCCGTTAGCCATCTATTGTCACGGGACACTCCAATTGGCTGAAATTGTCATCCAAACTCGTCAACAAAATTAACCCTTAGATATAAGAGCGATCGACTCTGCAACAGGGACACCGGAACGACCAAGAGGCAAGGGGAGCAGGCTTGAGTGAAGGGTATTTGAAAAATAATTCCCAGCTACTGACATTTCTTCTGTAGGTGTCATTTTGTTTCGATCACCTGTAGATATCTTGAAAATTGGCTAACTTTTGGCATGAGACATTTCTTTAAGTTTTGAAAAATATCGTTACGTATAAGGCAGTACAGTCGGAATTTCTTATGAATCTTTTGATAATTACAAACAGCCGGTGTTAAGAGCACTTCTATGAAAAGGGCACTTTTGCCCCCTTGCCCCTCGTATGAAATGGCATTGATTGACCCCCTGCGCCCCTTCTCCGGCGTCCCTGCTTGAAACACCTTTGCAACAAAACCTAGGAGCAATCTGACTCTTGAAAAAGTGCATGCTTCAACGTTAGGAAAACCGAGTTCTGTTATTAAGAACACAATCGTGACTATAGTTTAATTTTTCATCAATTTTGGTTTCTCTGCGTTTAGTATTTACCAGCCAACTTGCTTATTAATACTTTAAGACGACCAATTTACAGTGTCGGCTAACCAAAATTGATGTACCTTTCTGTGAACAACGAGCCGGCACGGAAATTTTTGTCTGGAGGGACCAAGTCTGCTCAAATTAGGCAAACCTTTCAGGAAGAAGTAATAAATTTCGGTATTGTTATCAAGGGCCTTAATGGTCAATAAAAGAGTGGTAGGATGTGCGGTAAGGATTTAGTTTGAACTTGTGGTAAATGGGTACATTTTATACTGGTGGACTGCAGATGTTCCTTCGGATCTTTGTTGATTTCACTCTGATTCGTAAAAAAAGTTGGATAGGCTAAGCTGTTGCAATTCAAAATTGCCTTTTCTTATTTGAATTTACATATTTTATTCGAGTTAGAAAAATGTATAATATATTTCCTGATTCAAGGGAAAGATTTTTTAAAAAAGTCCAGCGTTTTGACTTGTGGGTTTGATGTTCAACTCGTTATTGGGTGCTTTAACTGATTGCTAGGTTCATGAGGAATTAATGCTAAACTTCAAGTTAAAATCTCATCATTTTCAGTGTATTTTTATCTTTTTTGAATATTATTGGACCATAATATACGCTAATGCTACGAATGCCATTTAAAAGGCCTACTGAAATGAAAGCTATATTCGAGGTATATTGATGTTCGAACTACTTAAGTGTTGCAGGCTAGTGAGTCAATCATTTTCTCGTTATTACAACATTATTTTCAAAGATAGATCGACAGTGCTGGTAGTACAAACGGTTTGCAAATTATGACATTTTTCCAGGCTGTGCCACAAGAATCGATTCTAGGAAATTTCTTTTTACCCTTCGCCCCATGCTCTTCTGCCGCATCGCCTCGTAATGTGATCAGTTACACCTTTGTTTATGTTAGCCAATAACATGCGTCTATCGATCATTCAGTCGCTAAGGCATCAGTAATCTATTGTGAGCTCTGCTGGTCCGGCCTATACGTTTCTCATTTTTCACAGTCCCGCTGCCTGTAAAGTACAATACGGGCAATGTTGCGAGGTCGTGAGGCAACGCATTGCTGATTGATACTACATTACCGAAATACTACATTACGAGAGGAGACGACTAAATTCGATTCGAGCCGATACGATTTGATTCTACACCATACTATACGACATAACACGACATGACACGATACGACAAGATACGATAGATACGATACAACACGAAGAAATAAAAACAATGCAATTCAACTAAATCAAGCCGGTGTTTAGAAGTGACACAATATAATGGGAGCCCAATCCAACTAAAGAAATTCATGAAAATACTCAATTATGTTTTACATCAATGGCACAAATGTTTTTCGTATTTTCCGGATATCACCCATATTTAAACACAAAGAGTCGTTAATATTTAGACTGAACGTACCTTACTTTTTAAAATTAATCATCTATATTTAACCTGTCTTATTAATAGAGGTCTCGTTTTTGTTTGAAAATTATTTAATACTAAGAAGTCATACAAGCCGAGGTAGACCGCAGCAACTAAGCCTACTCCGTGCTTCCTGCTTTATCTTAATGCGTAAAAAGGTCCAGAGTCTGAATGGAGCGCTACTTTTATTCATTTGATAAATTTATTCTTAAAAAACCATGATAAATACGTCATGGAATTTGCCGACTTGCTGTTTTCCAAGTATGATACTTCATTCGGCACAATAACATGCCAAAGAGCTTTCGCTCCCCAGAAATGTTTTCGCTACTTGTCTTCAAAAGAGAATTAGACCTCGAAATAAACATGCGTATCCACGTGGCAGGTACTCGAAAATAAGAAGTTGTCAATTTACATTATCAAAGTAAACTAAGCACCATTGAATCAGGAAAATGGTCTGAATCTCCACAACAAAGCTCTAGTTTTCATGAAAGAGGATACTTTCTGGCAAGCTTGAGGCTTCTCGAAATGTTTCTGTTTTGGCAAATGGGAAGGTTTCAACCCTTCCTGTCCACCCCACCCTCTCTTGATACCACCCCACCCTCTCTATGATACCACCCCACCCTCTTTATAAAGCATGTTTTATCTGGCATTTTTGCAGGCCGTGAATCAATAAATGTCTTGGAGCGAGGCAGTTTCCTTCTTGTACAGTTTTAGGTACTCGTCAAGATATGAGAAACTGAAGCTGAAGAATCTATTTTGGCAGACCACTTAGCTGCACTATTCATTTACCTCGGAGCTGTTGAGAGTCATTTGTTGCTAGTAGAAGCTGAAGCCCGAATTTTAGGCTAGCAACAAGAAAACGTATTTTCCATTTATGAAATTCTTCTCGCATGACGCAACTCACACTCTTCGAATTCGCGGTCACCAAGACCTCACGCACTACACAAAGCATATCCTTACCATTTAAGTTTGCGTTTAAGTTTGCATTAAGCGAACCATTTAAGTTTGCATTTTTAAAAACTTAAATTGAATCTGAAAGGTAACCATTTCCGCCTACACTGCCCGCAAAAATGAGCTTTATTTTCCAGAAATCCGTGCCGCATACAATTGCCAAGTTTCGAATGCTTTATAATGGAACATCTAAAAATTTTCAAGATGCGACCGAAGTGATATCTACCGACTCAATGATCATTTTATCAAAAGCCCCCTAGGTCAGTCAAAACTAATTGTTTGATGTTTCTTTGTAGAATGAGCTTGAAAAATTAAAGAGAAGGCTTGACAACTTTCCAAGTCCTGTTCCTGGTCCGCGTGGCCCCCCTGGATTGAAGGTGAGTTTTATTTTATCGCTTAACTTTGCCGTTTATGAATCATAATATTTCGTAAGAACCAAAATATTTCGTAATTAATCAACTCGTTATTTCTACTTTATTTCTACGAATTTCTCCTGCTTCCTTTACATGTTGTTTGTGTAAGTTCAAGAGAGATTGTTCGAGAAAAATTAGAAAGGGTTTATTGTGTTTTCTTCCATAGAATTGTTTTTATTGTCCATAGAGAGATTATATTAACACACCCTCTTACAAGTGCGCGCATTCCGTATAGAAGTTCGGGTGATTCATGCGAAGTTTGAATTCCGCTGTATGAGGACACACCAGTCACTTTCTGTTTGGAAGATGTTTTCAGACACCCCAGGACGTTGAAAAAAGTGGGGAGGGGTCTAAAAATGTGGAAAGGGGGGCTAAAACCGAATAAAAAGGCTTGACTGGTGATTTTTTGCAAAAGCATCGGTAAATTTTTTGCATTTTTGGCAAAAAGTGGAGGGGGCTATAGCCCCTCCAGCCCCCCACTTCCGCGGTGCCTGGTTTTCCAAGAGGTTCAAGATATTACTTGCCTTGGCCATTGACGTTTATCTCCATGAACATGTCGAAGGTCTAAAGGGCGATTAGTGACTTTTCCCTTAGTGTTTTGCATCTAACTTCACGATCATTTTGTATGTCTTAACCAAAAACATCCATGTTTGTAATAAATCTCTTTGATCACAAGTTTATGTTTGACTCATTTGACTATTTGTGAAATGTTGAACTTTGTATATTCATCTCTAAACTGAACTGTGTATCAAGGTGCATTTTTAAAATGAAAAAAAAACGAAAGTATTTTTTGATATCCTTTTTAGGGAGATTCTGGTAGCATAGGGCCACCTGTAAGTTGTTTCACAATAGTTATTTCTTATATTATTCATATCTCTTTTTAAAGTTCTTTCATTACAATTTTGTATACATTTTCTAGCCAAATGCTCTGTAGGGTAAAACTTGCATCCCATATACTGAAAATGTGGGGTACTATTGCAAATTGGCACATGTCTAGTCTATATGCAAACTATTTTCCAGGCATGTTTTGTGTTCAATTTGCGTGCTTATCTACATACAGTTTTTGTGCCCCCCATGCCAGTACCTATCCGTCATCGTGCTATCATTGGAACATATTCCACGTGATATCTGTGAAGAATGTTCGATAAAGCCTTTACCATATGTATTGCTAATATTTAGTATAAATAAAAGAAATGTTGCACAGTGCCTGATATTCATCTTTCATTTCTCTTTTAACAGGGGTTTCCTGGTCCTAAGGGTGAGCAAGGCTTGCCAGGGTCCATAAAGGTACGCATTCTTGTGTCCAACAGTCAATTTTTTAATGGTGAAGTCAGGGATCTGTGATACTTCTGAATCTATAAATATTGCCACATGAGCATAATAAAGTTCATAAAAATTTTCTAAGCAGCTTCAGAAAAGGGGACCTCAGATAAGGGGACCAAGACATTATTCCTGTATAAAGAGGGACCTTTTAGAAAAGAAGGTCAATGGAACTGGAGGGAAAATTGACCCCCCCTCCCAACAAATATGTTTAGATAGACTACAGTAAAGCTGAGTTTATTTTTGAAAGTTGTCTTGCTTGAATACTACAGCACATCCCCGTTCCTTAAAATATTGTCCAGCTGTTCCTTACTGTCGAAGTTCTGATAGACCCTTCCCTCATTTCGAGATATGATCTGTCGCTTCTGTACTATCCTGGGTACCAAAGCTTCTAAGGAATCAATTCAAAGAGCAGAAGAAGAAATTCGACTTGTATAGCATCATGTAAGCTGTATCTCGTTGACGGCAAAGCAAAAGTATCCTTTGGCTATCTGTGCCCCCTCGAATGTTCGACTCGACTCCATAGGGTCTCTCTCAAGTCTTTAAAGGGTCTGGTACCGAGGTTATCCCCTGTACCTGCCATTATGAATCAAGCAAAGTGAAAGGAATATAGGACCAATTTGGCCACAGGGATGATGTTTATAGCCTTCATTATCAAGTTTGTTGATATGTGATATTCCACCTTTCAAAAGTCATTTGTCGAAAACCGCCGATCAAAGAATTAAGCATTTGTGTAGAACAAGTGGTTGGTTTAACTAATAAAATTGTATACAGCTGTATAAGCTTTAAAGGCAGCTGCCTATCAATTTTTGGTTAAATATTCAGTGGCTACCCCAGATATGAATATGCACTTATGCAGGCAAAATTATAAAACTGGCGAAACTGTTGGTTTGTATAGAGAACGAGGGGCAGCAACATTAGCAAGTCTAGTAAATTTCCTTGAAAAAAAGAAACGAAGAGTTCTTTCTCTTCTTGAACCATTTCACAATCCAATTATAAACGTAAATAATTTTCCAAGTGAATTTAGCTAATACCCCCATAACGTCTATAGTTTTTGCCAATGTTCTGTAGAATCTGGATTCTGTGCGCATCAAAAGTTCTATGTGTCCTTGTGTCCATTGTTAACAAATTTTTACTTTTCAATGCAGAACCGTGCTACCTTTGAGCTTCCAAATTGTGCAAGTGACGAATTTCTAACATCGAATGGACGGAGTTTGTTTTGCGTGAAACTTGGTGTGTATTTACAGCTTGATGATTTTTTGTACTACGTTTTTATACCATTATGTGCCATATTTTTGCATTTTTAAGGGGCCTTGGACCATGTCGTAGATTGATATTTAGCCAAGGCCCTGTTTACACGATACCAGATTCATTTGATATCGGTATTAAGCTCTGGCCCATATTGGTATTAAGCCCTGGCCCATATTGGTATTAAGCCCTGGCCCATATTGGTATTAAGCCCTGGCCCATATTGGTATTAAGCCCTGGCCCATATTATATTGGCCCAATCCGATACGAATATTAAGCTCTGTTCACACGATACCAGATTCATTTCATATCGGTATTAAGCTCTGGCCCATATTGGAATTAGGCCCTGGCCCATATTATATTGGCCCAATCCGATACGAATATTAAGCTCTGTTCACACGATACCAGATTCATTTCATATCGGTATTAAGCTCTGGCCCATATTGGAATTAGGCCCTGGCCCATATTATATTGGCCCAATCCGATACGAATATTAAGCTCTGTTCACACGATACCAGATTCATTTCATATCGGTATTAAGCTCTGGGCTCTGGCCCATATTGGTATTAAGCCCTGGCCCATATCATATTGGCCCAGTCCGATACGAATATTAAGCTCTGTTCTCACGATACCGGATTAATTTTCCTTTGCATAAATCTTGTGAAGCTCATCATCATAGCAAGGAGCATATTTGTTGTTTAACTGCGATCTACTGTCATTTTGCGTCTTTTTGTCCAGATTGCCAAGCTGTTTTTAAAAATCCCGAAAATGAAGCTGATTTTCCTAAACAGAGGTTCCGGAGCAAAACCGTATCGGATTCATGCGTTCATACGAGCTCAAAAGTGATCCGATACGATTTCATTCCACATTCACAGCGGAATGGTCTGACTCCGCAAAAACGATACGGAGCGTATCGGATTCAAGCGTCATTATGTGAGCAGATGGCCTATCCGATATGAAATGAATCCGGTATCATGTTAACAGGGCTTAAAAAAGTTTGGGGAGGATTAGGAGGCGTTTGGCTCAACATGCCAAGAGCAAAATGATGAATTTCGAGTTTTTTAGCTTTAAAAAGTTTTGCAGCTTCACGCCTCCCACTTCTAAGGTCCCTACTTTTTATCGAGCTGGCATAAATGTATTTATACATCTTGTTAGCATACCTACTGTACGTTTGTGGCCAAATTACACATTAATGTGCATGATGGCAAAGTTGCACTATGCTGCAAAATTGTTCAATATGATGACGTTATACAATTTTTTCATAGCAAAATCATGCACTGTATTGTCGACAGATTTACACAATTTTCGCCTCGTTTTTCAGATCTTACAAGCGTCAGAGTGAAGGGAGAAACAGGTGAGTTTTGCCTGTTTGTTATTTATTTCGTTGCAGGCTAAATGAACATGTCGATTCTACTTTTAGCATATACCATATCTAGTCCCCACAATAAGGGGCCTAATAGGGTCAGGGGTCCTTAACAGCGGGTTTCTGAGATCCATAGGTTTTTTAAGGGACAATTTTCTTTTAAATAGAGCCCCCCTAGCACTACACCCCTGATCCCCACTTTCCATTCGATATCAGAGTGTCTAGTTTCTAATCTGCCATAAAATATTTTTAAATGAGGCTGATTTCCTAGACTTATTTTGCATCATTCTTTCTTGTCAAAAAAGCATCTTGGAATTTAGGAATCAGGCTGCATAGTAAGCAAGAATACCCTAAGAAATGAAAATAGACAAATATGATATACTGGATATGTTTTAACTTTGATTAAATTTTTTCAGTCTTGCTCCATTTATAAGAAATTGGAAAATTCGGCCTGCCTTGTTTCTTACAAAGGAGAAAATGTTCATAATGATGGTGGGCTGCAGTTTCTTTTATGTCCATTTCTTTTAAGCGGGGACTTATTGTATCGGGGATTCGAACGGTTCAGGTTTTTGTGGATCGAGTTATTGGTGCAGTTTTGTAACAAAAATCTATCTTTTGCAGATAAAAGACAACTACATCCACAAATAGTTACAAACCCCACCGTGTCCCCAGGTATTTAAACACCCTTTTTAACGATTTAAAAAAAATCTTTGTTTAAGCCACAGAGTGCTTTTTTAGAATATAGTTATATCCTTAGAACATAAAGAATCCAAATGACAAATGTCTTTGTTTAAAAAGAAAATTGACAGAAACAGAAGTGAGCGATTTTCCACTGACAAAGAGTCTGCAGAGGGCAATAATTATATGAAGGCTCAGGAACTGAACATAAATAATAGAGAGGCTCCAATTTGATCATAGCTAAACATGATCACCTTGATTATAGCTAAACATGAACACAACAGCAATATTTTGGATCTAACTAAAGAGCAAATATATTGAAAGTAAATAAACACCTTAAATTTCTCTTACTATGCTCGTTTGTTTTCTTTTTCGGTAAAATACTCTCACGACCCTTTTTAACCCTTTTTGCCAGGACGTTTAAACTAGAAATTTTGTCATAATCACCTGTGCAGCCGTTTGATCCGAACATCAAAATAAACTTTAAATCATTACGACACCAACTTGTTTGGAAGACGAAGCACCGTTTGTCTGAAGGTCTGCTAGACGTTGAAATTTTGCATCATACGCATATGCGCAGTTAAATCGATTACATCATTTCGACACCGCTTACACATTCTTTATAGGGATATAGGCTATAAGATTATCAAGGCTTAAAATCGCTGAACTTAAAGAATATTCTAAGAATAATGCATGGCTCAAGCTTCATCAAGAATTAAATTCTTTGCATATTTGAGTTTTTTTGAAAGCGAAACAAATTTCAAGGTAAATGTTTTGAAATAGACGCATCTGGCCTTTGGAGTCATTAGAACTATAGTGCAAAACGGTTGCACTTTGTGTAACTTACGAATATTTAAAGAATAATCATAGGCTCAAAATCCAAATCAATTTTAGAATATTGAGGCTCAGCAAAAGGTTAGGTATGCTTATATAAAGAGTGTGTATTTTATTTTGTGGTTGGAGCATTCGTAGCTCTTATAGAAATAAGGCAGTCTCGAAAATTCAGAGAAAAGTGTTTAATGAAGCTGGTTAAAATGAATAATGTGCATGTTTAGGATTAAAAAAGGACTAATCCTCAGCACTTAAATCAACATTTTTGACAAGATCGTGCTAAGCCTAGCACTTGCCTTCCTCCTTTCCACGACACTCTTTACTATGGTAGGCTATTAGCTACCGTTAAGTTTATGATTGCAAGATTCTTCTGCTTCACAGCACATACTCGTGCCATATGTTTCCTATTTTCCCTTCAATTTCAGATATGAAAGAGAAAATGACAGTTTTTGAACGAAAAAGTATGATCCAAAGCATAGAAGGAGATACTTGGGATGTCGGTGTCATTCAACACAATGATAACTATTATTTCTTAGCCTCGAACCTTGGCCACAATTTCACCATTTACAAATGGCTTAGCTCAAGGTAACCAAGTCGTATATGATAGATTAATGTTATCTTCATTGCTATGGTTGCCACGGATGCAAAATATAAACACTGATTCACAAAGAAAATCGCTTAATCACTCATTAAATTTGGCAAAATTTGATGGTATAAAACTACTAATTTTTAGTAGGATTTTCGAATTCGGTTTTTCAGGAGTCGAACCCATTTTTTCCAGTGGCGTAGCTTGTCCCTCGAGACTAGGGGGGTGGAGGGTCATGTTTACCGATAACGACATTGATAAAGATAAGTTTACCGACAAAGGCATGAAAAATTGGGGAGGGGTGTCACATCTCCCTACCCCCCCCCCCCAGTTTGACCATTCAGGTGCACGCTTAGTTCTGATTAAAAATTAGTTGTCAAGTATTGTCCCTGAACACCTCTTCTACAAGGCCAGTTTCCTATTTTGTTATATTCGTTTGGGCCTAAAATTTCTCGCTTAGTGTTTTAGTCACTGTTTTGCACAGAGAGGGAAGTTCAGTTTTCAGTTGGGGCGGGTGGGGCTTTGGGAAGTTGCCGACAAATAACAACGTTTACAGAAAAAAGTGCTGAAAATTGAATTTCAGCAAACACTGGGGAGAGAGCTCCCTATCCCCAAATGATTTCCACTTCTGATTCTGCACACCAAGTCGTGCATAGCTTTTTCCAAACAATATCGACCACTGGTAAAAACAATGGTAGGGTTTAAGGAAGTTAATATCTCTTCCCCTCTTCAATTCTACTTGACCCGAAAAAGTTATTTCCAAAATCGGATATTTGTGTAAAAAATAGAAAGAGAAATACTACAATAAGAAGAAATTTCACCTTGTTTATCACCTCCTCTCAAACAGCCGGGTCATTCAGCACTGCCCCCGTAAATATCCGTCGGGGTCATTGAGTACTCTTCAACACTGTGGTGTATATTGAAGTTTTGGTGGATGGGGCAAGTCAAGTCCATATTTAGAGTTCTTCTCGAGCTGCCCCTATCTTGGAGCCAGGTTTACAGAGTCGGATCGAACTTGATTGAGGGGGCTGTCAACCTCCCATAGTAGTTTGTGCCACAGATTTGTGCCACGCTCTTTTTTATAAGAACCAGTAGATAAGTTCAGGCTGATTGTTCTTGATTTTTGTGAAAATCTGAGGCTGGAATGTTTGTTTATTTGTTCTTAAATTTATAGGGTATAAGCAGTGAGATTGCTTTTCGCTCTAGGGAGGTGTTCAGGCCAACAGAGTGCGTGAGACAACCTTCATTTGCCGCCATGTTTGAATATTCACCGAAAATGCACCCACACATGGCTAAAAACCCTCGTTTTAGAGATAAAACGTTGTTCAAAATCATTTTCAAATCATTTTCATATTGTCGGATTTATATTTTCATTTTGATTTCATTCATAGCTTTTTTTACACGGAGACCTTCGCGGTAAAGTTTGCTAGAAACTGGAAAACGTTCACGATCGACGGGAAGCTTTATCTCGCAGTTGCAAGCAATGGCGATTCCTTTTCCCCTATTTACAGTTTTCAAGAGCTAGAGAAGGAGAAAGTCATTGAATATCAACGAATTCCAGTAACAAAAGTTTTTGCAGTTGAACCAGTGAAAATCGGCAAGGAGCTTTTCTTGGTGTTTGTATCGATACATGGCCCATCATCATCTGTTTATCGATGGAGCAGTTCGCAAAAGATTTTTGTCAAGCATCAAGTTATCAATGAATTTGGAACTGGTATAGAATCATTCAGAATAGGGGAACGTTATTTTCTCGCATTCACAGGTGAGAAGTACTAAATTTTTCCTGCTTTGTATTATGTAACTTTGTGGTTAAGTTGTCATTATTTTTTATAGTTGTGTCCAAATTTTTTGTGAAAGATATTGTTCTCTGGGCCGTCGCTAGCTTATGCCCTCAAGGAGATGGAGTATTTGTTTTCCTCTTGTTGACTTCTGCGAAGGAGACGCTCGGACCGCAGAAGTCCACAGGAGGGAAAAAAATACTTCTTTCTCAAGCACGAAATAGACTTTGAGCAAGTCTATTCCTAATACGATGCCTACGTTTTCGTATATCAAGTCGATGTGGCGAAGGGCTTATAAGTCGATGTCTTTTCGTCTATGAATATTGTTGATCATCAAAATACTTTCTTGTAAAATGGAAATATACTGGAATGCTCTTCCATAGATTCCAAGCATAAAGTATTACGAACGTTTGGGTTGCATAGGATATTGTTTTAACAATGTTAGACATTATTTTTCGATAAAAGCATATTTTGAAAGTAGATCCATATATTTAACAGAGATTCATTTTGCTTTTCGTTTGTATTTAAGGTATGGAACATGGCCATTATCTCAACCTGCATGAATACACAGATGCTGGTATCTTTCAAGAATACACTTCAATTCGAGAAGCGCGCAATGGTTACGCCCTGCATTATATGAATATTGATAATGAGCATTTCCTGGCGGTTGCCAAGTTCAGTACCAACCCATCGATGATTCTTCGTTGGGATGGAAAAACCTTTAGAAGACATCAGGTTTTCACAACTCCATGGGTATGTTACATATTGCATTATTGATAAATATCAAGGAAGTTTTTGCTTTACTGTAATAGCAATTATAGTGCTGTAATAACCTATTCCTTCGCTTTAGGAATCAGTGCACATTGGTGTAACTAGTGAACGGGTAAAAAATGGATGCGCTCCATAGAGTATGATGCGGTCCCACCCTATTATATGATTTGATGCGAGAAGTTGACCTTCCCTCCCTCTTGACAGTCATTGATTTTTTTCTTTGTCTTAACAGGTACGCAATTTTGCAAGCATTACTAGCTCCTTGATGGGGAGGCAAGGAGAAGAAACATACTTAGCCATTGCCCACACCCAGGCAAACCCGGCAATACATTTCTATGATAAGAAGTCTCGGCTGTTTGTGAAGCTTCAGGAAATGCAATCTAGGAGAACACGTGATGTTGACTTTTTTAAAATGGGAGGACACGTCTATCTAGTCGTTTCTACTGCACAGAACTCGAACATTTACAGAGGAATAATCAACAGGGATTCTTAAAGTTTTAAGACTGGGACATCGCTAATGGTCGTTAGATTTTCGTTTTATGATATACAAGTTTGGAACAGTGAAAGTTACTTGGATATTCGAGAAAAATAATTTTGCTGTTATGAAGTAATGGCATAGCTAAACGTCATGACTAGCATAACGGTTTGTTGCTCTTGGAATTTTCCAAATAGCAATCACATTTAAGGATAGAGATGTATGAAAGATTTTGCATCTCATTTGCTGTAGGCACATTTGACAGGTGAACTGAGGTATTTCTTCATTTGATTGTTTTGAAGGGTTGTATTCTCTGGTAATCAATCAAGAACTATATTTGGTGCGATTTCTTCCTGTATGTTGTAGTGTCGTATTCGAAGTGTAAAACGGCATGACATATAAAGCTAATGTCAGTAACTTTATATTAAGAACTCTATAGTCCGTCAGCCCACAATCGAAACAACGAAATGTTGGATCGTTTAAACGGGGCTTAAAAGAACACTTTCAACTAGACACTCTCTAAAGATTAGACACACCGATGCCACCTAATAGGCCCATGTCACAGTTCTTGCTAAGTACACACAGTATATGGTATGTAATGCAATATATAACATGTTGGTCAGAAGTCTGCCGTGATGCCTTTGGACATTAAAGGCCTTTGAAATGCATTTACCAGCATTTCTCACTAGGTATTTCTCAACAAAAGCTGTATCTTCTTAAATGAGCTGTTTTGAATGTTCAAAGGTTTCTTAGATGTTACGCTCCACATAGTTGTCATTCAAGTTGGGAAGTGGAAGGGGCAAGGGTAAATTGAAGAATCTTAGCAAAAAATGTTGCCAAGAGCTCTTTTGCTTTGCAACAAAATTGGGGTCATGGTTCGACTGCCTGACCTTGCCTGTTCCCTCCTCCACCTTCGGGCCCTGCTCCAACCCAACCCCAACTGTATTCAACACAAGACTTGGGCCTAATGGCAAAAATGGAATTTCATAGTAGTTCACATTTCATCGTTGAGAGGAACCTAGAAGAAACCATTTGTAAGTTGAAAAGTGATCAGGTAGCTGTCAGAGTTTTATGTCTTATGGTTTTGGTGCACATTGTCACCTTGGTCCTTTTAGAAATAGATTTTTAGAGCAATGCTATCACGTATTCTGAGATTGACTTTTATAGATTAATTATATTTACGTAATACCATGATTTTATACATTGGTTTCAGTGTAGCAAGGACATTTGGTAGTTTGTTATTGTCTAAAATAGTTTGAAAGTAAGTGCAACACGAGTCAGAAATAACTGATAACGTACGCTTAAGTTTTAAGGTTAGAAAATAGATGTATGCCTTTAAGCAGATTTATAAAGGTTAAAAGCTTATTTGTGTTTTCGTATTGTGTCATAAATTTCATTATCCTCTGTGAACACTAAACTGCAAAACCCATCTCCATTCATACAGTCTTTCTGTAATGCAGTTCCACTATCATACCAATTTATCTGTTGCCTAAAGAGTTAACCCAAACTAAATGCCAAGTTCATTTTTATGTTTTTTAATATCTTGCTTATGTCTAGGCTTTAATGTTTATACAGAGGGACACAGTAGAAAGTCCAAAGGATAAGGGAGGGATTTCCTTACACATAGGTCAGAAATTCATAATAATTTCGTAATTTCTCACTGTGACATGTACATTATTGTGAAATTATTTTGTTTGTAGTTGAGGCGAAAAGATTTAGAAAGGTTATACAAATAGGAATAACTGGTATTTAGCAATTTTTTGTTTTGCTTTATGTCATAATTTAGTGAGAAGATAGAAATGCATTATATTCTTTTCAGGTATACGTACATCAAATTGTGTTTGTTTCAGTATGTTTTCCTAGGCTCTCGTCATCGTGTTGTTTTTAATCATGTAACTGTAATATTTTACTTTTAAAAAAATGTTTGATTTTCAAGCAATAGCTTCTTTTTGAAACCCTTTAATCTGCAAATGTTCAAGGATAGGGTGTGACTGTTCTTCCAAGCCCAGCAACTGATCAAGGTCTTGCTTGTTAGCTAGTTGGCTGCCCTAAGACTTCACTGATCTAAAAAAAGACTGGATCGAACAACCTATTGTTCTCCAACATCAGCACAACGAAGCGTTCGAATCTATCCATCTTGAGATCTCTGGTGCCTAAAGCTTTGGGCTGCCATTTGCTAAAATAGTGCACACACAGCTCTGCGCTTTAAATTGTGCACTAATCTTCAAATTCTTAAATATTCTACGACACAACAGGCCTAGGAAAATAAGTGAACAGTGGATTCTCCGTTACGTAAGCTTAATACCACGGCAAACATGTTTAACGTCACTTACGAATGATGCGAGCTTTTATTTCAACGGTTACTTTGAATTTTACTGTGAAAAAGCAAGTTGAACTGAAACCAACATGATTGCTCTCTAGTCTTATACAACACGGCGAGGTCTCAAGATGGATGTGGAATCAATGCTGGGCTGGAGAAGCTCGATGTAGTCTTTTTTTGAGATCAGTGTAAGACTTCCGATTGGCAACAGACCATTATTAATTATCTCCAGTCTACTCATTCCTTTTTGTTGCTTAACCATGTTGCTTAACCAGGATCCTAACTGACGAAATAAATTCAACCGCAATACATTGGTTAAATAATAAACGAAAATGTGACCTAGGTCTTCCGGTGACAGCTAGGTTCTGCATATAGAGTTGACTAACACGAGACTTCATGTTATCTACGTTTTATCAGATCTTTAACTGAACTTCCAATTGCTAAATTTATACAGCGAAAAACCTGTGCTTCAAAGGAGAATCCTGGCTGCGGAGGTACAATGTAGATGCTCAGGAGAAGGGAGGGTGATGGACCAATATTGCAGATCCTTTAAGCGTCTCCTGTTAACTAAAGTGATAGGGCATTGCAGTTTGACGTCTTTAGGTAACAATCATATTTCATAGCCAAATGTTAAATGAAGAATGTTTGTAAAGCATTTGTAAAACAAAGTTAGCCATTGATTCGAGACTGGAAAAGGCAACTATTTCTTTGCAAGGAACAATAAAGTGGCAAAGTGACGTCATCAGAAAATATTTTTCGAAATGTATGCACTCTGACCTCAAAACTTAAAATAACAGTACAAAATAACTATGTAAAATCAGTTGGAACTGCTCAAAACTGACTGAGGTGGGTTTTGCTAATGGATTATTGTTGTTTTAGAACCATGGACAATGCAAAGTGGTTTGATGGGGGAAAAACCCATGCTAAAGTCGCAATATCTCAGTTAATCTACAAAAGATTCAACTGATATTGCAATTTTAGAAGTATTCCTTGGTGTTTTTTCAGCTTATTGGTTCAGGAATATAAAATTCCAAAATTATATTTTTTTGACGTCACTTTGTCAAATTTTAACAAATTACACTTTCCTCCACCGTTTTACCATAGCTTGTGTATACCAATTAACCTTCAGTTTACAAATCAGCTATTTAAAAAGTACTAAATTTGAAATTAATCTGTAGGGTCTTTGAGGCTATGGCTCTTTGCCAGCTATGCAAAGTCTTATGTCTTCTTTCCTGCCTGAATTATAAACAACAAACAATGTAACATCGAGTTAAAGCCACTCTTGAGACCCTGTTCTGTGTCTTCGTCTCGAATATCTCACCAAAGACAATTTTTTTCATTGGTTGACTATTTGTCCAGCTGCAGAGGATCATTTGCAAATATAAGCAGTGGCGGTTTATCAGGGCCTCCGAAGAAGGAACGCCGGGAGGCCTGAATCTTTAGTTAGGGATGTTAAATTTTCTCCTTGCCCTCCCACTTTCCAACCTGTTAAACCGTGTTTATGAAACCTGCAGTTTTTTAAGTGAATATTTGGTTGCTTGAAATGGCCAAATACCTTCCATAGGCTGTAAACTACTTTGAATTTTGGAATGAGGCAACGACCATTTTGCTGTCAAAAGACATCTGTGTTTACCCCCAATAGACGCTTTTCAAGTGCAAACACTGAAGAGAGTGTGCAGTAGTCACATCTTTGATGCAAAACGCTGCACTCAAAATTTGCAACCAGCAGAAACATTTCCCTGTTGACAAAATCCTCTGAAAGTCCTAGAAAGAGCTAGGGGAACATAGTTGCAGTCAGCTGCCTTTAATCCCCCCGTTCAATGAACAAGCACCAATGAACCAGCAAGAGTTTACCAAGACAAATGTTTCAACAAACAAACTCAAATAATAAATATGTTCGACTTTTGCAAAACACATCTCTCATCAAATTAAGTTTTTATGTTTTTAAATGCGTAGACATCTGAATGTATCGTATAATGATAATGACGATGATTAAAATCAATAGTGATCACGATTGGCCTATTTTTCTTCAATGGTTTTTGGAGCAGCCTCAAAATCCTGAAGCTTTAAACGAAGCGAAGATCTTACTTTTCCTATCCTTAGAGATCTCACAAAGTTCCGTCTTTGACCTTAAAGCATCAAGTGTAAATGGAAGGACTGATGAATTATCGTGTGACATTGTAATCCATTGAAACAGGACGCGGCATGATTATGTGATGTGATCCTCTGATATGCTTGAATCTGAACTTCTTTATTCAGGAATCAAGAAGGCCTAAGAAATCCGGAATCGTGTATGAATTTATCTACTTGGTTAAAATGAAGCATACGCCTTGCACACAATGTTGCTAAAAACAATAACAAAAGTAGAAACTGGGTATATTTTGGCATTAACAAGAGGGCTCAGCCCCCCGGGGCCCCCTAGCACTACACCCATGTGCCAGGGCCTTACTGTCACAATTTTTGAAGCAGCATTTTGTGTGACTTAGTAGAGCCAAAAAATATTGGAAATAAGGCACACTTTAACCAGGTAATTTTGGTAATGGAATGTTCATAGATGACATGCCTGTTTTACCATGATAGCTACCATAACCTGGTTATATTTTCTGCTGTTATTAGGCAACCGAAAGAGCAGATAAAATCAATGCAGTGCAGCATTGACTGCTGTTTAAAACTATCTAATAATGTGTGAGAGCCCAGCTGATTGCCGCAATGACAGCAAATGCTTTGAGAAGGAAAATGTTGTTAGAACACATATCATGTTGCGTTATTCTCTTTTTTCCAACAGTGGCAAACAGATGAAAAACTTTATTGTAAAAAATTAAAACACGAGAGCCTATACCAGAGCCCCGAAAGAATGATAGAAAGACCCGTGAAAGCCAAAAACCTGGATGCCACACTAAAATTACACATTGCTTTCATTGTCTTTTAGGAAAGGTTTTCGAATCTTAAGGGTAGGTAGGCTAGAACCTTTTCTGGACTCTTGATTATTTGTTTTCCTCGTGAGTAAAGCAGTTCTGTGAAAGGTAGGTTACTTTCCCCACTATTATCTAGTATTTATTAAAAAAAATCTATTTTTTAACATGAAGTAGGAATAGCTTGAATTCGGGACTTTTTTAATCAAAGATATATTGAGGGTGTCTGAAGGCGTGACGTAATTTCTCCTGCGTAGTTACCTATTACGATATTGTCTTAAAACTTACTCACGGTGAGAAGGCGGATGTGAGTAGCGAGAAAATTATCTGCTCGTCAATAAGGGAGCCCATTCGGGCCGAAGACACACTCATATATCGTGAAGGTGATAACGAAAGAAGAGTATGGTTAAGTAGTGTTCGAATTTGCTTTGCATTGATGACTTGTTGCTCTTAGGTCGGCCATAACAAAATCAAATTTGATGTTGACTCGGTCTGAAGTGCCAGTTCGGAAGGACCGGATATCGAAGGAAAGCTTTGCTGATAATTTACTAATGCGGTATTAAGACAAAGTGGAAACTATTAATTGTAACATATTTATCATAACAAGATGAATGATATCGTAACGACGATTTACGCTTATACTGGTGAACATGGACTAAATTTTGAAGCTGGAGAAAAGCTGAATGTCTTAGAGCGTGGTGAAAATGGATGGTGGAGGGGGGCCCTCTTAAAAGATGGTGGTGATTCAACTGATGGAAGTTTGGAAGGATGGTTCCCGTCCAGCTACGTAGAAAATACAGGAGATCTGAAACTCTCGGTAATCTGTTTAATATATTAAAAGACGTCACGTCAAATGCGTTTAAATATTTGTCAATATTGTGTTTAAAATCTAGCGGTTTATGTTAGAGAACTGAACACATCATCCATGTCCTTTGAGGTGTATTCCGATTGTTCTCGAAACAATACAAGGAACTACTATGACAATAGGTTTCCTGCGGGTTTCTCGCGGGCTAGGTGTATATTAAAATAGAGATCTTGAAATGCGCGTTTTGTTTTCGCAAGGCAAACAGTTAAATAGCTGCGAAATTCCTACGAAAATAATTTCTTTCACAGAATACCATTGTCAGCTTACAAAGTTTTTTCCGGGTAAATTTTGCGTGGAAGCTGCATCTTTTCTGAAGTTTAGCGCAGCAGGTTTTTACTTTTATATACCAGACAATGAAAATGATCACTTTTTGTTTCAAGTGTCTTTATCAGGAATCGTCCAACCAATGCGTATGTTGAAATCTGAAATACGTTGGAAAGTATTGAAGTGATTGAATCTGTTTAAATCTGATAAATCATGGAGAGATCATACCAAAAGAATACTTGTTGAAAAGCTCCCAGACACCTGTTGATTTTGATTAAGCAATTATCTTTCATCATAGCTTGAGAGCCCTTGTGTGAATTGGTTTTTCAACATAGGCATGGAGGCTAGCTCAATAGCCCTGGTGGGGAGAGGGGGAGGGGGAGGCCTCTATACAGAGCATGGTAATGGTGCACCCATGATGTACGCTTCTTAAAACTAGATTCATGAAATTCTGCAAAATTAATATAAAGTAATGACACACCTGAGTGGGGCACATGATATTTTTGGATTATTCTGTGCACCCCAAAACTTTTCAAATTTGGTCAGACTCTGCAAACTGGGAGGAGAAGGTCACTAATCAACTGTGGACAAAAAGGCTCAACTTACATTTATAGCAGTTAACAATATTTTGAGTCATGATTGGAGTAGCTCATTTTAAGATATTATAACCTAAATTTTCTGCTGAAGGACTTTGGGATCTTACAAAAAATGAAAGTAAAAATCTTTGATAAAAATATTTGGATGTAATTACTTCCATGGGTTTTAAATTTTAATAATTTTCGAACAAATTTTCCTTACCAAAGTTCTATGAATACCAACCCTTCTGGACGCATTCAATTTTGCCCTCAACCAATTGTTATTAATGTATAATGATATGAATTTAATCTGATATAATGTTTAGCATAAAAGCTTTTTAAATTTTTTGTGTGACTGTTGTGAAGATATCATGCTTCAATGAAAATATTTTTTGAATGATATTTAATATCTTTAGTCGCCCAAAAGCTGAATCCTAAAATTGCCAAAAATGTGGCGTGTACCAAGCTTGAAAAGTCTGGTCCCTTTGACTAAATAAATCAAAAGCAAACTAGGCTTTGGTCCAAAAATTGCTGTGTACTTTGTAATTGGTGACTTTATTTTTGTTTAGAATTTGAATAGAATTTGCATGTTTTTTTCCTCACAGTATATATACTTATTTGGAGTAAATTATCAGACCTGATGTGTGGGTCAGGAAACTAGAAAGTAGAAGTAAATATACTTTTTGCTAAGTACACCACAAGCAATTCATAATTTTCAGATACAAACATAAACTCACATCATTGTTTCCTAGTCGTGTAACTCTCTAGTTATATTACTTTTGAGAAAACAAAGCTGCAAATACATGATAATTCATTTGACTTTTTTATTTGACAGGATTCAAGTGTGACATCATCTCCAGTCATATCAGATGCAGCTCTTCCACCCAACTGGAAGACAACAATAGCAGCTGATGGAAGGGCTTACTACTACAATGAAGTTACTCAAGGTTTGTTTACATCAAGAGGCAAAAAATATTTGCTTAAAACTAGAAATAAAAAATGTTGTTTTGCATTCCAAACTCGACTTTTATAGCAGTGGTTTTTCCTTTTAATCAAAATACAAATTGATACAATCAATCTTTTCTCTGCACATCTAGTTAGGAGGTGAACCGTCCCTTAGATAACCTTTAATAATAACTTTTCATAAATTAACTGAATCACAAAAATGGTTTGCTCAGTGTTCTACCTTTCTTCTCACTCTACATTGTGATCTTTGGCCCTTTGCTCTCAAGTGCTTTCTCTCTAAGTTATTATTGTCTTTTGAGACTTTTTATTATTGTAAAACCTAAAAGATGTGATGTCCTAACCAGACCCATTGCTATAGGGGGCCTGTGGCAGGCCTGGCCGTTTGTATTTTTATAGGTGAGCTGTGAATCGCTCCCCTCATTTGCTGAGGCGAGCTAAATCAGTAACACATAGAATGTACTTTAAAGACAATCTACAGATGACTTAATAAGCCCCTTTAGTATCTGTTGGTTTCCTTAATGTAATTGCCTCAGTCAGGAGTGTTATGTTTTACTTCTTTCAATTTGTATTTGCTTTAACCGTGACTTAGGCACCCCCTTTACTTGAAGTATTTGAAAGAACAGACTCTCTCCGTTTTATGTAAAGCTAGCACAACACAAAAACAACAATTCTCTTGCAAAACAATCTTTTTGTTGCACAGAATTCGAAAATGGCTTTAAAAAACAAATTTTGAAACAAACTTAATTATACGTCTAGCAATCTTCAGAGAATAAAACGTCAGAACATAGAAGGAAAACTCTACGCTAAAATACCCAGTTTTGGATCGAAATAGGCCATCAGAAAACGCGAGGACATGACTGTTGAGGTTTTCCAATAAGTGCCCCTTTCCTATTGAAAATGTTACCAACTGCCACATAGATGGAACGATGATCAGGATGATGGAACGATGCCAATAATGGGAAACATGTCGCCGTTATAGCTTTTCACCCAATCTGGGTTTTTCAGTAAATGCTGCTCGATAGTGGAATTCCATGTTTTGGTTGTCGTTTTTGATCTGCAAGACAGAGTACCCTGTTATCTTTGAGGGATAGTTTTGTTTCTATTGCTGGAAGGGACCTGCTGTCTTATTATATCCCCAATCTACAATTCCTACCCATTTCTTCGACTTTCCTTCCAAAAATATTCCTGTTCTCTTAAGATTGAAAGGTTCTAATCGCTACAAACAGACCTTTCGGTTAACTATCCTTTTCCAAATAGATCGAAGTTCATGCCTATCATAACAAAAACCACCCAACAAGCAAAAAGTTAATTGCAAAAAATGCAGTGACAGGAGAAATCGCTGTTACAAAAATAAGCCAATTAACCTGTTTTCAGGGTTCTCTGAATAGGAAAAGGGCAAATGAATGGAAATTTTAGGGGAGCGATTCTCCCTTCATGTTCTGTTTAGGAGAGCAATTCATAGCTCGCCTCAGGTTGCGAGGGGAGCGCGGAGGCGAGCGCGAGCTATCGCTCGCCTCAAACGGCCAGGCCTGCTGTGGGGGTGTAACACCCCCCTTGAAAATATTTCCATGTCAAAAATGAGGAGTTTTTTGCCATCTAGGCCTCATAGCTAGGGTTGCTTAGTGGGCAAAATACCAAACTTGTCAGCAAATAATGGATTGATCAACCACTTTCTTGGCAAATGTGACTTTGAAACCCCCCTTGAGCACAATAGCCAGTGACTGACCTGGTCCTAATGTAGCTTCTCTTTAAAAAGAATGATTTATCAACATATATGGCACAAAATAGCAAGGTCATGGGATGTCATAGGTAATTGTTTGATAGAAGAAGTTATTAGTCAGTTGCAAGTAGAACCCACATGTGACAGTATATTTTCCTTAAGTAATTTCATTATAAATAGATTGGGGTGCTATTTCTTAGAAGTTTAAGCCTTTAAACAGCTTAGCAGACAGAAAGCTTCTTGTTGCTATCAACTGTTAAAAAAAGGTGATAAATCTCTTAATATATCTTAAGAAGAATTATTGTTTTTTTCTTCCAGAAACTACATGGTCACTGCCCATGTCCCCTACAAAATCACCTCCTGCTACATTTCCAAAAAGACATACCATTTCACAATGCTCAAGTATAAAAAAGCCAACTTCACCGACAATAAAAGTTGAGTCATATTCCTTGAGTCCAAGTCCAGATAAGAAAACAGAAGGGAGGAGTGCAACAGGTATTTCCAAGAAAATTTTTACCACTGTTGTGCATGTTTTTTATTGTAGTCCTGTTCCAGCTTATTGGAGGCATGTAATTATTTTCTGAATGAAAGCTTAAAGATTAATGGTTTTTAATAATAATCATTTAGGGTTTTTAGAATCAAAGAAGATATAATGATTTACCATTAGTTCTCAAAAGTGTTTAGAGAAAGATATTTTGATTGAAGTCCCAGCTGGGTCTTATTATCAGTGTTATTGGTGTTTTTGTCAAGTAAATATGCTTTATGCTAATGGAAATTATGAACGCTCTGTGTGTCTTATTCTTGCAATGATACTTTATCAAATCAATGATGTTACACAGAAACTCCAGAAGAACTCTAGGGTAGGGGGAGGGAGGAAAAGTCCCAAGCAAAACAATAGCAAATTAAAGAAAATTGCTTAGTATTGCAAGGGCAAGGGAGGCAACTGCCACCGTGCATCCCGTGCTTCTTGATTTAACTGGATATTTTCAACTCAAACAATGCCATGAACAATGTACACTTTGTGAGCTGTTCAAAGCCACCTTGTTTAAAATTAAGTAAACATTTGGAAAGCACCATCAATTTTATTCTGCAAATCAAATGCAAAATGAAGCTTTTGAACCCTTTCCACACAAGTTCTCAAATTTTTCAATTTCTCCCAAATACCAACAATGTTCCTTTCTTGTGCATTTTTACCTGTTTAGCTGTGTTTTCTTTTTCTCTCTAAAAATATGTGAAAGGCCTTCTACAACCCAACTGTGGTTGTAATGAGCCCTTGGATACATTGAAAGAAAGTGAAGATGTGATGGAATATTTTGGCTATGGTGCATATGTTCCACCGAAGGATAATAAATCGCCTCCCCCTATTTTAATGAATGTTTTAGTTTATGCGAGAAACGATTCAATACAGGAGTCAAACTGACTTTGTCTTGTAGCAGACAGTGGCTACAGCTCAATAGGTTCACCATCCCTGTCATCCTCAAGAGAATCTATTGATGCAAGAAGTGTTGGTAGCACTGGAAGCGGGGGCAATCGCAGGGTTAGTATTTTTATGCCATTAATATTTTCTGCCCAAAGTATTTTTCTGCCATTTGTTTTTATCTTCCATTATTTGTCACAAAGTTTCGTACTTTGAAAGTAGTATCTTAAATACAGCGGTTTCAGGGCTGGCAACCTTGAGGAAGATTATTTGAAACAGAAAAGTGTCAGTAACCACACCCAGACCACACTGTAATTTCAATTTATATTTGGAAGGCTTGACAGTTTTGACTTATTGTCTGGAGTTAAAATGAACAATGCTGTAGATTCGGGCCGAAGGGTTACCTTTGTGTAAAGGCAAATGAGTTGGTCAATTAATTTGAGCCATTCTAACCATTGGAAATAGTTTGATCCAAAAACTCTGCAGCTAGTCCTAAGCCAAAAGGTTTTGCTGTCAGCGACCCCTTCCTTGTCATATCTGAAGCGCTATTAGGAATGGTAACAAATGGCTTTTCTGTTTGCAATAGCCAAGCTAGACATTATCGTATGTAAGCGGTCCATATCGGTATTGTCGCTCAGTGGCGGACTGGCTCAGAATTTTTAACCGGCCACAAATAACTGGAGGGGCCCAGGTGGGTGTGGTCTGAAAATTAGGGCGTAGTCAAGTGAGCATTTCATCATAATCGATCAATTTCTAAGCAACATAACATATGTAGCACTAATAGCAAAGTTGAGCTGTTGATTACAAATGGGCGCTGAGTACACTAATTTAAATTTAACATTGAATAATAAAAATTCTGTCTGATTTGGATTTCAGTAATTTTGCACAAGAGACTTTCTCGAAGAAACAAAGTTTAAACTCATAAGAAAACTAACCTCAGATGCATAAAGGATAGTAAGTTTAAGTTACAGAATATCTGAGGTGTGAGGAAGCCTTAAACTTACAAGGTGTGAGGAAGCCGTTCGTGTTTTAAACTTACTGAAACTTAAACTAAAGATGGCAGACCTAAAAAAAGCAAACTAGAAAGGAAGGTACACTGATTCGATTTGTAGAAGTTGTGGTTCACATGCGGAATACATTGAACGTCTATTGGATTGTACCAATTTCTATCAAAAATTCAAAATGGAAAAACTTGCTTAGCGACAAATAAAGCCAAAGCGAATCATTTCTATATACGAAAATTTGATATGTAAATCATGATATTATAGCTATATCATAGCAAGAGGGTTCCCTTATTTTTTGTGTAATCATCCGCTAAATTGGTTTGCTTTCTGTCTTTTAGACTTAATACGTGCTTACAAACTATATTTTTCACAAAACTTTAAGGTTTATCATTTCGAAGACCGTTTCAATCAAATGCTATCAGAAGTTGCATTTCTTTAATTTGCATTCCAAGAAACCAGTGATCAGTCCTGTCCCCTTTTTGCATCGACTTTACCTTCCTTTCTGAGAACCACTTGCGACTCGAAGTTTATTCGTCCATTATGTGCAATTTGGCTAATTCTTGCCATTTTATTGACACCTTTTTCTGTCAATTTTTCATTCCATGAGGCAATACCTTACCCGTTCGTGTTTTATACTAAACAGTCCAGCGCAAGCAAAAAACTAGATTATTCGGTAAACGAATCTTTAAGACGATGCAACAACCCCCGTTGAAGTATCATTCGCATCGCATTTTCTTAATGCTATGGCTTGAGTAAAAGAAAAAGTTAACGCCAAGTTTGTTACTGAATCACACCTTACTTTTTTACTAACTGGCAAAAATTTAAGTGAACTCTACAATTAATGCCGGGCAGATTGACTGAACCTGGGTCTATGAAAAATAAAAATTCAGAAAATTCCATCATATTAATGTATTCATCAATTCTAAATCTCTATTAACCTCTCATAACCTAAAAAAAGTCATTCTTTTTTTAGCTTGGACCCAATCCATTTTATAACCACATGCTATGACATTTATTCAACCTCAGTTTTGATGTAATCCATGATATTTATTATTCGTAATGGGACATCTTAAGGCCCCACATTCCTAAAATGGGGCCCTTTTTCTGCAAAGATGGGGCCCTTTTTGTCAGATTTTAAAGGGGCCCACCGGCCACGGGCCATTGTTGCCGCTCTGAGGTTATTTATAGTGCACTGTTTTTTGCAAAAATGTAAAGAGACAGATACGATTTCGTCTGTGCTCGTTGGCGCCTTACGTTAGTTTCATCGCCGCCTCTGTAGGTTATACAAAAGCCTTCAGCTCTTTGGCGGCATAGTGTCCTTTCTTTCCTGAAAGGGTCTTTTTCTGTCCTTTTTGAAAAAAACAACCGTAGTTGCATTTTAAAGCTTCCGCTTTGTGATAGAGTATTGGGAGCCTCTTGTAGATCATTCTTTTCTCTGTTTTTTTGCGGGTCATTATCAAGTTCGCAAACTATTTTCTTTTCGGGCTTTACATATTCAGAACCACCCCTTGATGTCTGAACGGCCATTTTACCCCATTAAGGGTTTCCACTCCTTTCTTGGCAGAATCCGGAAAAGTGTTTAACCTTCCACCTGTCCACTCCTTAAGGACCTGAAAACTTTCCTCATCAAGACAATAAAAGCGAGCTTTTGATATACAGGTGGTTTTGAAATTAAAAGTTTTTGGTTTCGTTGGTCTTCCTCAAGGTGGCTGATAGCCTGCGTCACATACCAAATCGAATATAGACTTTTCTGTGACGTAGGGTCAGTCAGTGATCTTGTGACGTTCATGTTTTCTGGGCTCCGTTTTATGCGCATCCTCATTCCTAGTTTGCTTATGATTATCTGAAATTTTTTGAATGTTTTGGTAAGGATGGAATTTTCTTTTCAGGAATAGGCCTCGTGAAATTTTTCGAATTTTTTTTAGCAAGAATGGCTTAACCTTTCTTGTGTGTTTTCCGTCTCAATTATTTGCGGGACGTTGTGCTTTGAATTTATTAAGCTTGTAACTTTCCAGAAAATCTCCTGGCACATTGTTTTGATTCCTGAACTGGCTTTATTGTCGAACAGACATCCGTCGTGGTCGTGGAACTATCCACATACGATATCCTCAAAAAAACGAGGATTGTGGATACTAATTTCAATCTTTTGTTCTATTTGATAAATTCTTTCCGCTAGATCGATTAGTGACCTAAGCAACTTTTAAATTTTTGAATTTGTTGTTATTTTCTTGTCTTATCACATAAAGTGTTCAAGCTTTGTCATAGTTTCTTTTCTCTTGTAAATGTTTATTTCTATGTAAATTAATCAAAGGTTGCAAGGCTATAATTTCTTGCTCTCTCGAAAAGTCTGCAATGCAAACCTTTAGTATTTTATGTTTCCAATTATTATTTTTGCTTTGCAGAGGCGAAAGACAATGGCAATGAATCTAACCCCGTCGGTGTGTTTTCTTTAATATTTATTTAATTTTTGTAAATATCTAGTTATATATATGTTTCATTCTATCGAGATTTGACACGTCAGTTGTCCAATTTGCTCCCTAGATCTTTCGCGAAATATCTTGTCATGTTCAAGTATTCATTACCACCATAGACGTAGTAATCAGGGTAGCACCGGGGGTATGTGTCCCTCCCCTCTTTAAAGAAGCACAAGTAAAATACCTTTTTGCAGCCCACTTAGATGCCCCTTTTTCACTAACACGATTCCCTCCTATTTAATGCTTCCTGCGTTTATGGTTATCACCGTTTGTAGAGAAAGTGTATAATCCATCACTGTATACTGGAATCGCTGTCCGTAAAGTTGGATTAGGTTTTGTCCCCATCTTCAAGAAACTGCCGCAGACAGCAGGAATACTATACTTTACTCTACTAAAATCCATTGGCGTCACCACGGGGTGAACTGGGGTGGACATGTCCACCCCAGTTTTTCCAGAAGTCGATTTTCTGATTTCTCCAAATCCTGATAAGTTTGGCTGATCAGATCGATTTCGATTTTCGCACTGGCAAAAAAGCCGGCGAAAATTGCTGCTTGAGAAAGTTGCTTGTCCAAAAATTTTAAAATAGATTAAATACTAAAAAAGGATTTTCTAAGAGTCTGAAGGGCGTGACCGAGAAAATTTGTTTTTGTCCACCCCAGTTTTTTCGAGCTGGCGACGCCACTGCTGAAATCTAAGACAGTTTTGTCTTTATCTTCATGAAACTTTCGCAGGCAGCAAAAATAACTTGAGGCCCCCCTTCTCTCCCCAATTAAACTACATTATCTGTATTAGAAGATGGTTTATTTTTATTTTAGCGACCACAGTTTTTCAACTACCCAACAATCGAAGAAAGCTCGGAGCAAACTCCACTCAACCAACTTGACATCAGCTTTTGTGACAATTTCTGGGTACGAAGTCTTTTAGCTTTTTTCGTCTTGGAATATTCAGCAGTTGTTATAATTGATGTTTTATTACATGTTTCATAGCTATTCAATGTAGTTTTTCCTTACACCCATTGATTCGTCTTTCACGCATGCTTGAATTCCAGCCACACTGTTTTCGGTGATTTATCTAAACTTTCATCCCTCTACCAATTTTTCCTTCATCCCAGTCTTTATCCTCTCATCCATTCATCCGTTTACCTTATGCTCGATCAACACCAGCTTCTCACTATCCCGTCTTCCTTTTTGCAGATCTTACCAATCATTACTTTCAATCATCTTTTATACCACTTCTCTTTGCTGTATTCAATTTTCCTCTTTAACGGGGTTTTGTTCTAAGGGAGGGTCGTGTACAGAACTGGCCTATTTTGTACAGATAACTGCGTTGAATAATACATGTTACATCAGGTTTCTGTGATTCGATGTTTACGCCACTCTTTAAAGGAATGAGTACTTACACAAATGTGGATCAACGTGTATTATCTTTTTTATTTTAAGATGCAGTTAGCAACATAAACATAACCACCAAGCTTTCACACCTTGTAATTTGTCTTACTTTGTGTTGAAGTAACTACATAAGAGGGTATTTGTATAACTGCATCGATGGGTTGTTGTTTTTCGTAAGAACCTTCCATTTCCAGCAAACATGAGCGGCTGCAATGCTAAGTTTACATGTTGGTACTAATACTTCTAAGACTAATACTATTGAGATATTTTTTGTTCTTTAACATCATTATTACCATTATGGTCATTATCATCGATTTATTAGTGTTCATATTTGTTTCTATGCAAACAGGACGACTTAGGCGAATCGACCGGCTTTGATCTTGTTCGCAGTTATATACAAAAGGGAAAATCGAATTGTAAAGAAATGGCTGATTTCTTTAGAGAGAGGTGGGTTCACAGTTAAAATTTTCATTGTAATTTATTCAAATTTATAAGAAGCTCAGATATCATACTGCTGTGACATCTTACGAATAATCGTACTATTCGGACAATTTGCTTGTATTCTAATATTCGCTTTGAGCTTGAGCTAAGCGAATAATCAAACAGGTAGCTAAATACCGATTAATCGACCTTCGTAGGACAGCCCTAGTTTTTAGACTCTATAAAGTGATATATATTAAGATTAGAACCCTCAAATAACTGCGGAGAAAAATGTTGTGTTGTTGATTAGGATGACTACAAAATGCACCAACCCTTATCATAATCGAAAACTAGATATTTTAGGAGTCCCTTTTAGGCTCTCTTTATTTCAGTTGTAGAAGGAGTTGTAAGTATAACAGAAGGCTGACATAGACATAGATTGAAGAAAGGTTTAGATAAACTTTCCTAAAAAATAATTTGGTTCAGGGGTGATTCAATACAAAGACAATGTTGGTTTAAATTGCAAAAGATGCGTCTTAATTGTTGTCAAAAGGTGGTCCTGTTGGACCTTTGATGATAGACTTTGACAGGGACATTTCTCGTATAACCCTACTGTCTAGGATTTCCAGTCTCTAAAAAAGTAGTTATATTTCATTTGTTGGAGGCAATCGAGTAGTTGTCATCTGCCAATTGCCAATTAAGTTGACGTTTGATTTCATTTGTTACATCCCAGAGCGGCAATCGAAGATGGTTATGCAAAGAATTTATTACGCCTGGCGCATGGGCAACACGGAAATCAGGAAAAAGGGTAATAGTCTGAAGCTACTTTGTTCTTTTTCGTTGCTTAACTAAGTTTATGGATCCATTGTCGACTATCTATGTTACTTCTTTATATTGTTTTGTCCAATGAATGGTGATAAATATTCAGTGATTCCGGTTAGCATCAACTTTCTTTTTTATGGTTTTATTATGTACAGATAAGGCCCTGTTATCTTTGCATCCTTAAGTATCCAATGTTAATTAAATATTTTGAGTCAAAAATTTAATTTACCGCTTTTAATGATAGACTGAAGATTTTAATCTTATGGTGACGCCCTCATATTGAATTAGTTCATTGTTTATTCATAGCAGACACATCTAGAACATTTTATCATTAAAATTAACAAAGAGAGAGATGCAATATTCGAAGAAAGAGTATAACTTGGCGTAAGATGACAAGTTTTAGTTCAAAACAGGGCCCACGCCATAAATTTAAAAGTGGGGGGAGGGGGCAAGGCTAGCAAAAGTAGGGAGCCAAGGCTTCTTTCCTCTTTTACTGCAGCTTTAAAACTACTTGCTTCGCAAAATAATGGGGGGGGGGGGAGGCATGGCCACATGACGCTCATCCAACCCAGAATATTTGTGTGGTTTGATACCCCCAGCAGACAAGTCTTGTCTGGTCAAACCTACCTGGTTCAACTCATTGCATGATTTCGCAATGCAAATATTCTGTGAAAGCAATTTTATGAAGTTATATCACTAATCAATGCCTTCAAAAGGAGAGCCTGCGTGTTAGTACACAATGGCCTACAGAACATTGTCTATCATGCTCTAAGCCATTGCCAATACTTTATGTATCAAAAACACTCCATGGACGCCAGGAACAATGCATCTTGTGTATTCCTTCCATGGATACGAATTGAATATGCGAATATTATTTTTATTAATTTAAGGGAAAATAGATTCAACTGGCAGTTCTTTTTCCCCTTGAACCAGAGTCACGTTCATGTAATTCGTTCCTTACTTCTCATTACCTAATTCCAATGTATTGTATTCTGTAGTCTTATTCTTTTGCACTTTCTGTCTACGTCTACGAGCTTTCTATTGGTGAATATATTGAAATCAACTGTTGACAAATATTTCTTCTAAGCTAGCTTGTTTGGTATCTTTTTTCAGATCTTGTGGAGAAGCTTGGCAAAAGATGAAAAAGGGTTTGGAAGAGGAAGCCCAGTTTCACCAAGAACTGTCCCTTTCGGTGTGTAATTTTCTAGATTGTACAGAAATTCATTTCATATTTGAATTTATAGCTTTTTTGTTCGGCAGGGTTTGATGATGAATTTTTGAAAATGACTTAGAATGACAAGTTTCAAGCTTCCGTATAAAGGAAGAATATTCTACCGAAATACTTAAACTATGTCGAAACATGCATGGATACATTGCACTGTTTATTGAAGCCGTGCAATGATTGAAGCCAGAGCCAACTGTATTGTTGGCTAATAGCTCAACTGGGTACAGGTTTTTTTAGTTATTGGCATCCGCAAGATGTTTCATTCCTCTGTTATGACTAGAAACAAATGACTACTGGATGCAATTATCATTTTCTGTTTTCCCTTCAATTTATGCATTTTTATACCAGTTCTATCTTCTTTGTCAGTTTTAATATCTCTTCAAAATTTAAAAAAACAGTCCTTTTATCTTATCTAACCTGTTTTAATTTAAGGAAGTAGGTTTTCACTAGATTGAGATTTTTTTATTTAAATTGGTATAATTTGATTGTCGACTGTACAAGTTTTCAATTAGATCTGTCGAAAAAATTTTCTAAGAAAGACAAAGAAAGATTTATGTCGTCATAATTTGTTCTCTTATGATATATTTTCAGTTCTCCAGTTCTCGTTGCTGCGATGTATTTCAGGGATCACATACTAACACGTTGCCATTGCCAAAATTTATTATGTATTTAATTATATGGTCTTTAAAAATTGATTTGGTCTTTAAACTAATTTGTTGATATTTATTACGTTCTAGCTAATGCAAGGGTTGGAGAAAACGCTAACTGAGTATGCAGAACGGCCTATTTTTATAGAGAAGAAAGATGTGAAAAGAGTATGTATCAACACCGCCTTTGAAAATTTATTTGTGTGTCACCAAATATATCGTTCCTCTGAGAGAGACCACGAGATTTGGCAGTCTTAAGAGACGGAGCTTAAGGAGTGTCATCTTAGTTTGGGAAATTGAATTACTATTCCTCAAAAAAATTTAACAGAAGGAGGTTTGAGTTTTTGCAGCTAATTACTGTAGTCAATGTTTAATATTCATCGGCAAAGCATAGGTAGAAAGGCAGATTTAATGAAAAAGTGGTTTATTTTTTGAATTTCTTTTGTCGTTTTAAGGGAAGATTATGTTTTTGACTGTTTATTGTATTAACTTGACATGGGTATGGCTAATGTTCTTTGCAAACTAGCTAGCGTTGATATATTGAACCTCCAAAAATGCCTGTTTTGCATGGCCTAAATATCAAAAATATTTTAGATTGATGCTATTATCCATGATGATCGGAAAAAGGTTGCATCAAGGTTTAAAGACTTGGAAAAGGTTAGTACAGAAAAGTTTTCCTTGAATGCCGTATGTTGAACATATGGACGAACATTGGAAGTACAATTTCCTGTTATCTGTATTGACTCCCTTTGAGTATGATCCAACCTCAAGGTTTATTCAGATTAACAGTTTTTTAGCCAAGAGTATTCTATAAAGAGCGTCCGGTTGAAACAAACGTTAGGTTAATTAGGCAGCTTGTTTGAGTGTGCTATTGACAAAAGCTAATACGAATAAACAGGCTAGACATTTGCCCTTACTTTGTTATGCATGGTTTCAATAGCTAGGTAGGGTTTTTGTCAAAGAATATTTCAAAAACATGACATTGTTCGCTTTGGTTTTTTCGACTTTTTGGGATTGAACATTTAAGAGTGTTTCCCAATTTTATGAAAAGAAGGCCCTTTTTGATTACTTATTTCAAAATACAAGAACTTGATGACTCATGATCTAAACAGACGACTTGTTTTCTCATAAATAAGACGAATTTTACGTTCTTGTTTTTTGTGGTTGAGCTGTGGTTCATCCCTGACACAATACATCTTTCAGAAGTTTTCTGTCCAGTCCAATTTTGTTTTATTCGTAGAAGTTACTTTAATTCTGCGGAAGGCTGGGAAGATATTTAAGATTTACTCTCTAAAATTCTACTACCAGATAATGCTACTAAAAAATTTTAAGGTAGACGGAATTTTTCAACATTTAGCTCTTTGAACGGCGACAATAGCACAAGGAAGACATGTATAAAATGATTGCAATATATTTTGAGATTCTTTTTCTTAACATTTTTTTTATTTTTGTAGCAACGTGTTGCATTGAAAGAAAGGCAAGCAAAAATCAACCTCCTTACTAAGGTATGACTTTTTCTATTATTATAATTATTATATTCATTTTCTATATAAAACATTATATAAAACATCTTCTATTTTTTCTATTATTATTATATCGTTTCTTATTTTAAGGTATTTTTTACAGAATACAGTTTTTCTAAGTAATGAAAGTTGAATTATCAGCTTTGTTCTGCTACAAAGTTTGAATTCCATTTTTTAATTATCTGTAAATATTGTCATATCAGTTTTGTATTTCTATCTGTAGACTAGAAATCGCTCACATTTGTATCTGCTTTGTTTTTATCGTTTTTTAATTGAATGAAATAATATGAAGAAGTTTTTCTGTCCACATTGTAAAGGAGAGACGCAATAAAACGAAATTAAGGGGTGTTGGGAAAATATTATGAGCTTCTAGCTTTTCATGTTCATTTGTAAACAAATTTGCTCCTGATAAAAACAACTCTTGGGTTAAGTAGAGAATATGAATCCTTTTGAACTGATTTTATTTTTTTGAATGATTAATTTTGACCATCAATAGCCCTGTTGTTAATGCGCTAAACTGAGTATTGCATCGCACAAGCCTCTCTCCGCCTGAGCCAATGTTCAATGTCAGAAAGGGTACCCAGTTTTCAAAGGACCCCTATTCTGCTGGAATACCTAAATTGGGCACATCTTAGCTATCTTCTACGGGAGAAATGGAAGTAAACTTTGAAAAAAGTTTGGATACTTAATCTTCTTCTCCGATCAATCAAACCAAACGTAATATTTGATTTTTCTTCTTTCCGACATTCAACTCTCGTTGAAGTTAAAAACAGCCCACGAAACTCTAATTCACATTTTTGTTTTTTAGCAACAAGATATCTCCAAAGCACAGAAAAAAATAGCAGCATCGGGTAAGAAACGTCTGGATTATACGATTCAAATAGGACTACACGCTTTTTTATAAGGAACCACTTTATAAAGAATTTACATGTAGAAGGCCGAAATATTTAAAGACTTCTACGACTAAAAACAAAATTCGTAAGGAACTTTTCGATTTGAAAAATTTGCAGCCAATACTCGCATAGATTGTTTGCTCTCCGTGTGTCAAGTGGTTTCCGTATATGCTGTTTCGCCCCTCTCTCTATTAAGTGTTAAGGCTTATTGTAGTCAAAACACCGAAAGATAAATTTTCACTATACATAGCAACATTAAAACCGGAAACTTTAGAATAAAACACTTGATGAATAACTGTCAAAAGATTCCTGATTGCACAAATCTCGTGATTTTAGAATCACTTCATATGAAGTTTTTTATCGCACTTGATGTGCAGTGAAAATTAAGGAACTATTAAGGAATGTTTGGTACTACAATATGATAATTTGAGGTCTATGACTAAGGAACTTTTGGAACTAGGCCTTGAGGTAGGTTCCTTATAGATAAAAAGGCGTGTAATAAAACACGTTCTTATCTGTGACTTGTCAATAGCAGTTCCTAATTGTATGGAATATCTAATCGTGTTCACGTAATGGATTGTGCACATGGGTAAAGTAACAACAGACATAGGCCCACAGTTCAACACCTCAATACTATAGACATATTGGAGGACCTCTTGAAAAACAGCTTTAACTGAAGGGCAACCCTCCTTAAAAGAATGAAATGTATGGTTTATTATATATAGCAGTTAGAACACTTTTATCAAAGCATCTTTATTTTCCCAATGACTTGCTTTCAAAAGATGCATATATCTTAACTAGATGATTTGTTGGGGAGGGGAGGGGGGAGGGGGGAGGAGGGGATGACATCGTGAATGATTCTTTTACTGGGAGACGCGTGCAGCAGCCTATGGACCAAATTGTAGATTAGTGCAACTTATCCAACTTCAATCGATTGTTTTCTCGATGTAAGCGGTTGGACAATGGCCAAAGTTCAACTTTGTTTTTAACGCTGATAAAGGTCGAGTTCGGTAAACAGCAATTATGAAGTACTTGACGAGCTTCCTTCTGGTCACTTTCACTTTTACAAATCATTAATGCTAATTAAACAAATACCTTTTGATGATATAAGTAATGTGCAAATTCTCATTTCTTAGCTTCTTTGACAAATGAAATTAAGTATTAGTATTAACGAGCATTTCATTGGCGAAGAGAACGGAACAAATAGAAATTTGTAATTATCTGCTCGTTCATGCCCTGCTGTTGTTATTTTGTTTAGCAAACTATTTGCAATTTTACGTCACTAAAATATGGCATTATTACTTCCAAACGTGGTTTTATGTCTTTCATCAGTAAACATCTGCAATGGCATAATTCATTGTTCTTTGACAACTAATTATCGTGTTTTTTCATAAAGGGAGTTTCGATGTCTCCTGTTTACCTTTGATTTACGTGTTGTATGAATTTGCCTAAGAGGCTTCTAACTAGCGGCCTAATGACAGTCAAAGTCTTGCAATTAAATGAAATTTTGGAAGCTTGAAATCTCTGTTCTACATCCGGGCTTAGCCAAATCAAAGTACACTAGTTTCTAGTTTATTGTAAACATTGCTCCTTTTGTCAGCAAAGAAAGTCTTCAGAACTTGAGTAGGCGCGAAGATTTAGTTGAATTTGTTACCAAAAATGATTTTTTTGTTTTAATCCTTAGTAGCACGACCAAAACCATTTCCAGAAACCTAAGAACAGCAGTCACCTTAGTTAAATCTATATTTATCAATACACAGTTTATTTTGTAAAATCTTTTGTAATTTATCATAAATATTTTGCAACATTTGCTCAATACCATTCTGTTTATATTTGCAACATTTGCTCAATACCATTCTGTTTATATTTAATTACTTTGCTTTTATTTAAGAATTTTGTAAACCGATAGTCATGTGTAGCAATTTCACTCAATATTTATAATTGTTTTTCAAATTGGTTTAAGATATAGAAATGTTTGTTACTGTCATGTTAAGTAGATTTTCTTCTTCTTACTAGTTGACGATCTGAAGCGCTCAATAGACGATTTCAATGATGCACAAAGAAAATGGATTGATGATACAGTCCTTGGCCTGATGGTAAACCTTTAATTTGTATTTTGTATAATGAGAAGTAAATACAACTAACGTAATACAGTATATTGTGTTGCTAAGTTGCACTGTGACATTGCAGTAAAGGTTTTAGGTTAAGCGTAATTGGCCAGTGACTCTTTTGGGATAAATTTTATGCCAGAATGTTGAAAACTACAAAAACCTCTCTGTTTGGTATTTTTTATGTTATGCTTCTTTGTAATGAAGAGTCATTTTGTAAGTAGAGTCATTTTTTATGAAGAGTCATTTGTTCGTATAGTTTGGCATCAAGTACTTTCAAACTTCGAACAAATTTGTGTTCTCCATTTTTCATCTTGATTTCATTTTCATCTGTGTTGTGGCTGCGAGCGTTGTGACTCAGCATTGCGGCTTTTCTGCAAGTTGCAGCAAGATAAAAGTTGCCTTGATGGGGTCATAGACTATTTAGATACTATTTAACAGTCATGGCGCATTGAATTTTGTTAGAGGATGCAAATCTTTGTTAAAAAGATAATTTGCTAGCGAATGGAATAATCTTCTAAGTGTATACTAGCTTAATCTCTTTTAAAATCCAACTAATTTTCTCAGGAACTGGAAAAGAAAGAATCAGAAAGGATTCAGTTTATACAGAAGAAATTGGAGATGTATACTGAATTGGGAAAAACAGCATTTGATGGGGATTCACAGGTGAATTTCTTTCAGTTTCATTCGCTTTTAATGCTAATTAACCCAGATTAATCTTCAAGGTAATATCATCTTTTCACGTTTTAAACTCTGCAAAGAACTTATAAGCCAAGAGGTTTGTTAATTAAATATTGGTTAATGATTTAGAGACTGCAAAAAAGGTTACATTGATTTTGAAAGTCAGTATTGAAAGTTTGCCAGGATGATGCTTCTTGGTCTGCTGGATCTGTTAAGTTTTTGAAGTAACAGATCGTTGAAACATTGCGTTTAGACAAAAAACATTTCAATTTTTGTCAGACTTACTCACTAGGTTTTCTTTCAGACCATGACCAATATACTGGAATCAGTGAAGAAAATTGACCCAGTCATTGATCGAAAGGCTTTTGTGGATGGTAACAGAACGGGTATCATAAGACCCATTGACATAAAGAAATGATTTATTTATCAATAATCTGTTGCCGTTGTTGTTCAGGTAGTACGGTGTTCTGTCCTTAACCCTTGACTTTATTATGACTAATAAATTCTTGATACAGTGACTGCACAATAAAAATTTAATGTTTGGATCTTCTAACCTCAACTTAGCATTTGTGTTCGCTTGTTAAGTGTAATTTCGAATGAACTTCTAACCCCTTTCCCCCTCTTCTCTATTCTCTTTTTGTATACACCCTCTCGTTCCTTTAATTTAGTCGTTTCTTTTTCGACTTCTTGTTTCTCTCCGTTTTCGTTCTCTTTCTTTTCTTCTCTAATATTTTCTTATACTTGCCCATACACTGTGTTCAAGGCACTACGTTTAAGGCTCTAAGTTTTGCGTGAATGTGGGGCATAAATTAATTTGCTTTTCAGTCTAGACAAGCTGGTTTTCTCTAGCGTAATTTGCAAATGGACTGGGACATTTCAAAGACAGCTTGGTTATGCAAACATTAAACTACAGATACCAAAAGCTTTTGTCATTACTGTCAATAAAAACAACTTATTCCCTTTTGTCCCTTTTCATGTAGCCTACTCTCGATCCACATTTTTAATATTCTAAGATTCCATTTTATAGACTTGATGATAACACGAAGCTATTATATTTTTGTAACTTTATAGAATGTTGAGATTTTATATATAGTTTTAGAATCAGTTTTTAAAGCTATTGATTTTAAAAGTTCATTTGGTTTATATTACTGTTAAACAGATTAAACTTACAATTTCTTTCAAAAATATTTTTTTCTTGATTTCATGTACTTCCAATAGACGTCTTCATTTTCTTCGTTTGACATATGCATGTAATATAACGTTTTGTGAAGATATTTTTGTAATTTGTATTTAATTAGACTCGACCCTCGTCATAACCTAAAGGGGGGATTTTTTTCATGATGTTCTTTCATGAAATACTTTAATAAATATTAATTCTTTATATCAGATAACTAATTATATATTAAACCAAAGCATAAAATTGCAAGATTTTCCACTGAAAATTTGTTTATGCCCTGAATCAAAAGACAGATTGCGCCAAACCGAAATGATCTTTGAACTGATACTGATTCTTGCTCAAAAAGGCTGTATATTAAGAAACCCCATTCCTGTATTTTAAGATTTACAGATAGGTGGATTTCAGTTAAAGTTTTAAAAAATGTTTATCTGATTCTTAAGATGCAAAGTAAGGTAGCTGTTGCGTTTTTTAAGGACAAAAATGGCTTTAAGGCCCTGTCCACACGTGTCCGGAAATTTGTGGAAACGTAATTTTTTTTACGAATACAGCTTGCGTCCACACTTATCCAGCGTATTTTACGGTCGTATCCGGAAATTTTTGAAGACGGTATCCAGATTGGAAATTTTTTGATCCGTTACAAATGCGATTACGTATGGACGCTTGTATCCGAAAACTTTCAAGTACGCGACGTCTTTTTCTGGGTTCCAGTTTCTCGCTGCTAGTACAAACAAACATGAAGTACAGAAAGGTTGTAGCGTCTTTGTTAGTTGCCTTGATTTCTACAGCACTTGAGCGAATCAGACAATTTCCGGATAAAAGCGGATGATACGTGTAGACGCCTGAAAACGATTCGAGTACGCTCCGACAAAAAAGTTTGCGGGGAAAAACTTTCCGGATGCGTGTGGACAGGGCCTAAGTAGACAGCAGAGAAAGAGTCTTGAAAGCTTCAATTTTGTATAATAAAATTTTTTTTCCAGTATCATGAATTGGTGTTAGTACTCGTTAATTACATTATTTTGTATTAAAAACGGCTTCACGAGTAGAACCCCTATTGGAAGTTATGTTCAAACCATCAGCGTTTCTTAAACCAGTCAATCATTGGCTTTTTGCTCACATTGGACAATAATTTTGATCACGTAGAGCGTACAGAGGTCTTTATACACTCCATTAGATCTTAATGAATGTCAATAGCATCAACTTGTCCCCACCCCACAGCGCTGTTTAATATTGTCCTCAAGGTTTCGATGTTTTCAGTCTTATTTCTCTCAGATGATTGTGCTGGTAAATTTTAAACCAACATTACTTGTGGGAAGAGGGGGCTGTGCTTTCCGTTTGTCACTGAAAACAACTAATTTTTCAGCTTTTGGCTGCAGGGTGCTGGGGATTTTACCCTGTAGGACATATCCATTTCCAAGGGAGGTCAGCTGGGGGTTGAAGCAATGGTTGTTTTTAACAAAGAAAGGTCACTAAGGCTTATGGGGGTTATTGCCCCCCCCCCAAGTATGCTAGAAAAGATCCTGCTTTAAATAGCTTATTATTTACCAGTTACACATGATAGATATTGTTTTCTAACACGTACTGCAACTGGTTTGAACATCCCTTAGAATTCTTTAACCATTCATTGCTTACTCCAATCAAAGTATAATTTAGCATCAATCGTGTTGTAGTTTCATAACAAAGAAAATCTTTGTATTAACTAAACAATTGTCTTTTTCTTGTATCTTTTTTAAGCTTGTTATTTTTTAAGTTTGCTGTCTTATATAATTGCATGTGCCAATTTTGTTTGCCTCAAGGAATGTGTCAGTAGGGTGTCTTCCCAACAAAGTTTTCACAAAGTAGGTGGACTAGGCCGTGGAGCTCTTCCTCCAATATACCTTTCACAACATTTCTTTAAGCTGGTACACTGGATTATTCGAAACGTTTTTAGATCCACATGTACGAGGTATTCAGATAATAGGGAAAGCACTTTATCCTAAATCATTGCAATTGTTGATATTCTAATTCCCAAGAATATTTGGTATAGCGTCCAAGAGGAATGTATTCCTCATTGAATAACTTAAAATTGGTCTTTGCCCCATCTTGCATTTTCAAATTTTAAAGAACTTATTGGAAAAATTGTGCAAAATTTTATGAAGCATTTAAATTTTCGTTACCATTTGTGTGACACAAACAGAGCTACGATAATAAAATTTATAGCAACGAAATTTATATAATTTTTTCCTATTAGCGCATGCTCCAACACGTTGATATTTGAGGGAGGTTGGCAGACTTGTCAACCCTCCCGGTTTTGCCGGGATCTCCAGGTTTTGCTTGCTTTCTCCCGGTTTCCCGGTTGTTGGGAACTTCATACCCTGGGTACCAGACTCACTGTTTGGTACCCAGGGTAGGAACTTCATAACCCAACACTCCGCTAGTTACACTCTTAGGCAACGACAAAGAAGAAGTCAAATTTTATCTGAAACATTTTTTATGCAATCAATCTACACTCATGTTAGTTCAAACTCTACTCGTAACTAATGACGCGAAAAACATAATACATGAAACGTAGTTGATTGTGTTCTATGGTTATAACCCGTCTGTGAATGATATGAACTCTCCGTCATGGTAACATTAGTTTAACTAGTTAGTAACATAACAAAGCAAAAATTATGCATTGACAATAATTAGTTGCTAGGCGCATGCAACCTCACTTTCCACAACACCGGTTTTTTATGATTTCCCTCTGTTTATTCTTGTCTTTTAGCAGAGGTTTTCTTATAACGAAATTTCGTACATAAAACTTCCTTCTAGTTTTCCAATTTTATGTGTTCCTCTGTACTTCTTATTTAGTCTGTCTCATTAGTATCCTAGAAGCAACCACGAAGCTGTAGATGTCGGCTAGGGTGGGCAAACTCGAGCAAGAACCATACCTGAGGGGGGCAGGCTTTAAAACAAGAGAGCAGATATATAACAAACAGATATATTTGGGCTAAATCAAGCTCACAGAATTATAATTATGCCAACTTTTCAAAATATCATTTGGAAAAAGTGTAGCCAGAGGGGGCAAGTTGTTGTCAAAATTTTCATTTTGGGGGAACAGCCCCCCGTGCCCCCCTGCAGCTACGTAGCTGCCTAGAAGGTGAAATTGCCTAGAAGATATGTGAACGAAGCAGTTTGTTCCTTGGCAAACTTTATTTTCAGATTAAAATTTGAACATGTAATGAAATCATGCATAAACCAGACCCGATAATAGCACGATGTTCCCTACTTTCATTAATAGGCTAAATTTGAAGTTGAAAAAGTTTGCCAATTATTTACAATTATTGTTCTTCAGAGTTCATAGAGTCAAGGTAAAGAACTTTCTTATCAGCGTAGAAACGAGATGCCAGGTTTGCTACTCAAGAAGCCGCTTAAATTAAGAACAATACCTAATATAGATCTTGATCATTGTGTTTATATCAACATGCTGTTCGAGCACAACTGTAGATAGCATGTCATTCCCATCTTTAATCAGACAAGTCTGCAGGGGTTGACGGAGAGCCAAACTTCTCTTGAAGCTTGTTTCATAATTTTCACCTATTATATATCAGCCTCACTTCTGATAAATCTTGCGCACGAACTTTCGCTTTTATAAATGGAAACTAAAGAGGGCGGACAGAGGTACAGATTGCGTTCAATGTCGGCCATTGACAATATGTCGCAGAAACTTCCTCCTCTCCGAAAGAATCGCAGTCATGGCACATTCAGTAGAGGTCAGAAAAGTGTTGAGATTTGTGGTGATGGCTACGAGAAAGTGGATCCTGAAATGGTTTTTGAAGAGAAGCAAACAGACAAACTTCCTATCAAACCAACTCGAAGACGCCTTGTAGAGAAAAACGGGCAGAGAAATGTTCGTTCAAAACATATTCCGAGGACAAGGTATGTTCAAGATATGTTCACCACAATTTTAGATGCGAGATGGAAATGGATGATGTTTCTTTTCATTGTCAGCTATTTATTTACATGGACATTATTTGCAACTTTCTGGTGGGTGATTTTCGAGGTTCGCGAGAGCACAAAGTGCATTGCTGGAGTTCAGCACTGGACCGAAGCATTTTTATACTCAATTGAAACCCAACAGACTATAGGATATGGAACCAGAGCCATCCGAGATAACTGTCCAGAGGCCACTCTGCTTTTAATTATACAGACTATAGTTGGTATGGCTATCGATGCAGTTTTACTGGGTCTTGTTTTTGCCAAGTTGGCAAGGCCTAACAAAAGGTCTAGCACCATCTTGTTTTCTGAAAATGCTGCTCTTAGCAAAAGAGATGACAAATTTTGTTTGATGTTTCAAGTAGCTGATGTTCGCAAAAGGCAGTTGCCTGAAGCTCACATCAGGGCATATTTGTTTCGATCCCTCAAGACTCAAGAAGGGCGAGTGATACCGTTTTATCATGAAAGCCTGCAAATTGGGCATGATCATAACAAGTATGACCCAGATGTGACCCCAGATAGGCTGTTCTTACTTTTTCCTGTCACAGTCATTCACATCATTGATGATGAAAGTCCTTTTTATAACATTGGCCCTGAGGAACTGAAGAAAAGTGACTGGGAAATAATAATTTTGATGGAAGGTGTGGTCGAGGCTACTGGTTGTACGGTTCAAGCTAGAACATCATACCTTGGTGATGAAATTTTATGGGGACATGATTTTGTCGATGTTTTTGAGCCTCAAGATTGGTCTGATGATGAGGGATATCGATATGACCTTTTTAAAATGAATGTCCTGTCGCCTACTGCTACACCGCGATGTAGTCCTAGAGAGTATTATTCGTCAAGACAGCTTGATAGTGTAAAGGAGTCTAGTGAAACTAGAAGAGATGAGCAGCCTGATTTAGACAGGCAAATATCTGTTGGTTTGACCATTGGAAGTCTGTAATTAATATTATTAACATAGATATTTAGATATGTTAGATAAAATATATATACTTTTAAGTAATTTAATGAAAATGTTACTTATCATAGTTACAGCCTATATATTGCTTGTTTTCAGGCAGGTAGTTAATTCAAGCCCATTTCCCACTATATGGAAAGATGTTCATCACTACTTTCTGCTTAGATAGTATTCTTAAAACAAAGATCAGTGCAAGCTGCAAGCATGTGACTAACTCATTTTTATTTAGCAAGAAAGTCTTTATGATAGAAAGTGTGATGAAGAATTATCCCTGACATGAATACCACCTTGCATGAATACAGGCTATAATTAGGTGGCCAATTGTTGTAAAGTTTTTAGGTCAATTTGTTTCTTTAGTTTATTTATTGATGATAATGTTATTAAATTTGATTTTTATATTTCATTCATCTCAGGTAATTAAGTTTTATTAGAAAGCACCTTCATATGCAACAACATTTTTTCAGAAATATTATTTAAAACTATTCTTATAATGTCTTTTCAGTTTTATGACATGTTTTGATTCTTAACGTTTAACTTGTTTCAGTGTTTTGTATTTTCAGCAAGTATAGTAAACAGATGATTATATCATATTTTCCATTAAAATTTATTCAAATCTAGCTGTTTTTGCTTTTTTGGAACTCTTTACTTTGTTAACATTATGCTAAATCCTTGCTTAAGTCTTATCTATAACCAAATTTTCATGCTGGCACAAACTCATGTTGTCATGACTTCATTTTCGGTCTTATGTAAAGGGCCCCTTATTAGTAGCCATTCTCAATATGTTTCGAGCCAGGAGACCATCAGCTTCCCTGTCGAGAGATTTGCCAGAATTTTCAGTTTCTTTTAGTTGTTTCCAATGCCAAATCAATAACTGCCATTTGAAGTCATCTTTTGTTTCATAACTTCCTGGAAGGCTAAATTTCAGAAAGATTATGAAAGAAATTAGATATTCTAAATGGTGACTAGATTTCAGCTGAGGACATAGCAGATCAACAGCCAGTATCCATATCAGGCTTCCACATGGCCATACTTGGAGACTTTTGATGTATAAGTTATAAGATAAGTTATAAGTTATAAGATAAGTTATAGGGGACAATTGGAGACAAGGTAGAGCATAATCCTCACATTTCTGCAGTACAATAATGAGGCTTTAATGCTCCTCCTCTGGCCATTCACAGACTCATGCAATAATTGCAGGCAGTTTATTATAAAGATATTTTAACTGTATAATATTGCAGTCACTGGAATCTTACCAAGAAAAAAGGTCTCTGGATGAAATCCAACAACTTTCCTGGCTTTTAGTGAATGTTGAAAATATTAACAATTTTCTTCGACAAAATTCCGTTTGGAACTGCCTTGCAAAGGAAATTGCCAAAAATCTCTCAATATCAGAGAAATTGTTCCTAATCGGTTCAGAACCATTGCTGATCGCTGAATTTTAGACTCGTATGAATTTTTGGCCATTTTCTATCTGGTATCGCTAACAGGAAGAGATAAATTCGCCTTCGCCCAATCAGCTAATAGCTAAATATTTGACGTTTGATGACTTTATGCCTGATTCCTCAGACAATATTTTGAACTCTAATAAACGTTGGAGATGGGGGGGGGGAGCAGTATGAGTCTTGTACGAATATTGTTGTTTGATTGAGATAAAATTGTCTGAATGGGCCAGAAATTTGATAAATTTTGCCTGATTGGGGAAGGGGAGTGTGCAGTCCCCAGCCACTATATCCCCTACGCCTATAGTTGGCCAGTACTAAATTGCTTCAGTTTAACCATAAAAATAAGCCAATCTAAAACGATATTAAATTGTTTTTTAAGTTCTTAAAATATTTTGTAAGTTATTAGAGAAATACACTAACGTATGGTCAGTTGCATAGTTGTAGTCTGAATTGAAAATAACTGGGCGTAGCGTAGCATTGATCCTTGAGGAACGCTAGAGACTGTGCGTCTGTTGATTGTCGTACTCTTTTGACGACATTTTAGGTAGGAATTTTCAAGGCTAAAGAATTTTCATCAAAACCATAGGCGGAGAACTTTGCAATTGATTTTTTTTGCAGAATCGTTTGTTACGGGTCTGTGCAGAATGATGCAGAATTTTGTTATTCAATAGATTTATCTATGTCGCTAAAAATTTCAGGCCCTCGAAAAGGGGACGTGGTGGTGCGATACGCAGATGACTGAACAAGTCTCATTTAAAAAGTATAGGAAAATAATACTTTGGAAAATTGGTTGCAAAAATCAAATCTTAGTGCTATCCCAGGATCCACGCCATGGGGAGGGGGCAGGGGGCCATGTGCCCCACTTTTACTTCTCTCTATTGTCCAGGGCCGTTTCGTCAACGGAAGTATGATTACCTGCGGGTAAAACTCGGGCATACGTCAGGCAGTTTAAACAGGAACGAGGCTCTTGATGATCACAGAAACGCGATCGTAGGATGAGGGCGAATCAGGTATTTTAAAAGAGAAACCTAATTTATTTTGTAGAAGAACACCGAGATGGAAGCACTTGCACAACACGACTTTAACACGACAGAATCGGATGAGCTGCCATTCAAGAAAGGGGATACACTCAAGGTAATGATACAAGTTCAAATGTCGTAGGAAAAGACATATTGCGGCATGGCAAAATGTTCCAGACGATAACATGGAGTTGTTCCGCATAATAAGGAACTTAATTCAATACTTAACAAGCTCTCACAATTAGGCCAATGTTCTCACAATAGTGTTGTTTTTGTTTATAATAAAGTTTTTTATAATTTCGTAGCTGATACCAGATATGCTATATTCTAGTTTATACTCCTGATCGCTAAGAATCGTAGGATTTGGGCCTCAAAACAATGAACGTTTGATCTCATTATTTCTCAAACGAGAGATAGGCCCGTCCAGAAACATTTAAGGGTAGAGTTGATGCTTTGTGTAATTTATTGCCTAGTAAGAATAAAAAGTATCTATAATAACATTTATTGCCTCACTTAATATGCGATGAACCGACAACATTTATGAAAGAAACGGGAGTTTTTGATAGAAACTGTAGCGGTTAAACCAGCCTGTAAAGTATTTTCTGCGCGGGAACACTCGACAAAATATAAAAAGAAATTCGCGGATGATGGTAGTAGCAAAGTCTTTCGAAGATATCTTGTATTCTTTCCCTCTTGTAATCACGATGTTCCTGCTAGTTAAGTGATGCACTGATTAGTTTCAAATAAACCCTTGAATGTTTATACAAATTTACATTGTTCACCATCATGACCTTTAGATCTGCATAACAGCACAAGCACATATTTCAGTTTCTACTAGAGGCTTTTACATAGTTGCTACTGAAGGATGGAAAGTTTTTCAAATTTTAAATCTTTTAGTTGCTGCAAACTGCACCCTGAAAGAGTTTTTCTTATGCACAACATTAGGGTCAAAATTAATGGTGCACCAACACTTTCAACTTTTCCAGTATTTAATTCAATAGATCTAGTTTTTAGGTGCGCCCTGAGTTCTACCATGTCTGCATGTTGGGTGTGCTGTCGCTATGCCCTGCATTATTGGTTTAGTTAATACAACAAAATAAAATTGATTTTCCTCAGATCAGAACAAATCCAGTGATCAAGGCACAGTTTTCACTTTCAAAGCAAAATTTAGACAGTTTGAAGAATGTTCACTGATTCATTTGAGTTGAGTATAAAAAAGTCTTCATTACAAGCAGGACTTCCAAAAGGTTTCAGAGACCCATGGCCAAAACTAAAAGGACAAGGCCCTGGAGTGAGCAGACAATTTTGCAGCTATGCTCTTCAAATAAGATTAAAATACATTTCAGAATATTTATCACAGACATTTTTTGAAATCATGTGAAATATTTGACTATTTTTAAGCATACGTTCTCTGTGTTTGATTAATTTCCTTCATTACTATTCTACTTGATGCAATTCAACCCCTTGCCCCCTCTCTCGACAGCTCTGATTGTAAGGAAAGTAAAAAGATGTTACCTAAAATTAATATTCAAGTCGTCTGAAATAAAGTTGATTTAGTTGAACAAGCAAGGTCAAATACATTATTGAGCTAATGCAAAACACTGATTTGAACAAAGTATTGTTGTTGGCTTCCATAGACATTTGTATCAACCCGAGTTGATAAATGAAATTCTTGATGATGATGATGATAATAAAATGATAAAGAAATTTTAATCCAAGTTTTGTTGAACCTTTTTCCATAGTTTTTGTTAAGTTTGTTTGGAAAAGCCTAAAAAATGTTTAATTTCTAATGTTTCAAAACTAAATTGCTTTTGTTTGAATAGTTTTGATAAACCTGGTTGCTTTATTATTTCAAAATATTTTTTTTCATTTGTTTCATATGCTGTGGTAACCAACTTTTAGGCTGTTCATCATAATGGACTTCATCACAAAACTTGAAGCAAACTTGCAAAAGGCTAGTCTTTGATCTTGCTCTTTGTGCATATCACTCACACTTAAAAAGTTCTTCAGTCAACAGGACACCCTAAATCTCACCTTTATAGACAGGTCATCTTTTTCTGTACAAACCAAACCAGTAATTACTCCCAGGGACTGTAATCAAATATAATCAAAGCAGTGTTAAACATTTATCAAATCATTTTTCATAATCCTTCAACCTACCAACATTCTCCAGTTCTCAAAACAGGTGTACATTCTCGAGATAAAACTACCTGCATAAATGCTTTGCTTTATTACCCTGATTCCAAACCTTACATACTAGATACTTGAGTTTTGTTGTTGCATGTCCCATCTTTTTCACTACAATGATCCTTTTAAAAGAGTCTTTGGAGATATTAAGTGTTGGAGCTCTTAAGAAACACATGCAAGGGTTGAGCAAGAGCATTGGAAAACTCTAGCTCCAGGAAATTTTATGAGTGGATATGTCAAAACTGGGCTCAATTTAACCCATTTTAACTGAGGTTTATAGAGAAGAAACAAATTATTTATTTTGGTAGATATCTGCTGTCATATCTGCATTTTTTGTTGCAGAAAAGTCTAGTACCGTACCTTTATTAGCATGGTGATGTTTTATGTCATGAAATACAACGCACAAACCTGTCATTTGCATGTCAATTTAGGTTCATTGTAGATTGACAAATGGAATGTTTATGCAAGTTTTATCTTAATAATTTTGTATATCTTATATATATTTTAATGGTCTAGGCATATTTGATGCATTAATTGGGTTTCTCTGTAGATCCTTTCCAAAGATCAAGACAAAAACTGGTTCAAAGCAGAGAATAATGGCAGAGAAGGATTTATTCCTAAAAACTATGTTGAGATAAAACCTCATGAGTATGTATTGAAATTTTTATGCACTGAATTTGCTTTTATTTATATTTCAATCACCAGGCCTGCAATATTTCAATTTTTATCAATGGAGGGAAAAATACTTTGTAATAATGGCTAAAATGGCTAAATATCATCTGAAATGGCTAAGGATCAGCACTTTAAGTATCAAGTCATAGCTTTTTCATTATTATAGAAACCATAGATGTACAGGCTGAGTGTTTATCAATTTAAACAATATTCAGTTGAAGAACTTGGATATGGTGAGCTCCTGATACCTGAGCTGGATTATAAAATGCCTGCCTTCTGCAATGAAGCAGGTGAAATTTAGTTATTCTTGCATGAATTTGTGCACAAAAAGATGCTGGCAGTAATATTACCTCCTGGCACATCAGTGAAGAATTCTGATTGAGAAAAATCCTTTTTAATGTGTAGCACATCATGGAATCATCAATAGAACACCTCTATCTAACCAACCAGTCTAGTGAAAACCATCCCTGGAGGGAAATTTCCGAACCCTGGAGTCTCCTTTAGAAACATCTAATGACTCTGCAATTTTTCAATTTTTCCACATCCCCTGTGAGCTGTGACCCTTTGGCCTTTTGATTGTCTACTGTTTATGACATCCAGTGAAGGATATCTGATATTGGGGAGTGGGGATATTTGGGAGTGGGGATATTGGGGAGTCAACACCTTTTGATATCTTGTTGTAAATTTTTAGTTTGTAGCATTGCATGGAGGTAGTTGAAAAAAGGCATTATGTGTATGTTGAAGGTTAAGGTCAGCTGTAACTTATGAGTGTTTATCACATCCAGTGGTGATATCTAATATTGCCGAGTGGGGATATTGGGGAGTCAACGTTTTTTATATCTCGTTGAAAATTGTTTAGTTTGTAGCATTGCATGGAGGTAGTTGAAAAAAGGCAATTTTTCCTTGTCTCTGCCTGTCAGTAATTATCACACTGAACAAGTCCTCCCCCCGCCCTAGTTGTTATGATGGTCAATTTTGTTCACATCTCATTTCATTAGAGATCTTGAAGCAACTAACTTATTAACACATTAAAAATATTATATGTAGTTATAAAAACAAAAGAATAATTAACATAATTAGCATTGTAAGAAAAACGAGATAGATATGAAAACGAAGTTATACAATGTAAGAATTACCCTGTTATAGTCTGCCCCTCCAAACGAAAAAAAATAAGAATACAGTCAGAATTTTTTCTTCGTTTTAATATTACACGATACAATTTTGTTTACAAGCTTGTTATTTGTTGGTATAACTACACAGAGGTGGAAAAAGTATCGGAACCTGGGAACGTAGTTCCCAGAAATTTTTCTGGATGGAAATATTAGCAGAAAGTTTCACAGAAAAGTTTTGAAGTGTTAAAGTAAATGTAAAAATCTGGTGACAAGAGTTAAGTCAAATCAGCATTTAATGTTATTTCAACTTGCCTGTAAGCATCTAAATATGAGCTGCCAATGGACTGTTGGGTATAGCCTCTTTCCATTGGAAAGAAATTCTTTGTGCACATTAACCATCTCACAGAAATCTCAACCACTCACCATCAAAATTTTTTTTGGCAGCTGAGCTTTTTAGACAAACCATTGTTTAGACTGAGATTAATATAGGGACTGGAATCTACTTTCACGGAAATTATTTCTTGTACTATGGTGTGAGCAGCATTGATCATAAGTTAATATACTTGGTTAAAGTAATTTGGTGCATATTAGGACTCCATTTCAACCATATATTTCTTCACACTTGTCAAAGAATAGGCTGTGTTAAGCTTTCTCCGTAAAATGCACCATACAATTCAAATGATTTTGCCCCTGATTCTTCTGAAACTATGTTTAGAAATTATTGCCTTCTGATTTTGGTTTTTCCATCCCGATGATTGACTAAATGCATAAATTTCTGGCTAAAGTTGATTTCCATCTTATGTGCATTTATGCATCAAGTAAAGCCATATCTAATATGTTGAGTTAGGCCTACTCAGAGTCAGTTTCATATAAACGTCTTGAATTTCTTCAGCTAAATACAGTATTGTAGGCACAAACAGAAAGTTTGTTTGTCTACCCCTTGAAATCTTGCAGAAAGTTTTTAGCCAGATACTTAGGTTCCCAGAAAGAAAAAAGTTTTTTCCACCTCTGTAACTACATATAGCAATCCTCCTTCCTTATCCTATCGAATTATTATTTTTTTGCAAAACAATTTTACAGCAGATAAAAAAACAATTTCGCCGTGGTCTTGAAAAATTCCAGGTTGTCAGTTACTTCTAATGCTAGCTAGGTAAGAAGCAGCACTGGTTGTCAATTTAGATCCCTCTTTCCATCTTAGCATGCCTTTTGAATGTTAAAAAAATCTGGAGCTCATAGTGAATTGCAGTTGACGCTTCTACTGAGAAACTTTAGGAGAACATGACACAAGGCACAATTTTACCTAAAGAGGGCCTGGATTTTTAGATTTATTGCCAACAAGCAATCTTCAAATCTTCAAATCATTAGTTTGTCTACCTTCATTCATATCAAGGAATATCAAATTTAACCAACGGAGCCGCTACCTTTGCTTGATCCTTTATTGATTTTATGAGATGAAGGTCTCTGAAATGCATAAAGCGTTTCTTCCACCGAGCCGATTTTACCTGAAATTCCCTATTGAGATACTATTGTGTGACACCCCCCCCCCTACACCCCCCGGTCGCGACGCCCCTGCTAATGATTATTATAGAGTAATGTAGACTAGCGTCCAGTCCTATTATATTGTCTGCAAGATTTAGGTTTGGTAGTCAGTGGAGTCATTTATACAGTCTGGTTAAAAAATCACAAAGAATTATGGAGAGGATCTTTATCTTGATCCTCAACCATTGTTATTTCAAAGTTTTCATCCATATCTTATCATTTATGCCAACATCGGTCAAAGTCAAAATCAATGTCATCACTTCATTGCTTTTGGCTTTTATTTAAATGGAAAGATGTATGTAATCGGTTTTGTTTTTCTGGAGTTTTTCTGATGAATGCTCATGCTTGGAGTATGATTCTGCGATAAAAAATCATTTTGTGCAATAAACTGCTCTAAGATTTTTTCGAGTTTCGCAGTTTTGAATGCTGTTTCATAAGAATATCCTTAGAAACATATGCTTTTGATATAAGAAATATATAAAATATGTAAAAAAATTGGAACTAAAAATTCGAAAATCACTCTCATCATAATCGAACACACTGAAGCGCGGAAATCTCATTCCTTGAAAAATAAGCACTGGCATTGCAATGCTGGAAATATCTATCTTGTTTTGTTTCACTGTGTGTCTTAGAAGCTCAGAAAAGTTCATTTTTCCACGTATTCAGCTTTATCGACATGGCCCAGTTTTAACTTGAGTTTTTGTTGATAGTTTTCATATTATTTTGTTTACTTGACAGGTGGTTTATGGGGAAATTAACGCGAAAAGATGCTGAATCAAAATTACTCAACCAGCCACATGATGGTGCTTTTCTAATTCGAGAGAGTGAGAGTACTCCTGGTAAGCAGTTTACATGTCAGGATGGGTATTGACACATCTATATTACTTAAGGAAGAAAGTAGGCATTGAATTTCCTGCATTGTTATAAATATCCTCCGTGCAATTTTTGTTATCAAACCATTATTTTTAAATGTGACAAAGAAGATGCTCAGGAAAAAAAATAATCCGCTCTTTGACCTCCTGTTAAAATACAAATTTTTCACAAGTTATATGGATTTCTCTTTTCTTCAAATGCAAGCGTTTTACGAAAGTTGGTACAAGAGGTGGACTTACCCCCTGCCCCTGCTTACGACGCCCCTTTAATTTTTCAATTGGCTTTATTAGAAAAAGCGATAAAATGTCTTTTTTATATGTTTTATACATTTGAAACAAGATTGTTTTTTAAACCTTATTATTTCCTTTTCTAGGTGATTTCTCCTTATCTGTCGTGTGAGTTTTACTTTGTTACGTTTTGGTTTCTTATTGCATAAATTTCAAACCCTGTCAATTGCATTTTGGAAATAGTTATTTGGTTTGACGAGTTTTATTTCGATGGATTGTGACTTAATTTGATCAGAATCGTTTTATTTCTTTCTGAGTTGTTATTTTGATTTGTGTTACTGGCTTTTTTTAAGCCCGGAAGGCTCGAAGACATTGACAAATTTTTTGGTTGTACAAAGTTTTAGAAAAGGCTTTAGAAAGCAAACATTTTGAATCATGGTAGGCTAAATTTTTTAAAAATGCAAAAGCTTTTCCTCTTTTACGTCGACAGATGAAGTTTGTTTTTGCCCTTAGGCCCCATTGGTCGTTTTTCTTTAGGCAAGTGGCACATCTTGGATAGCCTTCACAATCATGTGCTCGCATTTCTGATTGGCCTATCTCGATACACAACTAGGTGTATTATTTTACTAGCTAATTGTTTCGACCAATGTTCTAACGGAATATCTTTTGTACCTTAGAGTTAAATTTTGAAAATGGGCGTTCCCATAATTTTCAGTGACTTTAAAGGTGTGGCACAAAAATCCAATTAATGTCTAACAACCTCCCCCCCAATCATTGGTCTTAATTCCGTCTCTGGCTGCTAGATTGTCTGGTGTCGACTCACCAGAGAACAATTGTACGCTAAATTTCGCCGCCTATCAAAGACATTCCTTTTGCGTTCATAAATTTATTCTGAATTCCGCAGACCAAGCTCCATTATTCCCAAAATTTAATTTCATGCGATAAGGTTTCGCAGAAGTATCTTTATGCGTAATATTTCTCTTTCAAGGCATAACAAAAACGTACAGCATTTCAAAGTTTTGCGAGATGGCGCAGGCAAATATTTTTTGTGGGTCGTGAAATTCAATTCGCTCAACGATCTAGTTGAATACCATAGAACGTCATCTGTCAGTAGATCGCAGGTCATCTACCTGAAAGATATGGTTAGCGGAATGGATGGCTCGGTGAGTTGAGTTATTCGAATCACTTTCTTACACATGCCTTAATGTTTGGTTCAGTGAAGTTATTTGAGCATTTATACGATTGTATGGGTTGCATATATTCAAAATGTCGAGAGAAAAAATTAAGTGTTTGCCACAGTCATGAAAAATTGTGTAATAAATTGACTGAGACTCTCTGTAATCAAATTACGCAATTATCTTAGGACAAAACTTTTTGTTCACCCCCTGAAAATTTCAATACATAGAACGTTTTTTTATAAATATCGCATAATAGTCGCAAGCTTCGGTCACAGCAATGCCTCCAATGTAGGGAAGGGGCTGTCCCCCACTCTTTTGCAAAACATTAAAGCTTTTATCAAAATCTTTTATTATGGGTTTTAAATTTCATCTTTAAATTTAAATGGACTTTTGAATTTTGAAGTTTGAAATGATTAAGGTCGTGATTCTCTACAAAGGTCGGTTCAGATTTTTAAGTAATTTATTTTAAATTGGTTTTAGACTTACGTTCTTCAACGAAGAATTTAGTTTTATATAAAGGCTGATTGTTGCATTCTAATTGACTGCTCTTAAATTTATCGTAGGCTCAAGACAGCAAACTGCATCGAAATGTGAGTGTTAATAATAATAAAAATGAAAATATCAAATTGATATCAAATTGACAAATCTCTTATATTTAATTAATCCTCCCCACTATGATTTCCTTTCAAATAGCAGCACACTTTGAGAATAGAACCTGAAGCAGCAAAATTGATTTTATTCATATTTAAAAGCGTCTTAAAGAATTGTGTTTAGATATTCCACCAAAGTTTTCTTTGGCTAGCGACCCCTTTGATCCAGGGCCTATGCCAAGAATCTGAAAGTGGGGGAGGGGCAAGGCTAGAAAAAGTAGGGGGCCAAGGGGGGAGCATGGCCCCTCCGGGCTCTGTGATCATATCCACAAAGTGTCTGTAAAGTTTGCGATGATAGCAAGCATTCAGCTTTGTTACCAACTAATCAATAATGACACAAATAATGGGTCACACATTGAAACCAATCTTCTCCAAATGGGCCCTTGCTGATTTTTTAATAGCTGAGAATATGGCAAGGTTTTTGTATGTTTTGACGCTTTTTCGGCGGACTGCAACCTCTGGGGTCTATGAGGCTTGCGTCTTTCAATAGAGAATTCAAGTGGCCTGCGGTTTGAATTTTGAAAGCGCGGGAATGAAGTTGCACGGGAATGGCTCAACATATATTTTTTGCTGAAGACCGTTAGAAGGCCATGTCAAGAACAACGGACACCAAAATATGTTAATTGCGTGTGACACTTTATCCAAACAACGACAATATATTGTGTAAGTAATTAAAGCACCAAAACTGAATAGACCGGTAAACATACGATTTTTCCAGTATTTACATGTTATATTGTCGTTACCTACTGCCATGATTATACACTTGTTTGATTGCGGCTTTCTGGTTGAATTGTACACGGTTTGCATCTTTTAACAATTGGCATAGATGGCATAGAGTTCTTAAGTGTGACTCGTGTAAATCAATTTTAAGAAATTTTGAATTTTGCCACATAATCTAAAAGAACACCACTGTTTACTTTAAACATGCAAAAAGAGTTAAATAGGTCACCAAAAATCGGTTGAGATATGGCCAATTTCTGATTTGAAGTTTGCTAACGGAATCCTGTTATTCTGGCTCTATTCATAAAGTTATGAACAGTGACGAAATTACAAAGGTTTGTTGGGAAGAGACCCTGTGCTCATTGGGCTAATTCGTAATACATTTAGCTAATTTTGCACCTTTTAAAGGTATTTCTTGGTGCTCTTTTAGGTTATGGGATCCCAATTCACGTAAACTGAAACGATATCTTCTTCTTGTCAGGTATACAGAGCTTCGTTCGACTTTGCTGCGCAGGATGATGAAGAAATATCTTTTCGTCGTGGTGATATAATAAACGTGACACAAAAGTATAACGAAAACTGGTGGATCGGAACAGTTAACGGCCGAACTGGAATGTTTCCTGCCTCCTATGTCACTCAGGTGGATAAACAGTAACTGTGAATTGGAACCCGGTTGATGGGAGCAAAAGCCGATTTTCACGAAACCGAACACCAACAGTAGCCTATACATTGAAACTTTGCCTAAAATTATGTATGCGAGAAGATACGTCACTTTCAGGTAATTTTCCCCTTTGTAATATTTTGATTTGTTCTTGGCCGAATGTATAAAAGGACCTGGCCTTTAATATTTTGATCTGCAATAATCACGCGTTATTATTTTGTGTCATGTGTTATTTGAGTTTGAAAATTCTGCTATAATTATTTGTAATAACTAAGTTGACTGTTTTGCCGCAATAAATTAGATTTATCGTTGTTATCTAGCGTAAGCCGCTTATTAGATATCTAAACAAATCTTTTGCAATAAAACTGTCATTTTTTCGCCATCTCAACTTATTCATGGTCCTAAAACATGACGAAGAAATCAATGATTGGAAAATAGTACCTAATACTTTTCATAGGATAAAGTTTGAATAAATTCTAGAGATGCGTTGCGTCACATAGATAAAATGACTATAAACAGAACTTAAAGATGGCTTCAACAAAAGCAAAAATTTCAATATGTTGTGAAATGTTTGTTTTTTTCAGAGCTTTTTTAAGTTCTGTACCGCAAAAAACTATAGTCAGAACACTTAACCTGGTTTCAAAGAACCATTGACCAGAAGACGTTTATCTAAGGGGGGTGGGACTCGAGGTTTGGCATGAGGCTCATAGTTTTTCACATATGTCAATTCGTTTCAAGGGCACGAACATCATACCAAAATGCATCTGCATTGACACTTTTGCTTATAACGTTTGTTAGTATATTTTCAAAATGCCTGTCTAAAGGTTTCGTCTGCATTTTTGACAAAGAGTTCTTTTATAGATTGCAGGAAGCGTCCTAAAAATAGAACACAGCCAAGCACAACACCATGTTATAATCCCTAATACATGTAAAGTAAAACTTTGGGATGCAAATTTGATTCTTTTAAAAGCAAGACTGAGTTTTAAAGATCAAGAAACTGAAACATATGTAGATGATTAGTTTCAGGTACTTACGTTCGCTGACAAAATTTTTATTTGATATCGAAAAAAGTTAAGAAATAAAAACGCTGTGCCTGATCAATTTGAGACAACCAATTACAAGCCAAGGTTTTGGAGTCACATAGTCATAGAGACGTTGCATGCCCCGCACTTTTTGACTAATTTGGTATCTTAGATATTTCAGATTGTTCCTGGCAAAACTGAACCCTTGTTTTATAATATACAACCATCTGTTCAATATGGAAAAGCTGTAAAACTTTTTGGGTTTTTATTTGGCATGGTATGTGAATCGCCGACAGTCTTTAGTCGTGCATCTGCAACTCTTCCAAGATTCTATGGGCGTCTACAAATTTTTCTTGTCTCTAAAGCGTGGATAAATAAACCAAAATAAGCGTACAACCAAAACGTTTTATTTATCCAAGAACGACGGTATGAATGGGCATCAAATCTGAGGTGTTTATTTGTGGGTTTGCAGCGTTTCCGATTGGCATTATGGTATTTGTTGTTATAAATGTGTGAATCGTTATTTTGGCGCATTTATCGGTAAAGATGTTTTAGATATTTTCAAAAAATTTATCGGTAAGAATATTCATAAAATAATTAGAGATGTTTGGACTCCATCAAATTTTGCACAAGGCTGATACCCCGAAGCTAATTCAAAAAATGCTTGAGTGTTTCACTACTGTACAAAACCGAATACGCGTTTTTAATAAGAAACTTGAATCAGTACTATAGCACCCAGGTTTTTGTGTTAGTAAAATTTTTTGTGTCAAATTGCCTTTTTTGTTTTGAAGTTAAGCATAAAAACGCAGAACGTTACTAAAAAACCCATGCAGATCAAATTCCAAGGTATGGCATCTTTTCCAAAAAAAATCAACAAACTAAAAACTATAGGCAAAGAAGTTGGTTAAAACGATCTATATCAAAATCATATTTACACCACGAATATCATCAAGAATTATATGGTCCTCGGAGGTGTCTCTAGATAGAACTCGGCACTTGTTATTCACTCTCTTTTTGAAAATGGAAATATTTTACTTTCGTAATTTTTCTTGAACCTAGTACAAATGTTTTTTATTTTTTTTAGCCATCCTAGTACTTGTTTCTTATAAACCAGTTCCTTATAGAAAAACGTGCAATCATACACTTGATGTTCCGAATCCCCTATATGAGAGTGAGAGGAGGACTTGCCAGTTCGGGTAGAAGCGAGAGGCAAGACAACAAGAAACCCAAGGGGGAATTCTCTATTGTAAATGGCAAACGAGATTTCTAGGGATTTACCCATAAAACAATAGGATTTCTGCCAAAAATGTATGATATTTCTGTTGATGATTTTCTTTTAAAGAGAGCACTCCTGGCTCATATCTTTTGTATTCTGTAGACATTACGATTACGTTGACAAACACATCTGTAGACATTACGATGCAAATTACTCACAACTGGACATGCTACTGCAGAATTTTGGGCTGACTGGACAGCTTCTCCAGACAGAAACATTTTTCGTGCTTGATAAATCAGTCAACTACCACTCCTCTAGTATCTTCTACAAGTTTCACTAAATTGTCTGGCAAAGATCTGGTTCTACCGTTAATGATTAAAAATTGACAAAATTCATTTTCTTATTTTTGTTCATAACAATAATGACAATAACGAAACCCCTTTCTACTTAGTCGTTTGAATGCAACATTAAGATTCTCAGGAAAATGAATTCAATTATTTTGATACCTAAAAATGTTTTGTCTGAAAGGCCCAATTTTAAAGAAGATTGATAGCTAGTTACTGCTCGTGACAGATAGATGAATGGAATAAAAAATATTTAACTAATGTATGGCTTAAGAGTTTTTACTACAGCTGTAGTTCAGTATTCGATTCGCCGTTGATCAGCTGTATCGCTGACCCGCCCTAGGCCCTCTTAGTACAGGTCTCTTGTTATGTCTCTTATTAGACAATTCCATTTATGTATATAAGAGTTTTCAAAAGGCAGCAGGTGAGTTCATTATTACTTGTTTAATAAGCACGCTACCTGTTCTTGCCGAAAATATGAAAATTTCTATCGAAACAAATGTTTTTGTTTGACCAACATACCAGCTCAGTACTGTCAATCTCTCATCATTAATTTTCGCCTTCCGAAATTCATTTACTTCACATACAGAGAATATAATGTTTTTCATACGCAATTTTTCAATTTGCTGAAATGTGGCAAGAGTAAATTCGAATCTTCACTGCTGTTCGAAATTTCTTAATTATTCCTTTAATCTTTAACCAAATAATGTCAAAGTCAATTAAAAATAATCATTAAGGAAACTTCCAGGTGTGGGCCAACAAACAATACGAAACGAAGAATCGTAATACACGGGTGGGGTACGAAACTCGCTGTTGTTCATCCAGATTCAATAAAGCGATTATAATTCCTTCTAACCACAAACCGTAAAACCAATCCGTATCGAAAATCTATTTAGTCGTCATCAGGAGAAAAAATGTCATATTCGTGCAACAGTTCAGCTCCTGTGCTCGATAAATATCCTCCAAATAAAACGAAAGGTACCACAATAGAAAACACTTTAACTAAGCCAAGTTTCGTTTTGTCAGGCTTTGGTGAAACAGCTCCAGATCTAAGATGTATAGTCGCTTGAGTAGACTCCATTTGCACCTTTATATTCATACACTTGGCGATGTTATCAACAGACGTCTGTAACTGCTTCCTCTGTTTTGCTGCAACCCACCACAGCTGCTTTGAAAATACTGATAGAGCCATCAATGCATCAAGTTACGCCCTTTAAAAATTACACCGGCCTCCTTAGCAATACTTTTTGAAACACAATGATATGCAACTTTAGTGATGTAAATGCATACCAACCACTCGCATTCTCTATCACCTCATACTGCAATCAGAGAATATTCTGTGCCGACATGCAGATAATATTCGATTGCCACTGCTACTGTTCAATGTTCTGCAACTCTAATGTTGTTTATGATGTTTAATCAATCGAGAATAATCTTCTTGGTTCCCTGTGTTAACCGCGGGTGTAACCAAGCGACTCGCCACGCCATTGTTGGTTGTCATGCTCTGCACAGATCCTCTTGATCCACAGCCATTAATTTGGTTATTGATACGAATGTAAAAGTGTTTGTGGTCTGGTGTCAAACTATAAAGCAGATAGTTTTGACCGGGAATTGATATTTTCGATTTTGATGCTAGTTTCCGTTTTCTAAGGACATGTTTACAAGGAGGTAGAGTAGCCCTACTGGTTACCCCACCGCAACAGTGACTGTTTACAAGCAATGTCCTACAGCTGGGGTACGAATTAGGGTTACCTTTCCATCCTTGTAAACGGTCCTCTTTCATTATCTGTAATTTGTTAAGCAGCAGAGCGAAACATTCCGTAGTTAATACCCACACATTAATGAATTTAATCCACACAAACGTTTTTATACTTTGCGTAAACGTTTTTAACAGCATTAGTTAAGAATTTTAAAACAAGAGATTTCTCCATTGTCAGTGTATAGAATTTGTTTATGAATGAAACGGTGTCATGTGTATACATACAAAAAATGTCATTGTATCCTCAATGGTTATACTGGAGAGATGAAATTTTCTGAAATAAGGTCTTCTCGGTCTCAAACGTTTTAATTTAAAGATAAGGAACAACTGCCAGTGTAGGTGTGCAGCAATAGGAATTTCTATGAGTACAGCAAAATCATACCGCCTGCGGTGTAATTGGCTCAGTTCTATGTTTAGCATAACGTGATATAAAAATTCAAACGGATTTTACTATTAATCGCTTATCTTTTAATGAGCAGTAATCTGAAACAATGGATTTTCGCAAAAAACAGAGGCCTTTCTAATGAATTTTTTCGAATAAATTTAAAGACCATAAAGCAGTTTTTCCTTACTGGCTCATAGGCAACGTGTTATATGGAGGTAGAAAGGGTTGGGGGTTGGGGAGGGGATTGCAAATTCTCCTCTCAAAAGAATTTGAAGTGGGATATTGATCTCGGATACTTTGTCCCAGAGCGTGGAAGTGCTCTCTTTAGTTAGGATCTTGACATTGGGAGAGGGGGCCAATTTTTTTAGAAACATAAAGAAATGAAATGTATATTAAAATTTACGTACAGAGGTAATGCACAAACATATACTACATACAAACCAACAGGGTAGAAAGTTGAGTGGCAACATGTACCCATTTTCAAACTTAGTACATTACATATACACATTGCAATTTACACACTGCATATATTTGTTCCTCTATCTGCAAACGTTTTGGTTTGGGGACCCTCTAGGGTATTAGAGGTCCAGGCTCCCTCTAACGGCCCCCTGCTCTTAATAAACAGGCAACTAAGAAGGGCCATGCCCCCCACTTTTTTGGGAAGCAAGTAGTTTTAAAGCTGCTGTAAAAGGGAAAAGTCTTGGCCCCCTTCATTTGCTAGCCTTGTCCCCCCACTTACAAATTCGTGGCGTAGGCCCTGCTAAGGCACATCACTGCGCTTATTCACCCTTTACTTTCCTCTGGGTACCAGAGCCTCTGTGAAAAAGATGGTCGAACAATTCCCACTCTTTCACTGAGGCCTTTACTTGGAACTCATATTTTCACCACATTTAAGAGCAGGCCCGTAGCGTTTTAACAAGTTTTAATTTACATAAGTTCAACAAAATTCTTATTAAATTGCAAAGATGTGCCCCCCCCCTTCGCCAAAGGCTCTGCTATGTCGTAATAAGAACTGGCCGAAACTGGAATAACATCTCTAGAGGTAAGCTAAGGTACCAAACGGTTAGCGCTAAAGATAATTGAATCCTTAATTTCTTTTCATTCAAAAGTTCTAAAGCTTATAACTTCCCGCTTTACTAAAGACATATCTTGTCCTCCAATAAGCACTGGCTCGATAGTTTGGGGTCTGGGATTTTGGCCGTGTTTGGGGTTCTTCAAAAATTGGCTTGGTCAATGACTAGGGAAAAGCTAGGTTTCATTCTTTCAGTTACTTTCTTTTAGTTACTATTTTAACTAGGAGTATTATTTTGACATTTTATGATATGACCGTTTTGGATGGATACTTTCTGGGTTATGGTTTTGGCGCCATGACTCATACCATTGAGACAACATCCCCCTTTCCTAAAATACAGTGTACCTTCTTAGGCTATTTCCTCGAACAAATCCAAAAGTGCCATTTGGTTCGAAACATTTACAGTGATTTCAAACAACAATGTGAACAGCGCACCATCACCATGATAATTCGAGTCCCCCCTCTCGAGTCTCGTTCCGTCATAAAGCGAAAGTGGAGACGAGGCTCTGCAGTACACATTGGCCTAAACTAAAACAATTTGTTTTTCGTTCTGCATGTAAAAAGTACACTCTATTCTTTGTCTTAGGTAGCATATGATTTGCTATTTAGTATAGAAGTATGACTGTTGGCATAAGACACAGATCCAACAAGCATGGAATCGAGAAGGTAGACGAAAAAGAAGGCGACGAGCTTTGTCGAATGCCTTCTGGAAAACAGCACCAGGATGACAACAAAGCAAATGAAAAGAGTTCCAAACTGACAAGAGATGTTGAAAGTGGCACTTACTGGTTGACGAGAGTCCTATATCTTCGATATCTTGCTTTTATATATTGTAAGTTTATCACTTTATACTATTCAGTCTCATGTAATTCCGCAAAGATAATCCTGTTTATTGATATATCATGGCGAGATAGTAGTGCCATCCAATGTTTTCAACTGTTCATTTGTTTCTCCATAAATTCTATCATAAAAATACACACCCAGTACGAGAATGGTAACTGTAAAATTAGATAAAAAAAATTAAAGAACATCTACAAGATATAGAAGAAAAAATTGATAAAAATATACAGAACAATAAAAATATCATTTTAAGATAAAATAATGCATGAAATATATCCAAAAAGCAGTGGCTTTCTTATTATTTTGGAAATGACTGATATCAGGTGCAAGTTAGGGAAGCACAAGAAACAAGAACATCAGAAAGTTATTTACCGTAAGTTAATGTTACATGGATAGTCTCAGTTAACTGGGTCAGGTTTAAGAGAAATTTACATACTGCCTGTACTTGTTTAATCCCTGCTTGTCCTTTAAAATGTCTTAAATCATTGCCCCCATTCAAACCAATCTTTTCAAAGAACCCTTCATGGGGTATGTCTTTCATTTTTTTCCTTTATTATCCTTAAGAAAAGTTCAGAATGATTTCAAATATTATGTTGCTTCATTTTATTGTTTTTTGAAATAACCAGGTACATCCATCTTTGAAATTTGTTTTATAAAAGCAAATTATTTTAGTGAAATTAACAAACATGTAACTGTAAGTTCAACTCTTAAGTTCAACTCTGAATTCTAGTTTGCATATTAAAGATTCAATCTGTGTATTTTAAATTCTATTATCCTAGAAATTTAAGGCTGTTTGATTCACCTAAGTAACCTTTTGCTTTTTTAGTCATTGCATTTCTGGTTGCGCTTAAACAAAATAAACAGCTCATTGGTAAGCAAGGACTTCTCCCTGCCAACAAATTTATAGAGCAGATCAATGCCCACTTTGGAAACGATGTCAAAGCTAGTTTTTATGCTGTACCATCATTACTGATTTTTCTTGATAAAGAATCAATTGACACATGGCTTGATGCTATTGCATATCTTGGAATTGCATTATCACTGATTGTTTTCATTTGTGGTGGCTCTAACATATTAGTCATGGTGTTACTCTGGCTACTTTATCATTCTTTGGTTAATGTTGGACAAAGATGGTAATTACTTGATTTTATTAGATAATGTTATAAATTTAATTTCCTGTGACCTTTTCATCATATTAATAGCAAAAAAGTTAAGAAAGATTAATAGCCTCATAAGAACATATTAATTGATTGCACACTAGTTCTCTCTACTTAAAAAGGGGGTGGCTTAAACTCAAGTGTAACTTTCACAGCATTTAGAGGATAAATATTTCTGGCTTACACTGAATTTGACATAAAATGAGCATCCTTTCTAGAAAAAAGTTAATATAGATATTTAAACCACGTTCTGGAATCACTGCTCTATTTCATCCCGGTAAATTACTTATTGCACTCCTTTTTAATTGTTTTCTATATTTATTTCAACAAACAGTCAAGTGCATTGATACACACGATACTGCAAATATATTATATATGCAATTCAAAATGTACATTTTGTGACTCTTAACATGGTCTCAAAGGCAGAATCCAACATTGTCCCTATTTATGTTGCCGGATTCTATTCTTATTCTAAATTTGATTTTCTTTTAGGTATTCATTTGGTAAGTATGCTGTGGTTTTTATAAATATTTTATAGAAGGAAGCTTTGGCTTACAAGGTGGTGGCAATAACATTTTGATGATGCTTAGTTAAAAAAACAAAACTTTTTAGGCTACTTTTTTGGTGTAAACCATGCATCAATTAGTTTTTCACCGAGGTAAATGGATATGCTGGAAGAGATTTAGGGCATGAAAATGGCAACAAACACCAAAGGTTTAAACAATAGCAAATAAAAAACCAAGTGTTCCCAATGTTCCCAATCTAGCATGTCTATAAGATGATGCTCTTTTTGAAAAAGGAAAACCAATTTTTATAGGGTTCATTTGTAAGGTTTATAGAAAATGGTAGTTCCCAAGGATAACCAAGAATAAGTCAGAAAAGTACTTGATTCATTCCAATTTAATATTAAATTTTGACACATTGAAATGAATTTCCAAAGGTCTTAGATTGTCCACCAAAACCTACAACTGCAAAGTAAATGCGAATACCTAGATCTCCAAAGGAAACAGATAGGAAAAGTTATTTTTTGAGCCCCACGAGTATGTGTTGAAATTTCTGCTTGGTGATATCCTTTGGATCAGTAATATTCTATCAGATTTTATTTGAGAATATAAAAGCAGTGAAAAGCTGAAGGTACATTCAACCTCATATTTTTCATATCAGCAAGGACTTTTAAAAGGCTGCATTTGTGCACAACCCAAACTTAAAAAATTGGCAGGATTGGTTTCAATCACCCGCAAAAGTGTTTGCTACAAAATTTAATTGCCACCAAACTAAGAAGTCAGCTAGCACAGTTTTAATTGAAAAGTGTTCTGACTAAATGTCAATCTTCTCAATCTTCATAATTTGTGATTTCTTCTCAAATACTCAACGAAACCCGAAATTTAGTTATGTTTCCATAGCATGATTGTTATTAAATGCTTTTTATTTTTAGGATGGGAGTCACAGTTGCTGGAGACGGGGTTTCTTGCAATCATGTTTTGTCCTCTGTTTAGTATGCAGAAGTACCCAACAGATACATCACCATCATGGGTAGCTATCTATGGTAACAGATGGCTGATATTCAGAATCATGCTTGGAGCTGTGAGTTTTTTCTTTGAAAATATTATAGATAGTAGTAGTGGAGCAATTTGTGGCCCATAGGAAGAATGCCCCAGTGCCCCTTGGTCTTCTCGAAATTCATATGCTCTCAGTGTCCTAACTACCTCCGGATGCTAGGTAGAAAGAAATACAAATTGCCTCCATTAAAGTTGCTGGTAATCAATGTTAGACGTTCATGGCTTGGTTACGGTAACCGCAGTAAACAAATAATTGAATGCGGCCTCTATGTTTGACCCTATTGAACTTTTACCCCATTTTCGGCCTAGGTTTGATCCCTCAAAATTTTGCAGCTAATTAAAGGCAGTATGCCCCCCATTGTTCTCATTATCTCTTTTCATGGTCACAGTATTCATACATCGTTGATTTAATGCACAAGCGAGGAGTTGCTATGAATTTTGATTCGGCTGCAAATGTCTAAGTCAGATTCGATGATATAAAGATTAGGCATTTTTTGTCATGTTCACTCATAAAAACTAATGTCGGATGCGAAAAAGGCAGAGGAAGACCCTCTTTTCAGGCGAGGCTTTCAGGTTAGAATTAGCCTATCACGAAGGGGACAGACTGCCTTTAACTGACCACTGAAGGTCAGTCTTTCTGTGTCAGCTGATGGCCTGTGGCTGTGTAGTTTTATTTATATGTCGAAACCAACAAAATAAGCATGAATGAGTTGTGAAAGGCATTAGCACAACCACAAAGTCGCTAGCGAAGCGTTCTAGCTGATAATCTTCTTATTGCAGCAAAACCTTTACCAGACGCACACTAATTAGATTAAAGCAGCTATCCGATGTAAAAAACAGCCATAGTCTTTTAGGTTGCTTTCAAACGACATTTCCATAAATGCAAAATTTAGAAGGACATTTTTCCGTCGTTTTATAGAATTTTCTACAACAAAGTGTATTAATTAATTCTTTTGAACTTCGATCCCCAAAACCTTGCCTGGTGACTGGCTTCAATTTCTATTATCATTTCCCCCTAGTGGCCGTAAAATCTTTTGATTTTCAAGCTTTAATTTGCCTAATCCAGATTTTTTATACCAGTTGTCATAGCATAATCCAAAACAAACAGTATTCAGACTTTGAAGAGGAGCTCGACATCTTGGATTAATAGCAAGATCGATCTTTCGTAGCAAGGAGGGAAGCTAAGGGAAGGGTGATCTGAGACAACTGTCCGAAGCCCTGCCCGAACGACTAATGAAGTTATAAAGTATAAAAATTTTATGGGAATGTAATTCGTATTTGTCAGTTTTGTTGATTTTTTGGTCTTCCACTTAAAAGCTGAATTCACTCAATGAAGTGTTATTCTTCTCGGAAACATTTGCTAACAATCCCACGTTTTTCTGATTGGCCTTTTTCGGTCCATAACTGGGTATGCATTTTCCTTCTTCTTCATTTGAACCCTTGTTCTGACGTTTTATACTCTGAAGATGTCAGACCAAAAAGCCTTTAGTATGTAGAAAAATATTTGCTACTTTTCAAAGCAGTTTTCAAATTTTGTACCCCCTAAAAAAAGTTTCAAATCATTGATTGCATTTAAGGGACTGATAAAGATAAGAGGAGACAAGTGTTGGAGAGATTTGACATGCATGAATTATCATTACCAGGTCAGTGTTTTAAACTCTGCATATATCTATCTATTTTCTTGCATAACTATGCATCTCAGAATACTTTCTGGGTACTCTTGTATGCTTAATTGTAGGGGAGGGTCATATTGCATTTTTTAAATTTTTCACCCTTTATAGCATTTTATAACGACCCCCCCAATTTTATGTAAATCTCAAAGGACGATCAACCCCCTCATTTTATTATTAACCCCCCCCATATTAGACATTTTAAACTTCTCAGAAAAAAAATGGTTTTGCTCCATACAAAACTCTTTTTAAGGAAAAATAAATTAAAATTTCAAAAGCGTTTACTCATTGTCATCATCCATTTTTAAATTGTCTTTTAACTCTTTTTTTTTGCTTCTCGTTCTTGAGCTCTACGCCTCTGCCATTCACCAGCTAACATGTTTGATTTTTTGACTTCGAACTAGTACTTAATTTAAAAAGCGCATGCACTTGCAATTTCTCACCCCCCATTTTATTCTCACCCCCTTCCCCATTCTAGATGCTTATTTACGATTTTCCCTGTAGTTCATTTTATTACGACCCTTCCGCTTTATGAAAATCTAGGAAAATGTCTACCCCCCCTCTTTATTCGACCCCCCTCACAATCAAGCACACAAGAGTAATAGAAACAGAAATCAATGGTTCCAAAGTAACCATGTCTGTTTTTGGGTATATGCTGTTGCATTCTCAAACTAAACGAGGATGTTACCAGATATCTGATGCCATCAAGAATGAAACCAGGAGCTACAACCTGTTTAGTTCTAAAAGTCAAAGTTCTGAAAAACAGTAGAATACTTGATTCTTGTTGTTTTCCAAATTGTATTTATCTAATTTAATGACGTCATTTTGTTTGATACTTGCTATAGTAACAGCGGTACTGAGATTCTTGGAGCTGCTCTTTGTTCAAAAATCTTCTCTCCTAGACGCAACCAGTGCCGAATCCTGTCAGTTATTACCTTCACCAATCACCTGAAGTCATCCACAAAATCGAGACTTTAGGCAACCATTTTGTCGAACTTGTCGCCCCTTTCCTTCTGTTTTTGCCAAGACCATTCAGGATTACTGGGGGCATCATTCAGATACTGTTTCAGGTAAGCAAAAAAGATAACAGGGTTGTCCCAATGGAATAAACATTTAAATGCGGTGTTTTCTGTTATGACATTTGAAAGTACTATTTTTGAAAGATTTTTATGCGCTATATCCTTAAGCAAATACGAAGATTGAATCACTGTAAGCAAGAGCAAAGATCTTGACTACGATAAAAACATAGTGGTTTCACTTAGAGGACCATTCAATGATGCTACAAAATTACAGTGGAACGTCAAATTTATTCTGTTTCACTTTTTATCCATGGTAATTGCAATCAATATTTAGGTTCTGCCTTACCGGGAGCCATGCTGAAAAACAATGATTAATAGCCAAATAGATAATAAAATCAATTTAAAATGTTGGTAAACTTTTTACAAAATAGAAAGGAAAAATGAGACGAGTCATGGTTTGGCGTTACCCTTTTTTCAAAATATTTGACGAAGATACTTCGATACTACTATCTAGATCACTTTAGAACTCAGCCCCTAGACGTTAACGTAAGTTTATATCCACTCAGTAAGCCTAATGTTGTGATACGAATATTTATATTTCTTTGCTAGTTAAAAATGATTGCAAAGACATTCTTCAAGATCGAACACTTCAAGAAATTAGATTTTTGAATTTTTTTTCATTTTTTCGATTTTTTTTTTCATTTTTTTTACATTCATTTTTTTGAAATTTTTTTGAATTTTTCTTTCATTTTTTAATTTTTGTTTCATTTTTTGATTTTTTTTTCATTTTTTTTCATTTTTTTTTTCATTTTTTCATTTTTCTTTGTGCTGGTATTATTGTCTTCTTTAAGTTAAATTTTTCGATTTAGCAAACATGTGAGCATGCTTCTGGTTAAGTATTAAACAACTGCTGACTGAACATGTGCAGATCCTTTTTAAGTTGGAAATTAGGCCAATGGCAGCCAGTTACATTTACCAGCTTTTTCGTTCTTTACTTCAGGTAATTCTTATCATAAGTGGCAACCTAAGTTTTCTTAATTGGCTCACAATTCTTCCCAGTTTGTGCTGCTTGGATGACAAGCTCCTGTTAGCCATTTTTCCGTCATCAAGAGCAAAGAGAAATGTCCAGAACTGCCAAATGGCTCGTGGGGCAAACGAAACTGATCTCACAAAATGGGGTAATGCTGTTTGACTTTATTACTGATTTGTATCTGAACTGTTATTAAGTGATTGTATTTGCCACAGTTTAAGTAATCTGGTATCTTCTCAACAGTGCACCTCTTTATAAAATTTTTAATGGCTTTTTTGTTGAAAATGCTCGTGTTAAAAATTTTATTTATTCATTGTTAGTAGTAAGAGGTTTAATTGGTGTTGTTGAAGCTTGTCTCACAGTTTCTAGCTTAATTAGTTCTCAATTTTATACTTTCAATAAAAATAATAATAGTAAGATAAGAATAATAATTATAATTATAGTAATAGAAACATTCAGACTAGTTGAACCTTTTCATTTCCAAATGCACTGTTATCAATAAGAGTCCTGTTTAAGTCTAGCAAGGGTAATGATAATAATAAGGGTAAGCTTTAAACTTGCACTCGTTGAATTTTTTTCGGTAATTCTTTCATCACAAAGATTAATTTACATAAAAGAAGAGCAAAACACTTAATTTCTTTATATTAATCTTCAAATTTATCTAGTTTACATAGCCTATGGAAAACATTATACCCTGTCAGGGAAGCAAATGTTTCGCTGTGAAGAGTCGGTGCTTGTTTTGTTCTGTGAGTGATTCTCTAATATACTGCCTTTTCAAACATATGAATATATTAGTTTGTTTCTGTTGTGTGATGCTGGCTTCAGTCGTAATTACAAAAAGTGTTTTTTGTAACAGAACAGAGAGAAATTACAGTTTGCTTTACACATCGTATTTCATTTCGTTTTAGGAAAATCAGTTAGAAAAGTCTATGAGATTATGATTGCTCTTTTGATTGGCTACTTGAGCATCCCTGTTGTCAAGAATCTGTTCTCCTCAAATCAGGCAATGAATACGTCCTTTGATTCGTTCAGAATAGTCAATACGTACGGAGCATTTGGAAGGTAGGGTTGAATGTACATATTTGCTTTTGATGACGTCTGTGCTTTGAAGTCATAAAATGTTCGAATACTTACATGCATTAATGGCTGAAAGCACGAAGCTTATTTTCATTGATAATTGATTGAATCCATCCATTGCTGGACAAAAAGTACCGTAAAAGCTCTATTAAGCCCCCTCTTTTATTAAGCCCCTCTCTCTATTAAGCCCCTCCTTATCAAGCCAAACCTTAAAATAAGCCCCTACTCTCCATTAAGCCCCCCTCCTTAGCCTTTGTTGTCAAACATGGAAAACATGCGCATTTACCGGGTCACTTAGCGGGTGTAATGATAATAAAATTGTGTGCATTAATTACGGCCCATGTAAAGACTTACTTGTGCGCCTAAAAAGTCAGTTGAAATTTGTTGAGAAGATGTCCCAGGGTGATCAATTGATCCTAGTGATTTTGATGAAGATGAGGACCTTATAATTGATTTATTAGACTTTCGAAGCTGCCAGCAAAGTTTTCTGAGAACATTTGTGAGTTATTTTTTTGAAAAAAAAATATACAAGGATATTTTTATAATATTTTTTACTTCAAATTTTTATTAAGCCACCTCTCTCTAATTAACCCCCCTCTCTTTTAAGTCCCCCTCTAGGACTGAGAAAATAAATAAGGCCCCGGGGGCTTAATAGAGCTTTTACGGTAGGCCAGAGGCAGTGTTAGCTCTGGCAATACAGTCTGTTTGTTGAGCCCGTGAATGCACTGTTTCAACGTGAACAATTTTGGGACAAACAAATGCAGGTTTCTACGGCCATATCTACCTGTACTAGAACTAAACGAATCTAATTCTATTATAGCGTGTGTGTAGAACATTTTGACGCTACCTAAAGAAGGCCTATGTTGATTAGGTATATCTTTGTGAATATCTTGAGTCACTGTAATGCTGTGTCCTTTTTCTCTTTCAAGCTGTATATCTCGTTGAAAACTTGCTGTTCAATGAACTTGAACAATCAAACTCAGTCCATACAGCTGCAAAATGTCTTCCCCTTTGAAGAGCAGCCTTGCCAATTTGTGTTTAGACTTTTTGAAGAAGCAACTTAGACAATTTGACCTTTTTTCAAAAGTACCAGAATTGCTTTCTTAAATTTGATTGCTAAATGCAGCCTTTTTGCTGTAAAGATAACTCGCTTTTGGCCCTGAGAACTTGTTTCATTATATTCTTCTAAATCATCGGCAGCTGCTTTCGGGCATGGTTTGGTAAAGAAATGTCAAGTGGTTTAAAATTTGGCTTTTGTTTAGTCTTGTTATCAGTCTATTGTAATCGATGTCTCCCAAAGTTCGATGTATCATTGACAAATTTTACAAAGATAAGTCGATCTTGTTTTGAGACCTACATTAATTATGTCTAAAATTGTAAGGCACGATTATGGCTACGGAGACCTAAAAATTATGTTTCTTATGATCCATACGATCCTTTTGACTTTACTGAAAGCCCGGCTTTATGGAGCCAAAAATCATCGAATATTCAGGGCAAAATCGTTCTATTGTTTGTCGGCAGGTTTTGAAGACTTTGGATCCATCGCAAAGTATTTTGAATTGTTCGTTGTTGTCAATCATTTTTACACAGCATTCGAATGTGGAATTAACCTTTTATTTATTTTTTAGCGTAACAAAAACACGAACCGAGGTAGTTATTCAAGGGACCAGAAACGAATCCATAATACCTGATGAGCTGGGTGGGCGTTGGCATGAATACGAGTTTAAATGTAAGCCTGGCGACGTGAAACGGAGGCCCTGTTTGATTTCACCTTATCATTACCGACTTGATTGGTTAATGTGGTTCGCAGCATTCCAGGTAATTTCGCGAATACCACAGCATCTTTTTTATTCAAAAGTCCAGTTTTCATTTTTCAAAGATGATCTAAAACTACCCATAAAGCTCGATGATAAACGTGACATAAGCATACCAGATCTGTTTAATTGAAAAACTAATCTCTTCGTGATGTGTTAAAGAACACCCAGTTCTTTCAACTCAATGCTCAAAGATTTATGGGTGACAGAGAAAAAAGAGATAATTATGAATTCATTTAAACTTTGTCACTTCAATTATTGTCCATTGATATGGATACTATGTGGTAAAGGCAGTCAGGATAAGCTAGAGAAAATTAACGAGAGGGCATTAAGACTTGCCTATTCGGACTATTCATCTTCGTACAAAGATTTACTTGCTAACTCAAAAGAAACTACCATTCATGTCCAATCAGTTAGAATTTTAGCGCTCGAAGTTTATAAAACATTTGACAACCTTAATCCTGTTTTCATGAAAGACTATTTTGTACCAAAAACAACAGGTCATAACCTTCGACTCAAAAAACCCCCCTTTGACATTCCAAAAGCCAGAATTACCAATAATGGTATCAGATCATTAAGTTTTCAAGGGCCTAAAATCTGTAATTCACTCCCAGAATCAATAAAGACAATCAAAATTTAAGATTTTGATCAGAACTTGGTTCCTTGAAAACAAGTGCTCATGCTCGTTTTGCAGTAAATGAACTGTCTTATGCAATCCTTCAAATTGCTTCATGTTAGTCTTAATTAGTGTACATTCACTATTGTAAAAACTAACATTAAAAAATATACAATACAATACAATACATTAAAATACAATCTGTTGTCTGATCTCTTCGTGATGTGCAAAAAGTTTTCTGGGGAGAATCAATTTATTTTTCTTGGTAACTTTGTTAGTTCATTTCAAGCAACAAGCATTATCAACTGCTCTTTACGAACTGTTTGAATTCTGAAAACAGATGCTGCCTCTGGTAAAATTTATAAAACACTTCCGAAACTTACTTCTTTACTGCATAGTATTTTTTACTACGTATTATCTCTTCCAGAACTATCAATATAACCCTTGGCTGATACATCTCGCAGCGAAGTTGCTTGCCAACAGAAAAGAAGCCGAGTCTCTTTTGCAGCACAATCCATTTAAGAATGGAAAACCACCCAGGTATTTACTGATTATTTTTTAAATCTCTAAAATGCGCCTTAACTCTTTTACGCTTGCATACGAAATTTCTATACACTTTTATTCATCATGCTCTGTTTCTAGTTAAAAGCGATGGAGAATTGGGACACTTGTAACGGAGTCATTCGAATACGGCTGCCCTGTTATTGTTAACACCCTGTTATCGTTTTCTCTTATTCTTTACTAGTTTGGTAGCGAATTATTGACCCAAATGAAAAGTTTTGTTAGAAGATACAAAAGTTTTGAAAAGACTTAGTCAGAATTGACCATCAACTGAAAATATCTTATCATCACCAAACTTATCTTATCTGTCGTGGTTTTTCCAACCTGTCCCACAGACTCATATCTCACCACCAAACAGACGTTGTAGTCCTTGGTTCTGTAACCAAACTTATAAATTAAACTATGGCGTAGGCTGGTTTTTCGAGACTGCGTACAATGATGTATATGTTGTACAACTGCCTGGCCTATTCACAAAATGTTATGCCGTCAGAAGTGTGTGACGTTTGTTAAAAACGCGTTCGAGACTCGAGCACTTCGTGAGGTATTCGGTGTAATTGAACAGGGATGAATCCAGATTTTCAAATTTAATTTTCTGGAAGATAATTGACTGTTCTAAATCCTGAAATAATCCTTGCTTTTCTAAATCCCAAAATAATCCTTGCTTTTTTAACACTCCCCCTTTGCTTCTGTGTCAACCTACCACGCCCACTCTCCGCTGTTGATTTAGTAGCACGCCATGTTGGATTTGATTCTCAATCGCTTCTTTCGAGACTCTAGCACTTCGTGAAGTATTCGGTGTCGCTGAACAGGGGTGGATCTCGACGATGCCACGGTGGCACATGCCACGGTCAGATCTTCAAATTTAAATTTTGGGAAAGATAGACTTTTCTAAATCCCGAAGTAATCCTTGCTTTTCTAAATCCCGAAGTAATCCTTGTTTTTCTAACACTCCCCCTTTGCTCCTGTGTCAACCTACCACGCCCACTCTCCGCTGTTGATTTAGTAGTACGCCATGTTGGATTTGACTCTCAATTGCTTCTTTCGAGACTCTAGCACTTCGTGAGGTATTCGGTGTCTCTGAACAGGGTGGATCTCGACGATGACACCGGTGGCACATGCCACGGTCAGATCTTCAAATTTAAATTTTGGGAAAGATAGACTTTTCTAAATCCTGAAGTAATCCTTACTTTTCTAACATTCCCCCTTTGCTCCTGTGTCAACCTACCTCGCCCCCTCTTTGCTGTTGATTTAGTAGTACGCCATGTTGGATTTGACTCTCAATCCCTTTTTTCGAGACTCTAGCAGTTCGTGAGATATTCGGTGTCTCTGAACAGGGGGTGGATCTCCACGATGACACCGGTGGCACATGCCACGGTCAGATCTTCAAATTTAAATTTTGGGAAAGATAGACTTTTCTAAATCCTGAAGTAATCCTTACTTTTCTAACATTCCCCCTTTGCTCCTGTGTCAACCTACCTCGCCCCCTCTTTGCTGTTGATTTAGTAGTACGCCATGTTGGATTTGACTCTCAATCCCTTTTTTCGAGACTCTAGCAGTTCGTGAGATATTCGGTGTCTCTGAACAGGGGGTGGATCTCCACGATGACACCGGTGGCACATGCCACGGTCAGATCTTCAAATTTAAATTTTGGGAAAGATAGACTTTTCTAAATCCTGAAGTAATCCTTACTTTTCTAACATTCTCCCTTTGCTCCTGTGTCAACCTACCTCGCCCCCTCTTTGTTGTTGGTTTAGTAGTACGCCATGTTGGATTTGATTCTCAATCGCTTCTTTCGAGACTCTAGCACTTCGTGGAGTATTCGGTGTCACTGAACAGGGGTGGATCTCGACGATGCCACGGTGGCACATGCCACGGTCAGATCTTCAAATTTAAATTTTGGGAAAGATAGACTTTTCTAAATCCTGAAGTAATCCTTACTTTTTTAACATTCCCCCTTTGCTCCTGTGTCAACCTACCTCGCCCCATCTCCGCTGTTGATTTAGTTGTAAGCCATGTTGGATTTGACTCTCAATCGCCTCTTTCGAGACTCTAGCACTTCGTGAGGTATTCGGTGTGATTAGAATATTAACCACATGCACCGATACATGGTGTACTGAACAGTACAAAGCATAAGTAGCTATTCAAGAAACTGCATCCTTAGTGTATGTCTGACGTTTGTTTGCTGTGTGTTTTCATACAGAATTGTATTTACACCTTCAAATTCTTTTTTTCGGCGCTGCAAAACCACCTTTTTTATTTTGAGGCAACATAATTAAATGGTCAGTCCTTTTTATCTGTTATATACCAAATAGAGGCCAGTTCTGTTTCATGACTTCAAGAGGCGCCTTTGAAAAGGTTGGCTTTTCTATTTCTCAATATCCACAATTTTATCAGATGTTCTTGCAAATTTTTTAGATTTAGAGGCTCATTCTTTGTTTTTGTCGCCCTGGTTTTCTTGTAGAAAACTCCTCCGAAAATGTATATTGGATTGAGAGTCATTTTGCATTGAAATCCACCTCAATATAGACTAAATGATTCACATTTTACAAGATTTCCCTTCCTTCTTTGCAGCCCTTTGCTTTTCTTTGTTTGCTTGCTTGCCACCAAGCCGTTGGAGGCTTGATTAAGTTGGTCCACCAGTTAGTTGGCGGCCGAAGCTCTCCTCAGTGAATTGTTTATGAAAATGACTCTGACGATAGATGGCTATCCGTTGGAGGCTTAATTAAAGTGGTCCATAAGTCAGTTGGATGGCCAAAGCGTTCCAGTGACCTATTTCTGGTAATGACTCTGTCGATAGATGGTTGTGTGCAATGCTCTTGCTCATACCTTGAAGTTAAGATCCACGAAGACGTATTCTATCTGAATGATCTGTCATCTATACCCACAAGAACCGAGATACCGGGGGGCCGGGGGCCTTGCCCCCCAACAAATCTCAAGTGGCATAGGTAGAATACTGTTATGTTGTAAAATATGATGATGATTATTATTATTATTATTGTTATTATTATTATTATTAAAATAAATAATACAGATTTACTTGATCAGGATAGATATCCTGTTATCATTCAGGGACCTGTTGAACGAAAATGCTAAAAAGATATATAAATATTACAAACATTTTCCTACCTCGATTGCATTCCAGCAAGATGTCGAGTCTTCTGTGTTCATTCTCGACACATCCTAACCAAGGAAGATGTCTACTTTTTATGTGGAATACTTTATAAAGCGTTTTAAACTTAGCTTGTGTGTGTGTTCTTGTACTGTCCGTGACAAATGCAGCGGATTCGACAAAGGATGCTATCTGAAGTTTTTGATAAAAGCACTAAGATATCCTACATAGTGCGTAGGTCTTACAAGTATGTGGTAAGACATATAGTATTGACGGATTTTAATTATATCCTTTACCTTGTTTGCCAACCGTGTCTCTTACATGTTTTACCATGAACGAGTTCAAATGAATTGATTTTAGGTATGTCAGAGCAGAGCACTACCTATATGAATTTACAAAGATTGGTAGCCAAGAGGCGGCTCGTGGTCTGTGGTGGAAGAGGAAAAAAATTGGTGAATATTTCCCAATCGTGGATCTGGAAAGCCTAAAAAGTTACTTGAAAGCCAATGGTTGGAATTTACCAGCAATCGAAGATGGATAAGGTAACTTATATCGAACTAGAAATATATTTAAGTGGGTATTTCTATGAGGAATATTTTTAAATGATTCTTCGACCGTGATATACAAAATAGCCTTTATATAACAAAAATCTGTGCAACCAGTCTCACCCTTCTCCTGTAGGATAGTATCTTTCATTTTCATTCCAATACAAACTTTAATGAATGTTTCTTTTGATCAGACATGACCTATCATACTATCATACTTTTTTTTATCAAAAGTCAACCACCAGCAATATTGCTATTTTTTCAAAAAATACATTTTGCATTTCGGAACTAAGTTCAATACGTGTTTAAAGTGATCATAAAAAAGCAGTATAGCCTGTTTAAAAGAGAAACAATTTTCGAAAAAAATCGATGATTTTTCTAAGGTTATATAGCCTTACTTTTTGATGAAAAATCAACCTCCTAAAAAATTTCCGTTTTTTCAAAAAATATAACTTCTATCTCGGAACTAAGTTAAATACATGTTTAAAGTGATCATAAAAAAGCCGTATAGCCTGTTTAAAAGAGAAACAATTTTCGAAAAAAATCGATGATTTTTCTAAGGTTATAGCCTTACTTTTTGATAAAAAATCAACCCCCTAAAATTATGCCAATTTTTCAAAAAATATATCTTCTATCTCGGAACTAAGTTCAATACGTGTTTAAAGTGATCATAAAAAAGCAGTATAGCCTGTTTAAAAGAGAAACAATTTTCGAAAAAAATCGATGATTTTTCTAAGGTTATATAGCCTTACTTTTTGATGAAAAATCAACCTCCTAAAAAATTTCCGTTTTTTCAAAAAATATAACTTCTATCTCGGAACTAAGTTAAATACATGTTTAAAGTGATCATAAAAAAGCCGTATAGCCTGTTTAAAAGAGAAACAATTTTCGAAAAAAATCGATGATTTTTCTAAGGTTATAGCCTTACTTTTTGATAAAAAATCAACCCCCTAAAATTATGCCAATTTTTCAAAAAATATAACTTCTATCTCGGAACTAAGTTCAATACGTGTTTAAATGATCATAAAAAAGCAGTATAGCCTGGTTGTAGCTTTACTATTTGATGAAAAATCAACTACCTAAAAAACTGCCGTTTTTTCAAAAAATATAAGTTCTATTTCGGAACTAAATTCAATACGTGTTTAAAGTGATCATAAAAAAGCAGAATAGAGTACTGAAAAGAGAAAAAAATTTCGAAAAAAATTGATGATTTTTCTAAGGTCATAGCCTTACTATTTGATCCGAAATCAACCCCCTAAAATATTCCTGTAATTTCAAAAAAATATAACTTTCATTTTGCAACTAAGTTCAATACGTGTTTACAGTGATCATAAAAAAGCAGAATATAGTGCTAAAAAGAGAAAAAAGTCTCGAAAAAAATTGATGATTTTTCTAAGGTTGTAGCTTTACTATTTGATGAAAAATCAACTACCTAAAAAACTGCCGTTTTTTCAAAAAATATAAGTTCTATTTCGGAACTAATTTCAATAAGTGTTTAAAGTGATCATAAAAAAGCAGTATAGCCTGTTTAAAAGATTAAAAAATTTCGAAAAAAATTGATGATTTTTCTAAGGTTATAGCCTTACTTTTTGATGAAAAATCAACCCCCTAGAAAACTGCCGTTTTTTCAAAAAATATAACTTATATCTCAGAATTAAGTTCAATACGTGTTTAAAGTGATCATAAAAAAGCAGTATAGCCTGTTTAAAAGAGAAAAAATTGTAGAAAAAAATCGATGATTTTTCTAAGGTTATAGCCTTACTTTTTGATGAAAAATCAACCCCCTTAAAATTGCCGTTTTTTCAAAAATATAAATTCTATCTCGGAAATAAGTTCATTACGTGTTTAAAGTGATCATAAAAAAGCAGAATAGAGTGCTGAAAGGAGAAACAAATTTCGAAAAAAATTGATGATTTTTCTAAGGTTATAGCCTTACTTTTTGATGAAAAATCAACCCCCTAAAAAACTGCCGTTTTTTCAAAAAATATAAGTTCTATTCCGGAACTAATTTCAATACGTGTTTAAAGTGATCATAAAAAAGCAGTATAGCCTGTTTAAAAGATTAAAAAATTTCGAAAAAAATTGATGATTTTTCTAAGGTTATAGCCTTAGTTTTTGATGAAAAATCAACCACCTAAAATATTGCCGTTTTTTCAAAAAATGTAAGTTCTATCCCGGAACTAAGTTCAATACGTGTTTAAAGTGATCATAAAAAAGCAGAATAGAGTGCTGAAAAGAGAAAAAAACTTCGAAAAGAATTGATGATTTTTCTAAGGTTGTAGCTTTACTATTTGATGAAAAATCAACTACCTAAAAAACTGCCGTTTTTTCAAAAAATATAAGTTCTATTTCGGAACTAAATTCAATACGTGTTTAAAGTGATCATAAAAAAGCAGAATAGAGTACTGAAAAGAGAAAAAAATTTCGAAAAAAATTGATGATTTTTCTAAGGTCATAGCCTTACTATTTGATCCGAAATCAACCCCCTAAAATATTCCTGTAATTTCAAAAAAATATAACTTTCATTTTGCAACTAAGTTCAATACGTGTTTACAGTGATCATAAAAAAGCAGAATATAGTGCTGAAAAGAGAAAAAAGTTTCGAAAAAAATTGATGATTTTTCTAAGGTTGTAGCTTTACTATTTGATGAAAAATCAACCCCCTAGAAAACTGCCGTTTTTTCAAAAAATATAACTTATATCTCAGAATTAAGTTCAATACGTGTTTAAAGTGATCATAAAAAAGCAGTATAGCCTGTTTAAAAGAGAAAAAATTGTAGAAAAAAATCGATGATTTTTCTAAGGTTATAGCCTTACTTTTTGATGAAAAATCAACCCCCTTAAAATTGCCGTTTTTTCAAAAATATAAATTCTATCTCGGAAATAAGTTCATTACGTGTTTAAAGTGATCATAAAAAAGCAGAATAGAGTGCTGAAAAGAGAAACAAATTTCGAAAAAAATTGATGATTTTTCTAAGGTTATAGCCTTACTTTTTGATGAAAAATCAACCTCCTAAAAAACTGACGTTTTTTCAAAAAATAAAACTTCTATCTCGGAACTAAGTTCAATACGTGTTTAAAGTGATCATAAAAAAGCAGTATAGCCTGTTTAAAAGTAAAATAATTTTCGAAAAAAATCGATGATTTTTCTAAGGTTATAGCCTAACTTTTTGATGAAAAATCAACTCCCTTAAAACTGCCGTTTTTTCAAAAAATATAACTTCTATCTCGGAACTAAATTAAATATATGTTTAAAATGATCATAAAAAAGCAGTATAGCCTGTTAAAAAGAGAAAAAATTTTGAAAAAAATTGATGATTTTTCTAAGGTTATAGCCTTACTTTTTGATGAAAAATCAACCCCCTAAAAACTGCCGTTTTTTCAAAAAATATAACTTCTATCTCGGAACTAAGTTCAATACGTGTTTAAAGTGATCATAAAAAAGCAGAATAGAGTGCTGAAAAGAGAAAAAAATTTCCAAAAAAATTGATGATTTTTCTAAGGTTATAGCCTTACTTTTTGATGAAAAATCAACCCCCTAAAAACTGCCGTTTTTTCAAAAAATATAACTTCTATCTCGGAACTAAGTTCAATACGTGTTTAAAGTGATCATAAAAAAGCAGAATAGAGTGCTGAAAAGAGAAAAAAATTTCCAAAAAAATCGATGATTTTTCTAAGGTTATAGCCTTACTTTTTGATGAAAAATCAACCCCTAAAAAATTGCCGCTTTTTCAAAAAATATAACTTCTATCTCGGAACTAAGTTCAATACGTGTTTAAAGTGATCATAAAAAAGCAGAATAGAGTACTGAAAAGAGAAAAAAATTTCGAAAAAAATCGATGATTTTTCTAAGGTTATAGCCTTACTTTTTGATGAAAAATCAACCCCCTTAAAACTGCCTTTTTTCAAAAAATATAACTTCTATCTCGGAACTAAGTTCAATACGTGTTTAAAGTGATCATAAAAAAGCAGAATAGAGTGCTGAAAAGAGAAAAAATTTCGAAAAAAATTGATGATTTTTCTAAGGTTATAGCCTTACTTTTTGATGAAAAATCAACCCCCTTAAAACTGCCGTTTTTTCAAAAAATATAACTTCTATCTCGGAACTAAGTTCAATACGTGTTTAAAGTGATCATAAAAAAGCAGAATAGAGTACTGAAAAGAGAAAAAAATTTCGAAAAAAATTGATGATTTTTCTAAGGTTATAGCCTTACTTTTTGATGAAAAATCAACCCCCTAAAAACTGCCGTTTTTTCAAAAAATATAATTCTATCTCGGAACTAAGTTCAATACGTGTTTAAAGTGATCATAAAAAAGCAGAATAGAGTGCTGAAAAGAGAAAAAAATTTCCAAAAAAATTGATGATTTTTCTAAGGTTATAGCCTTACTTTTTGATGAAAAATCAACCCCTAAAAAACTGCCGTTTTTTCAAAAAATATAACTTCTATCTCGGAACTAAGTTCAATACGTGTTTAAAGTGATCATAAAAAAGCAGAATAGAGTGCTGAAAAGAGAAAAAAATTTCGAAAAAAATTGATGATTTTTCTAAGGTTATAGCCTTACTTTTTGATGAAAAATCAACCCCCTAAAAATGCCGTTTTTTCAAAAAAATATAACTTCTATCTCGGAACTAAGTTCAATACGTGTTTAAAGTGATCATAAAAAAGCAGTATAGCCTGTGAAAAGAGAAAAAAATTTCCAAAAAAATTGATGATTTTTCTAAGGTTATAGCCTTACTTTTTGATGAAAAATCAACTCCCTAAAAACTGCCGTTTTTTCAAAAAATATAACTTCTATCTCGGAACTAAGTTCAATACGTGTTTAAAGTGATCATAAAAAAGCAGAATAGTGCTGAAAAGAGAAAAAAATTTCCAAAAAAATCGATGATTTTTCTAAGGTTATAGCCTTACTTTTTGATGAAAAATCAACCCCCTAAAAATTGCCGTTTTTTCAAAAAATATAACTTCTATCTCGGAACTAAGTTCAATACGTGTTTAAAGTGATCATAAAAAAGCAGAATAGAGTGCTGAAAAGAGAAAAAAATTTCGAAAAAAATTGATGATTTTTCTAAGGTTATAGCCTTACTTTTTGATGAAAAATCAACCCCCTAAAAAATGCCGTTTTTTCAAAAAATATAACTTCTATCTCGGAACTAAGTTCAATACGTGTTTAAAGTGATCATAAAAAAGCAGTATAGCCTGTTTAAAAGAGAAAAAATTTCGAAAAAAATCGATGATTTTTCTAAGGTTATAGCCTTACTTTTGATGAAATCAACCCCCTAAAAATTCCTTTTTTCAAAAAATATAACTTCTATCTCGGAACTAAGTTCAATACGTGTTTAAAGTGATCATAAAAAAGCAGTATAGCCTGTTTAAAAGAGAAAAAAGTTTCGAAAAAAATTGATGATTTTTTAAGGTTGTAGCTTTACTTTTTGATGA